TGTCTTTATAATACAGTCATAATTCCATTCACTCAAATTTCAGATAGTCCAGCCAACGTTTTTTTCATTCTTTCATGTCACGATACAATTAATCATCATTTCGTCCCGTATAGGCTATTCATATAATCATTGAAATAATGCATACGACTGGTTACTGAATTTTCATATTTTAATACTAATTTGAGGTTTTTGTAGCAATTACATTGATTTTCAGGAGTAGTGTCGCTAGCCCCGCACCACCCAATCCCCCCAAACTTCCCTATTTCCCCGTAATTAGGACCAGATATTAAACTAGGCGTGGCTATAAAAGTGTGTGCGAACCAGGATTCGAACCACAGTCCACGTGAATGGTTGGCGAGCCATCTACCGCTGAACAACCGACGCAAATTTAATGAACGTCTAGTATTGTACTTAGTATTATCGCAATCGGGGTTATTCACAAACACTAATGTTTCTTCTCTAAAGCCTGCTTTTTTCCCTGAGTTCAGGGAGTAACATAAATTTTCAGGCTTTTGAGAAGTTTCACTAGCTATGTTGTTATGTTTTTGTGCTGTAGGGTCTCTAGCCACGCGTTCAATCTTCTCTGTTTTCCAGACTTACTACCATCCAGTAAACGAGGCGAGGCCTAGGTATGCATCGTCAGGAAAGTGGACCCGAACCTCCCGCGTGGTTAATGGGCATTTCACCATTGTGAGCCTGGCAAACTACTGATTACTGAAACTTAATTCTTCACTATGGTGATATGCTGACAACAACTGAATAAATATAGGCGCGGTAAAACCAAAATTTGAAGTCGGTTATGAAAATGCAATGTGTGATTTCAAATCTGCCAACAACCTATGTTCCGTGAAACAAGGCAATTCAAATATATTACATATTTGCTCTCAACAGACACGAAATAGTACATTTTCGAAGGGTTCTTCAGAATGGAAATGTGAATGTCAAGATATTACATCCTTACACATCTATTTGGTTATTAAGGCAGTCTGTATTATAATTTTCGATGTATTCACGTAAGTTGTCCAAGACATTTGATAATGATATTTTGATTCCATAGGTTTCAGCACGATAATGGTTATGAGTACAAAAGAGGTGAGTTTAATATTTCATTAATATTCTTATCTGAAACTTTATTTTCCCCAGTAGATTTCTGTGTTTCACAACTTGATATCTTTTTGAAGTAATTTGGTGGTTGGGGACTGACCAGCAGTAAAATTCAGGATGCGCTTTCGTAGTCTTATGTGGGACTCTCCAACTGGATATACCTGCATTCTTCAGTGAGGGAGTGGTACTGTCCCCACTGGGGCTGGAACCCAGTACCCATCGTTTAAAACGCCAAAGCGTTATCCACCAGTAATTTTACACTCCTCCCTTAACTTTCATTTCACTTGTATGGTTTTGTTTAATAGTAATGTTGGTATTGGTTATTTGTTTTTCAACAATGAACGTAACCCTTTGAATGTGTTGTTTATGCACTTACATGCAACTGAAAAAGTAATCTGTGTATAATATGTCGCTTCATGGGAGTTTTATTTTCAAGTTTGACAGTGAATTGATATTGGTTAGAGAACCATTGAAAACCATAGAATATTTGACATCTGTTTTGTCCCAGTTTAGGACTCGTCATCAGTACACACACGAAGGTTCTAACCCAGCACCTTCTGGTTACCAGTCAAGCTCATGTACTATCCAGGGACTAGAACCCTTCCGACGGTCAGCCGATCAACTCCAACCTCTACCAATTCGTGAATTTAGTGGGACCTCCAACTGATGTCATGTCTGGTGGACCCTACTAATCAGCACTTCTCACTAGAAATGCATTCAACTTCATCGTGTAGGCAGTCACTAACCAGGGTCAGATTAATTTTGAAGATTTCGTTTGTTGGGACAGAACAGCTGTCCAGAACTCCCCTCTTTTTTTCTATGGTCCTCTAACTGATATCAATTCACGGTCAACCTTGAAACAAATTAGACCCTTAGAAAATAACAATTGATGATTTTTAATTTCATGTCCTTATGTTTATTATACGTGAACAAACAAGCCTTCCTATGTGGGAAATTGTTATTACTAACCTGTGGATGATATACTTCACCGCATGAACACGTAACAATTATCATGAAGACTAAGTATTTTGACAATATTTTTCTCCAGAAGGAATATAGTATAGCATCTGGAAATCTTCGTCACTCAGTATCAACAACAAAATCCGGATATTCAATACAAACGTCAAGTCATTTCTTCTATACGGATCAGAAACTTGGCGGGTCACAAAGAATATTTCCAACAGGCTGCAGACCTTTATCAACAGCTGTCTTCGTTCTGTACTCAGGATCAGATGGCCGGAAAGAATCACTAACAAGGAACTATGGGAACAAACAAAACAAGAACCAACCAATTAGCCAACAAATATGCAGGAGAAAGTGGAGATGGATTGGACACTCGGTGAGGAGGCCGCTGGGTGACATCGCGCGTCAGGCCATAGCTCGAGTGGAACCCGAAAGGGAAGCGGCGAGTGGGACGTCCAAGGGTGACATGGAGGAGATCGTGTGAAGAAGAGTTGAAAGAGTATGGACTGACATGGATGCAGGTGAAAAGTACAGCAGAAGACAGAAGCAAGTGGAGATGTGTAGTTGAAGCCCTATGTTCTACTAGGAAGCCAAGGGAACAATAATAATAATAAAGACCGTTTTGGTTTTGCATATTATGTACAGAATTTTCAGAGCAGTTTACTGCACAGTGGTTTCTCTTTGTCCAGGACCTTCAAGTAGTAAAAAGTAAATGACAGTAAATCGCCTGACACAGTGCTGTCGGACCTGAAGCGAAAGCAGTCCATTAGGATACTTCTTCTTTGCCTCCCTTCTCGGAGAAATTCATTTATTCATCATTTTTATAAAAAGGTGAAGGACATTTCTTAACCCAAGGACATAATAATAACAATATTATTAATAATTGAATAATTGAAAACTACAGGTAATTAGTTTTATTCCTCAGACAGTGACAGTTTGTATTAAAAATCTCAGGGCTAGTTATGCCATGTATTGGGATACATTGGCAATCACCTATGATTTTACTTTTTCTCAGATTCTGTAGAAACTTGCACATCAACAGGTTGTAGACACTTGAAATACTCACGAGAGTAGAAAACACCATTAGAGGTCGTGTTTTATTAGGTCAGAACAAACTGAACAAAAGGAATTATATGCACTATAATAATGGAGTATTTTTGGTAGCCCATGTTTAAAACAGACCGCTTAGCACGTATCATTATGTTTTTCTTGGATGATTCTCTGTGATATTCATTAAAGTGCCTGATATAAATTGGTATTTTCAGTTTAATAGCTCAGTATGATATTACTCAACGCCTGCAGCACACACTAAGTAAGACAATGAACCATGCCATTGATGACTTAGGTGGTAAAAGTGGTTTTCTGGGACTTCATAGAATCTTGAATATTTCAACAGATTATTATACTTCCTCCCATCTATTCCTCCTGAAATGACCTAATTTTATTTGCTTATTCTTTTTTTAACTCCAGTTAGGATGATTCAGTTTAGGGAATTAAACATCTACTTGCTCCTCTGATAAACTTTTACAGTTGAAGTTGAAGTAGTTAGTTGTTCATGGAGCTTTGTCATTAACACTCCACAAACTACACTTTTCATCTTTCCGATGGGAATACGATCAGGAGATAGGTTGCAAAAAATTCTATTGCTTACGAGTTTGAGTACTGGACAGCTGGAAAACTACCAGGTTTTCCAGTGGTTCCCTAACAGATGTCAACTTGTTATCAAACCATCACTTCGTAATTAACCTGATGCTCACTAGTGACTGGCTTCATACAGTAGGAAGTTACCTGGAGTTATAGTGAGAAGTTGTAACCAGTGGGGTATGCCAAGTCAGGTGAGAAGTTGGTGGAGATGTTAGGATTCATGGGATGACCATTGGACGGAGTCCCAGTGGCTGGATAGTCTACGACCCCCCTAGTAACTTGAAAGTCCTACGTTCGAACCCCTGTAGTGGGTGGGCACTACTGAGGAGACCCAAACTAATACGAAACTGCTGTTGATTACTCACAGGTTTCCCAGTGGTTGGTTGTTAACTAGTGATCAGACCTGGAGATATAGTCATTTTGTTTCCTGAAATCTTCAACAGTAATATTCTTCGACTTTTATATTAATCAGAAGCGAATGATGCCTGTTTTATCTTCTACTGTTGACTTTGTCAACTGTGAATACATTTCCCTTCCTACTAGTGAATATTGATATCCTCCTAGATACTTTATGCTACTTACCTGAATGAATGAACTTCAAATAATCCAAATATTTTGTTGATCAGTGATTTGATTGGAAAAATTCACGGCTCTTTTTTTCACTATTGACAACAACAACAACAACAAAAACAAACATCTTGAAAAAATATTCTTCTCCAATAAGAAAACAACATTTCTGCATTAAATTTGACCTTCCAGATTACAGCATAACATCTATCTGCATTTGTGTTCGTTTGTTTGTTAATCACAGTGTTGCTTGTTCAGTTCATTTGTGTGTGTGTGCTTGTCTAACCAACCAATGTATGTGTATCGGTACCGGTATCAACAGTTGGATCCCATAAAACATTTGATTGGTAGGCCAACCGGCCGGCTGGCTGACCGGCCGGCAGGTTTAGATTTACGACAGGCCAAATCACAGTTAATCAATAATATGTGCACCAGATAATCATTAGGCAAGAAGACGAAGAAGAACCAGTTAAAAATTGAACAATTTGCCATGGTTACATCGATATCATCTTTTAACGAAGTGGACCAACTGGAGAACTCAATTAAAACATCTTTTTTCAATAAACTATTGTTCCCCTTCCATGTATATAGAGTGTGTATATTTCAATAGAATTCCATCCAGTATTTGTAGATTAATCCATGCATAGCTTTAGATGAAAAATGCTCACTACTTGTTTGCACAAAATACACAGACACGCACACCACAGTAGGTGTAGAAAGTGGGATTATAGATGTGGTGCACATTGTGCTAACTGACATGTGTAATGATGGGATATTATTGGACTTTTTACTACACATACAACCAAAATGTACATCTAAATATATAGGTAGAGAGATAGATAGATAGATGGGAGAATACAGTCGATATGAAAACCTTATCGTATGTCAGTTATACGCATGTCTATTCATTCTAAATGCAAATGATAGAAGCACATCTTGTTGAACACTAACCAACTAACTAACTAACTAACTGACCGAGTGTGTGTATGTGTGTGTGTGCCTCAGTGTTAGTAATGCCGGTAACAGTTAGAATACTTACTACTACTGCTATATCCAGAATAATTATGAACAACTAGTAGTAGAAATGCTTATCCTGTGCTATATTTATTATATCATTGATGCTTAAATCTTCATCACCAGAACTATTTTAATCGATCCACGCATATATATTATACACAAGCTTTTTACAGAAGAAAAGACACCTTGACAGAGGAGAGACACTGGCTGAAGGAACAAACAAAAAACAAGTCAGCCAGGATACAGGCCAGCCAGCCAGCAGACAAACAAAAACTCTTTTGTTTGTTTTTTCCCCATAATCCCTGGTTTTTACAATCTGTGAAAAAATCATCTATCGAAAGCCTTCAAAACTCCTGATCTCTTTCTTAGTCTGTGTGTTATAATTAATTAATTAATTGCATGACAGACAGATGACAATGAAACCTCATGAAGATTACAAATTTATGCATCAGTATTACACTTATGGATTTATTCTCGTAAATGTTTTCATATTATTATGTAATATTTGTATAACACCAACGAATGGTGCAGCAGTAAGTCACTGGTAGTTCCGTTACGATTTTTTTCCCTTTTTTATGGTATTAAAGAAGCCTATTTATTCACAGAAGGCTTAGACTCTCTAAGCTCGAATGAACTGTAGTCAATATATTTTTTGTTCCCAGTTGAAATTATTACATGATGACTATATTATAATTGTGGGTGTGATTGCCTTCTCTGGCCTGGATAACTTTCATTGTCTTACGAGACAACATCTTCAGTGTGAATTCGATTGATTAAAGCCATGGAGAAATATTTTTATTTAAACTTGTTGATAACTAAGGCGATTTTTATCATTCTGTGTCTGGACGGATCAAATTGGATCAAATTGTCAGTTTACCAGTCTTCTATAGTTGGTTTGTAAGGATTAGTTTTGTTTTTACAACTTTTACAACGGATTGATATCAGTTAGGGAACCATTGAAAACCGGCACTGAAGTACTGGACAGCTGTTTCATCCTAGTGCTTGGGAATCATCGGCAGTACACACCCACCACATGGGATTCGAACCAAGGACCTTCCGGTTTCAAGACAAGCTGGCTCGTATACCATTCAGCCACTAATTATATTGTTTATTTACCCCGGTGGGTGTGTACTGATGAGATAAATCCCAAACACTAGGACTAAACAGCTGTCTCCTACGCCTATCAATCCGAGATCAAACTCGAAGCATTGATTTATTATTTTCTGCGCAGTATTTCTTGATATTATTGAACTAATAATTATTATTATTATTATTAGTTGTATATACCAAATATTTGCTGTTCACTGGATTTTTTCCTCTCTGTCACTCTATCTATCTCTCTCTCTCTATCTCCCAACAACAGACATGCATACCATCACCGAATTGCACAGAATGTACATGTATGGGAATTCCAGGACCAAAGGTAATTTTAACATTTTTTTTAAAACATTTTATTTTTAAATTTCCGCCAGTCTGCTTCCATTTTGTTTTTTACCATAGTGTCAGTTAATTAGCCAGTATTCAATCTACTGTTTCTCTCTCTCCCTCTTTATTCTCCTTCTTCTGCTTAACTTGTGTTTTTGACTGTTGTATGAAGGAATGAGGAATTCAAGTAGGCAAGTTTGTAGTATATTGTTAAGCAATTATGAAGAGAAATTATGAAAATCCTTCTTCTTTCTTTTTCTTGTCTAATAACTGAGACACTTTTTTAACCTATGAAACTATTTTACTTATTCTGAAGACTGTTCACTCTATCAGATGATGTTCACAATAAGGTTGATTGATGACGTTAATTTATTCCCATAGTGTCTCATTCTATCTAAATCGGTATGAATGAACAAAAAGGAAATGTTAGCGTTGGGATTTGAAGTCCCCCCCCCTGATGTATTAATAGATAGATTTCATTTCCAGAGAGAGAGATTTACAAAAATTCCAGAAAAGTATACAGGTTACTTTACTTAGCTGAGTCTTTTTTTCTTGTTTTGTTTTGCGGACTACTTGTCCCCAAATTTTTACCTTTTTTTCCTCTTTGTTATCGTTGTAAAACGAAAGGGACCTTTCAGTAGTTGACTGGCACACCGAAAATGAATATATGTGGTAGCCGTTGCTTTATAATAAATGAATAGAACTGATGTTCATATTTCTAAACTTTACATAACCTTGTAACTCATTCCTTTACAATAGTAGTAATAATAGCAATAGCTTTATCCTTGATACAGATTTTTCAGAGTCCTTCGAATCTTAAAACAGTATAATAGTTGATAATACATCATTGGAAGCAGTATTGTTCCACCCGAAGGTTCCTGCTTCAAAAAATTGCTGCTGGTAGGTAGAAACTTATCTGAATTGGGACTCATTGTGGTAATTAGATCATTAAAACATAATGCAACGGGGTAAACACGATGTATTTTGATGAATGGAAAATTTAGATAGCTCAGCGGTTTAAGCAGGCCACCGTTTTGAGGATATACGCCATCTTTGTTAGTGAGGACTTCTTGTAAGTTTCAGGATTTCATCATGAGCTGGCATCGGTTAGAGAACCATTGGAGAACCTTCATGGAGCACCATACAGCCAGCTGTTTTGTCCTAGCGTGGGACTCTTCAGCAGTACTCAACTTCCGGGGTTTGAACCCAGGAACTTTTGGTTACAAAGCAAGCTAACTCGTAGACCATTCATCAGTCACTGGGACCCAATTCGATGGCCAGTCCAGGAATTCTAACTTCTGCCAATTCATGACATAGCGTGACCACTTCGAAATATCTTCTTCGATAAGTTACTGCCTCACGTCCAGTCGATATCAGCTCATGATGTAATCCTGCAACCAATTAAATAAAATCCCTCCAAAAAACCAATACTTAAAAATTTATTTTAAGTAGTGTAACTAAGTATGGTTGAATTTTTGGTCTTTCTCAGTTTGACAACAAGTATAAGGATGTAGTTAGTTTGAGCAGTTGTCGGCTATAATACTTTCCAGCCTATCGACTGCTTTATCATAAACTACTCCAGACAATATACTCTAATAAGACATAAAATGATGCATCTAACATCCACATTTCTATTAATAGGGATGGTATTCCTTTTTTAACCTTCATCTAGCTATTGAGCCCTGTTGGTTACAATAAATTTGCTTCATCTTGTCATTCATGATTTCAGGATAAGCCCTTGGTGGATTTTCACTTCAAGGTGATGTGTATCTTGAGAATAACACTACTCCGATTAAACTGACTTAGGATTATTGAATTACACAAGCTATTACACAGTGTAGATTAAAGGTCATTTGTCCATGCTTGTCCATGCATCTTTTATATTTTTTACTCTAAAGTTAATATTCCTAACATTATGCTTCTTCTGGGATAAATTATAGCTAGGGAATATATTCCCACCCTCCCTTTTTAGGAAGAATGAATTTGTCAAGCACCAAATGTCACTGTTGCCATTACCACTAAAAGGTGAGATCTGACAGGGAAGAAATAATAATAATAGTAATAATAGTAATGGTAATATAAAAGACAGAAAGACTTTATGCGACAGGTTGTTTGTGATAGCTAGTAGCTAGAATAGCTAGAATAGAATAATATTGTGCGTGATATTTAGTCAGACAATCTGTGTAATACAAATTATGTCATCTGTTTATCATATCCTGTGTATATGCATGTGTGTATGGATGTGTAGATGGATGGATGTTTCCATGTTTGCTTACATTTGCTTTCCCATCTTCTGAATACAAAGAACAAGCCACACACACACACACAGCAAAAAAATTGTCTAATTTACCCACCGAGTCGTATGACCTTCTGTTCAGTCTTCACTGTTCTGTCGTCTAGACTGCTGGGTGAAATTTATTGGCATAAAGCGTGAACTACAGCTATGTTGTTAGTATTTCGGTGTTTAGCTCTCCAAATCTGAATTTTTTTCTTAAGTCACACAAATTTTGACATATCACACACGCACAGATTTACCTCCGCATAAAGGTGCCTAACTGGGGCAAAAATGTAAATTAGGCAATCAGTGAAACAATTAGCATTTCTCTACACCTTAATCTATCGATATTTACTATTTTAAAAAAGAAAATCAATTTTGGTTATATGCAGCATTGGAAAGGAGAATAGTAATATTATGATCTGATCTGATGTTGTTTTTTTTTCTATAGGGTGACCTTGGCGCTCGAGGACATGTTGGTAGACCCGGTCCAGTTGGATCACGTGGTCAGCCTGGACTACCTGGTCCAGAAGGTGAACGTGGTATACCTGGTATACCAGGGGATCCTGGTCCCAAAGGAATAATGGTGAGTTCAGCTTAACCAATCAGTGATAATTTGATTTATGTCACCCGGTCGTTGAAGTTTTTCTCTGAAATCCAGTTTAATCCAGTTAACTAGTGTTCATGAGGATGTCAAATATTATTACGGTAGCTTTTTGTCACCTTCACTATCAATGATCACAGTTCTATGTTGATACACCAATCAACAACCAGTCTATCATGCTGTGTGCACATGATAGCAAATTTCACTAGTAATTATAGGCATAAGCGAGTAATACACTTTACTATTTATAGTAGTAATAGAGCCTAGAAAGTCATAATGGCGTGTTTCACCGTGTGACTAACTTAATGATGACTTACATGGTCAGCAGTAAATATTTAAGCAATCATTCTGTTTCCCTAATCATTCAAAAAAAAACAGCAACAAAAAACCCCGCTGATTTCAGCATATTCGCCTACATGGAATTATTTCATCCTTTTCGTTGGCTGATGAAATTAAAAGTTTTTTCTACAAGCCCACGATAAATTTCTAAGTCGAATGTTGACTACTAAAATTCATTGACGAGACAGAATCAGTTTTGCTACACAAGATAATTTTTAGCAAAAATAATTTATTTCTCCTGACCAATAATATTTCTTAAGAAAATAATTTACCAAAATATCCCAAACAGCTCAAAGGTTACGTCCCAGACTGCAGTGCTGTGTGATGCGAGTTCGAATCCCAGGAGGGATATGTAAATACGCCTTGCTTGACTGGTGAGTGCTCAACAGCACGAAATCGCGGAGGTCGAAGGCATCCTGCCGATTGTCTCCAACCATCTGCATGCCAGTCACTGGCTACAAGACGAGATTGCCTGGAATTCTAGCGAGAAGTTGTAACCAGCAGGCTCTATCCGGTGGAGAATGTGGACATATACTCACCGCTGATGACACTGTCTGGTGCCAGTGCATAATATACGCCTTGAATCATACATAATATATACTACTGTACTGATGATGTAGTTTTGACCCGACTAGGTAACATCCACACAGGGAATTGTTCAATGTCTAATACTTTAAAAGGGAAGTACAGTTGCATTTATTCTACTTCATGTATATTTTTTATTTATTTATTTATTTATAGGGTGATAAAGGTGTTATGGGTGTTCCAGGTGTAGATGGAATGAAGGTAAGTAAAGCATTAAATAAATAAACTTCAATTTTGAATAAGTATTTGTATAGAATTTTGTTTTTCTAAACTACTTTCGCTAGTTACTGTCAATGTAGCACTGTTTAAAAATTACTAAGATTTAAGAAGTCAACAAAATAAGTAAACATTTGAGTGTATATTTATATAGTAGTAATGTTACATAAGGTTAACTGTCGAAAAAATGTTGTTTATTAGTCTCAGTTTGATTGAAGAAAAACTCCTTCGTTTGTTTATTTCAACAGCCTCATTAGCACTAAATACAGAAACGTCGTTTTTGTTCCTCATTCATTGGAACATTCGAAATATTCCACTATGGTAATGAAAGTCAATCGTGTAAACCGAGTATGTAGGCTTTTTAAGATGTTGAATACTTTGAAGGAGTGTAAAAAAAATAGAATTTAAAATAAGCAAAACATACAAAAACAAATCAAGCTGAGATTCAGTTATTGTGAAGTATAAATGTAGCAAAACTGTATATCAATAATTTCGCAATAATTTTCATAAACAAAACTACACTACTCTGTATTAAAAAGTAGTATAAGATAATAGAATTAATTTCAGCGAAGTTTATTACATGATATTTTCTGTTCGTTCAGGATCTTCAGATAAAACATTGATTGACAGTAGATTGCGTAGCCCGATGCTGTGTGACATGAAGCTCAAACCAATCCATTCTGCTATTTCTTCTTTGTTTGTCTACTTCGAGAAATCCGCAACATTTTGTTGAAAGCCAATTTAAAAAACGTTCATGGGTACATTTCGAGACTCATGGATATAACCCGGGGACAGTTGTCGCATGCATTGGGATACTTTGCCATCCAACTATGATTCTGCTTTTTCCCAACCTTAGTAGAAACAAGCGAATCAGCAGGTTGTAGACATTTTAAATGCTTGCCAGAGTAAATATTACCATGAGAAGTCATATTTTAATCCATTAAAACACAGTGGAAAGGAGAAATTATACACATTGTACTGTTGGTGTATTTCGGTAGTCCAAGTTTAAATCAGGTTGATGTATTTCAGAAAGGTGCAAAAGTGAATTCTAAGTTGTCCTGTCAAATTCCATGACAAAATGGTTTACTCTTTTTTGAATTGGCTAAAATGAGGATATGATCAAATTTCCTGATTTCCCGCTAATATATTGTTAAACTCAATAATGGGAAATCTTTGTCTACATTAATTTCTGCAACACTGGTTAGTTATGATACTCTTTTAAAATGCTCTTGAGAAAGATGAATCCTACTCATTACTTTTCAAACGAAATCTATATTTGCCTTTAGAGGATGTTTAGCGAAGATGTTATAGTGGCCCTTTTGGAAATAGTCAGGGGCTATTCTTGAAGAAAGCATTGTTAAATTTTTAACTTTTTATCTAGGTAACCATAGTTATAACAACATTATTTCTTAGTTATTTGAAGTGATCGTCTTCTCTCTCTCCGTCCTCTTTTTCACTTTAATTGAATAGGGTGCACTTGGTGTCAAAGGACCAAAAGGTTTTCCAGGTGAAGAAGGATGTTGTGGAGCAAAGGTAAACAAACAGACAATTTCCTCAGTTTTTCTTTTTCAAAGAGTTAATTATTATACCGTGAATGAATGTTATTATTATTCCCTTGGGTTCGAAGCGGGAAATAACGGCTTCAACAGAACATCTTCATCGCATCCTGTTCTCTGCAGTTCTCTACAATTGGCCCCATGACTGCCTATAGACTCTCATCTCCTCTATGTCACCCTTGGATGCCAAACTCGTCATTCCCTATTGGCGTTCCACTCAAGCGGTGGCCTGACGCGCGATATCACTCACCGATCTTATGATCCTTTCTCCAATCTATTTCCATTTCCTGTGGTGTATTTGTTGAGTAATAGGTTCGTAATTGGTTCGTTCCTAGAACTGCTTGTTAGTAAACCTTTCTAGTTGGCCATCTGACCTTCAGTATGGAGCCAGTGAAGTGGATAGCAGCTACAACCTGTTGGAAATGCTTTTCTTGACGCGCAAGCCAAGTTTCTGACTGACTGACTGACTGACTTAACATTGGTGTTGGGAATCCGAATTTTGTTCTTTATGCTCAGAACAGCAGATATCCAAACTGATTTCAGAATGAAGAAGGTCCAACTTGCCTTTTTTTGATCCAGGTTTTGACATCCTCATTCGATTAGATAACTTCGAAATTTTGGAGGATGCGAAAATCCCCGTCTTAAATAGTAATGAGGTAGAAAGTCCCACGTCAAAATATTCTAGTAGTCCATTAGCGTTTTGTGGGAAAATGGATAGCAGTTACAATCAATTGCAATGGATCAGAAGATGCTTTTATCCACTTACTTATTATTATTATTTTCTGATTAGAACAGGAACAACAGTGGTTTGTACAGAATAAGATGCTACCACCATCATTTATTTCGTTGACTTCTCATCAGCTCAGCTGAGTACAGCCTAAAGAAATTATTATTGTTAAGTTCATGTATAGAAATGTTTTAACATACTTGTAAATTGTACATGATGTCGTTCAATGATGGGAGACTGCAAACTTCTCAATAAACAATGCTCAGAATTCGCACCTACGTAGCTAATGACTAGAAAGTCCAAGTTTAAACAAAGATAAATGACTGGTAAAAAAGTTACGTAATAGGGACAAGAGGTGAGTAAGATGATAAATAACTAATAAAATGGAGAAACGATGTAGTGAGTTGGGCTCATATCACAGAAATAAGAGTCAATCATAGTTACACTATGCAAAAGGGAGAAGAGGCTAAACACGAAGATTACGTAATCGGGCGAAAGACAGAGTACAAAAAAACCAGTTACCAGGACTGATACCTGCTTCTTTCTAGACAAATAAATCACCTTTCAGGGGTTTGATAGTCATTGCTCCAGCAAATTTGGGAGGAATCGAACTAATTTGTCTATTGATAATTTTTTAGGGATTTCGTGATATCCACTTCATGATCCGTATTCATGTAATATCTGCTTCCTTGAGACGTAGACTTTTTGGTACATGTTCAGAAGATCAAAGGTGTGCTGTTCTTTCTCTTCTCCCAATGTAACTGCTACCGCAGATCAATGTAAATTTGTATACACAGTTAGAGTTAATGTGAGAAGGGGTATCTGTCAACTTTTGATTCTACCAAAGAGCATGTTTTCCGATAAACGGAAACCAATTTAGCTGCAGGATAGAAGCACTGGCTAGCGAGGTGTTCAATCTTCTGTTGACTATTCCAGTGATGGAGCTGAATGAAGATAGGCTGCTGTGATTGACTGTTAACTTGTTACCTCTTGCATATCGAAATTCCTACTCACTGCTACTGTTCATCGGTGGCACACAGGTGGAATCCTCACCAACCACACCGGTGGTCCTGGGTTCGACCCCCGGCCGCCAACGCACTCCTTTACCTCGCTAAGCCAGTAATAAGACTGGTAAAGAGGGGAGGTTGGGCATGAGGCTCACAACTCTATCCCATAAAAATAAACACCACTGCTACAGAAACTTCAAAGCTCTAGCTTGAAACACTGTAATCCACTGGGAACGTAAAGGAGTAAAAAAACTCATTGTTACTGATTTCTGTACTAGGCAGGCTACGATTTAGAGTCATCCGTGGAAGACTTTCTGAGGGATTAGTAAGTCACCATATGCGATAAGTAGAAGCGACCTGATTGAACTTCATCATCTGTCCAGGTTTTCGTTTCAGCTCAGGTTATCATCTCTCCTAAGGAGAGATAAATTTCGCTTGAAGCAGTACTCATCTGGATAGTAAATATGGCTAGAGAGTATTTCTCAAATATTTGAATTGTTTAGAAAAATCATTTATAAGTCATAGAACCACTCTATTTTAATATTTGCATCTAATTTTATCCAACGTTTGAAAGGAGTATTTCAAAAAATAAATATGAAAACAACAATACCAAGAAATAAACACAAAATTAAAAAATGCGAAAAAGTCCCAAGAAGTAGAAAGGAAAATAAACATCATATAATAATAACTCAGTATTGGGTAGTGGAAGCTATGATATGATAATGCATGGTGACAGTAAAGCTGTAGTCATACAAGAAGTTGTGAAGTGATATTTAAGAATGTTTATCGCCAAGATGATCAGTTAATTTAAGTTGAAACAACACTAAACAATCATAAAATAACAATTCAGGGTTTTTATTGTCAGGTCTAATGCGGTGTTTGTAGTGGTAGTGTGAGTAATCCTGCATAATACAAAATTTTAAGATAGTGATAGTGGCTTTCACAACCAAGATTGTCAGTTAATACTACCGAATAAAAGCAACCACAAAACTAATAATTACATGATGGTTAATGACAGAACAATTTTGTAATACTCATAGTGCTAATATAGTCGGAAGCAGTAGATACACAAAAGAAGGAATAAAGTAAAGTACAAAAAAAGGAAGCCAATGTTAATAATTTAGGTAGCTAAGTATGTTTAAGAAGGAGTTCACTATTGAATGCAAAATAAGGGAGAAACAAAAGAGTCTAAAATTATGTTGTTAACAACAAAGCAAGTCATAGGTTTCGCGCTTATTTCATGAAAAATTAGCAAGGACCCTTCGACTGTTAAGGTACTCAAGTTTGCTGAAGTGAATGAGAAGACTGGTTTTCTCAGACACTGTATAAATAATCATGAACAATCGAAGTGGTATTAGAAAGCTGTTCGTCGCAATCATATTTTGTCCTTACTCAAAATCTATTGAACGATACACTAAGAACCACAGTGATTCCATTCTTTTACGTGCCTGAGAACTGCAGAGAAATACAGCACAACGATCCTCTGAGTTGTCATTTGACGAGCGCCAAGCATTCACTGACTATATCAGTATGGTTATGAAGAAGTGAACAAAAGCCGCCCATTCAAACTTGATAACAAGTCTAAAAGCCATGGAAATTGGGACTCAAGTTTCTGGAAGATCCGGTCAAAATTTATGTTCGATATAAGTAAGTGGAGACCTTGTCTGTTGGGCCAAAATTCTGCCACATGAACCAAAAAATGAGCATCTTAATTCGTCTAAGAGTCTCATAAATGATGAATATTTAAACATACATAAATTTTGACGTTAAATTTTCACAACTTTTCTTCTTCTATTTCACTAGGGACCTAAAGGTCTTAAAGGTACACCTGGTAGTTATGGATTTGATGGTCTCGTCGGTGAACGAGGTTTGAAAGGTCCAAAGGTGAGTGTATTTCTGTAAAACAATATTGTTTATTCAAAAAAAGAACTAATATACATGGCCCTACTTGACCAAAATGATAAACCACTTAGTAGTTAATGGTCTCCTGTTTTCCCCTTTACAACAAGGCAGAATAACAACAAGTGGTTTTGATTATAAATTTATGCTTGGAACTTTCATTCCTGGTAGGTATCATCTAACATCTAAATAAATATTCTCTTCAGTAACTAGTTGTGTTGAATGCTGACCTCTGTTTGATGATTTTAAAAGAATATTACCAGGTTGTTTCAGCTAGCTCTCACCTTCTTTCTCCCCATAATGCTGTGTTATATTATTATAATTCCCTTGGGTTCCGAGTGGAACATACGGCTTCAATAACACAACTCCACTTTCTTCTATTTTCTGCTGTCCTTTTCAGCCGACTAACCACACGATTGGCCATAATCTCTCATCTCCTCCTCCAACTCACATAATATCCTCCATGTCACCCTTGCACTGACGACCCACTCGTCGCCTCCCATTGGAATTCCACTGCAGCGACGGCCTCCTCAACGTATGCCCTGCCCGATCCATCTCTGTTTTCTCCTACATATTTGTTGGGCAATCGGCTCTCGACTGTTGGTTTGTTACAAGCCAGAGTTTCTTATTGCTAATTCTTTATGGATGTCCAGCTGGCCATTCGATCTTCAGTATGCAGCTAGCCAGTGAAGGTGGCAGCTATTGATAAATGTCTGTAACTTGTTGTAAATGCTTCTTGTGATACGCTGGCCGAATTTCTGACCCGTATAGAAGAACTGACAGACTAACTTCACATTGGTGTTGAAAATCCGAATCTTGTTGTTTATGCTGAGTGCAGTGCAGAAGATTTCCAAACTGGTTTCAGGTTGATAAAGGAGTATCTTGCCTTTCCTATTCTGGCCTGGCTTCGACATCTCCATCCGTGCCGTGTGCCTGAGGTTGAAACGATGCTTCCTAACCAGATAAGTGAAGGAACTGATCTCTGTCAAATCTCTCACGTTGATGGTGATTGGTGCTGATTGTTGTTGTTGCGGTTCGTTGGTTGGTTATCTTCATCACCTCCGTCTTCTCTATATTCACCTGGAGACCTGTCTTCACCGCCAGCTTGTTGAGCCAGTTTGTTGATTTTCGCCTGAAAGTCTTCGAGTTTACCAGCTTGCTCGTTTGCTAGTCAGTCCCAAACCCCCATAAAGAGGGAGGTTTGGGCGTAGTGCAAGCGATCCTACCCCACAAAGCCTATCAAACTTCTACAATAACTTCAACTCGCAAAAACATTAAAAAACAGCTTTGTTGGTTTATTTGCACTCTGTAAAAGTTAGAGCATAATCGTTTCAATATTCATATTGAATTTCAAGTTCGGCTGTTATTAATTATCCTATAATTTCTTTAGGGTGATAAAGGTGAACCAGCAATCGTTGATGGTGCTGACGGTATGGGAGAAATGGGACCAAAAGGTGAAAAAGGCGAACGTGGTCCAAAAGGTCTTCGTGGTCGAGATGGTGAAAAAGGTCAACCTGGTATAGCTGGACCAAAAGGCTATCAAGTAAGTTGAGAGATGAGTATTGAAATTAACAGGTAAACTACTTGCGTGTTTCATGACGTTGTATTAACTGGATAATTTTCTTTGAGCAAGTTTAAGGATAGCGATCTAGGAGTGCGAATGGATCAGTGATCTTGAACGCACACTGTTCGTTGGATAACGGAAGTTACCATTATTATAGCTTTGCTATGAACACTGTGCGTGAATAAGGGTGCAAATTTCATCCCTGTCTCTCTCTTAAGTACTGCTTGGAAAAAGGGTTGATAGCTCCTTATGGTTAGAATCAGGGTTAGGATTGGGATTAGGATTGGGATTAGGATTGGACATTTTTAATTAAAAGGAATACCGGTCATTCTGATTGGTCGCCTCAAGGTCAGCGGTGTATTCGCATCGCCTGTACCGTTATTCTTTAAATTTACCGCTTTTGTTCAATTTAAACAACAGCAATAAATACAACTGGCTAATTTGTAAGACTTTAATAAAAGTTACAAAGTACTGATACATTTTTGAAAGGAATTTCCAGTGAAGATCCTCCAGTGTAGAACAGGAACAAAGCTAGTGGTAGTACTCAACAAACAATCACAGCAGACTTTGCGTAGGTGGATACAATTTGCAGATAGATAATCTGAACTTCAAGAAACGGCCACAAAGAGATGAAAGATTAACGTTCAGCGAGAAACCACCAATAAGAAGACTGTGTTTGTTTGCTCACAATAATTTATAATAATGTACATGAAAATCTATAAATATCTGTTCCACTATCCAAAGTGGACAAGTTTGTAGTATATTCCCCTTTTTGAGGTGGCACCACCTGATTTATACAGTGGGTATTAGCACGTTTCAATAAATATTTCAAATATAGTAGTGTAATTTCCTTGAAAATTCAGAAATATACCTTTAACTTTTGAACCTACTGCCTCGTATAACCCATTACATTGCACAGATATCAGTATCAAGCAACATTTCCTGTTATAACTGTAGCAAATGTAACGCAGTCTAGATACATCATATGGCCGATATTATGTACGTTAAAGGCGATTTTTTAATGCAGAATTTCATTTGAATAACATATAAGCAACATAAATTGCCATTAAACCACCACAGCAGCAATGGACTACAACGCTACAATTAGTGCAGCCCGCCCATCCAAAGTAAACCTATCCTATAATAACATCGGGATGTTTATATTATGGTATATCAGGTGTGTCAGAAGACAAATAAAGTAAGAAGTCACATTTAGAGGTGTATTTTGTGTTAATTAGCTCATATATACACCGTTTTGACTTACGCTTATTGCATAGAATACTTCAACTCTTATCTTTAGCACATATCTGTTTTTGTTGCCCCACAAATTTTGGTTTTCTATAGCACAAATCTACAAGTATAGAATAGGACATAAAAATCGATTGATATATATATATATATGTGATTCCAAGAATAATATGACCCTTTAACAAATCTTTCTATCTTTTTTATCTTTCTTCCCCTCCCCCCCCCAACCCAACAGGGAATGAAAGGAGACCGTGGTGATGTGGGCATCAAAGGCGAAAAAGGCGATACACCTACACCGATTTCCTTACCATATGTAAGTGTACAGAGAGAATTCGTTTTAAAAAAATGTAAAATAGCATTTTATAACCATTTATGTCTTAGTCTAAATGAAAAAGATTTGACATATGCACACACACTCACAAACAGCCACAAACGAACATCAAGAAGAAGAAAAGTTGATAAAAACACATACTTTCATATTTCCTACCTCTTTCTCCTTCTCTTCATGTCAGTTAGGTTTGTTCAAAGATTACCTTGACCCACAAAGTAACTATTTTGCTAAAACACTAGGAAGGTTGTAAACAAAACTGTTGCTTTCTAACAGATCAATTGAAATTCAACTAACAATTTACGATGAATAATGTTCAAAAAATAAACTTTACGAATTATACTACTTACAAAATAATCAGTAGCATATTTTTTTTACATAAGATTATTATTTTGTTTACCAAATATTTCAATTAATCATAAAAGTGTATTTTACAATTGTAGGCAGAACCTGGTGAAAAAGGTTTCAAAGGTGAAAAAGGCACATCTTATGACGAATCACCATTGATCAAAGGCCAGAGGTTGGTATATGCATCATTCATAAAAAATATAACTTAATATTTGTGTGGAATTATTCTCATTTTTTTAAAATTTTCGTAACTAAGTAACAGTAAATACTTTTTGGCGTGTTTTGTTTATTTATTTATTTTTGTTGTGTTTCTTCATAAAGAATAGGGATAAAAGGTGTTAAAGGTCTTACTGGTCCAAGAGGTGAACCCGGAGATGAAGGTCCTCCAGGCCCAAGAGTAAGTTTAGTATATGGGATTGCATTATTTTCACATTTTCATCTATACTACTTATTTAACAACAAAAGCGGCACTAATGCCTTCATACAAGACCTGAATGTATCTAACAAAATTATGCTATCCTTCGACATTGAATCACTTTTCACCAATATCCCACTCACGGAAACGATCTCAATATTGGAGTACCAACAGCATATTTGAAGGGATTACTACTGAGATGCACTCTGAACGTACAGTTCACTTTCAACGACTCCATCTATAGATAAAAAGATGGTATTGCAATGGGATCTCCGTTGGGTACACTACTATCAGACTGCTTCGTGGCAAGCCTCGAGAAAGGTTCACTAAAGCCGAGCATTGACAATTTAAGACTGTATAAAAGATATGTAGATGACATATTCATTATGATCAATTCTCCGAAAAGAGACTGTTCACTGAACTACGTGTTTTGTTTCCAATAATGCCTTCATTCTGAAAAGTGCATTTGGACACAATACAGAATTTTCATCGAGTGTTTTATAACCAGGTATTTACTTCATGTATAGGGTCTTCAAATAATATGATGACCGATAATATGTACCATTTGAAGCGATACAATCCCATCCGCGGCATGTTTCGATACCACGCCACAGTGTTGTCCCTCCATCTTCTCCGGATAATTCCTACCCATCATGTAGGTAGAAAATTGTTTGTAATTGTGCATGAGTATAGAGTGAGACTCATCGGGGGCTAATTAGATGATTAAAACAATATGAAACCACGGAGTAAATATAATTATGCATTTTGATGGATAAAAAATGTAGGTAGCCCAGTGATTTAAACAAGCCGCCCGTTTGATGGGAGTTTATTGACGGGAAATCTAAATTTCTTTTTCTTCCCAGTTTTTATGTAAGCACGTATATATTTATATACATGGAACATTGTTATCTGAAGAAAAAAACTATCAAAATTTTTCTTACAGGGTAGTCCTGGAATAAATGGAGTACGCGGACCTCCAGGTCCTATTGGAGACGAGGGTTCAATGGTAAGTATATGAATGAGCCTTTCATTATTTAACCATTCTGTTTATTTAAGTAATATTTTAGGGGAGAAGAAATCAGGTCACAGCTAAGCAGTGAAATAAAGTTAGTTATTTCGTTCGTTCGTTAATTGATTAATTAATTAATTAATTAGTTAGTTAGTTAGTTAGTCCTTTTGTTAGTTAGTTAGTTAGTTAGTTAGTTTTTGTTAGTTAGTTAGTTAGTTAGTTAGTTAGTTAGTTAGTTAGTTAGTTAGTTAGTTAGTTAGTTAGTTAGTTAGTTAGTTAGTTAGTTAGTTAGTTAGTTAGTTAGTTAGTTAGTTAGTTAGTTAGTTAGTTAGTTAGTTAGTTAGTTAGTTAGTTAGTTAGTTAGTTAGTTAGTTAGTTAGTTAGTTAGTTAGTTAGTTAGTTAGTTAGTTAGTTAGTTAGTTAGTTAGTTAGTTAGTTAGTTAGTTAGTTAGTTAGTTAGTTAGTTAGTTAGTTAGTTAGTTAGTTAGTTAGTTAGTTAGTTAGTTAGTTAGTTAGTTAGTTAGTTAGTTAGTTAGGAGTCTAAAATAAAATATACCCATCATTGAGAATTTTACAGTTTTAAGTGAAAATTCGGCACTGTTTCCTTTGGATTTTCAAATTATTTTGAATTATAATATATGACCTGGTAGAAACCATAATTGATGTCAAGAAATCTAGTGAGATGATAATGTTGTATATGCTGCTGATTGATGTTAGCGTTTGGAAAACACTGATGTTAGCCAGTAATGTTCCCTAGTTAGACAGAGGCGATATAAATTCCTGACGACCACTGAACATTGTAGAATTGGTGTAGTTCTGCCCCTTGAGCTGAGTATTTTTTTAATGTTAAGTTTCCATTGTCCTTGTAGATACCGTCTTTAGAGGCAACTTTAGTGAACATGGACTGTGATTTTTTGCCTTCAGAAACTTTCATACCCTTGCGTTTATTTGTGTTGTTATCGATTGCTTAGTTGAACAGGTATTTGACCTTTTTAACATGTGACCTGTTCTTTGTTGATTGATAGATCTGATGCGACTTGGGTCGCTATCTTATAATTCTAATATTTTAGGATACCTTATTTTTAGGAGTAGTTTCATAGGCGATTTAGCTTGACAGTCCCAGAAAAACTCATTTGGTACTAGGTAATTAATAAGAATCGTTTTCTATATATTTAATTAGGGAAAGTTCGGCAAACCTGGAGCACCCGGTATACCTGGACCACCTGGACGACTTGGACAAGATGGTCTGCCTGGACCACCTGGTCAACCTGGTTATCCTGGACCAAAAGGAGACAAAGGATATCCTGGTACTCAAGGACCTAAAGGTGAAAAGGTTAGTCGAATGTCTTTGCAACTGATTTTATAAAGTGTACCTGATAACTTTGCGTTTACAGAAATTTAAGAGAATGATTAATTAATGAAGAAAGAATATTCTATTCGATAAGTTCTTTATCACGTTTTAAATTTTATGACCATAATAATTAGATTATATGTCAAAAGCATCACCAAGAAAGAGAGATAATATGGATTAATCTAACACTACATTGATTGAATATCAGACAAATTAACAGAAGTAATACAGAAATTATGAATTCATAGGTTCAACTGCAGGCCACCATAGCAACAGAGGCTGGCTGGATCTGTTTCTTCTACACAAAGAGCTCCGGTTGTTTTGAGCGAATAGCAGTGGGCTCTGCAGTTTAGAGTGTTCAGTATCTAGAGGTCTTCGGTATTTTATTAGACACCCTATAGATGATGCAAAAAAAATGATAAGTCTTAAGCTTATGCATACATAAAATATACCCACTTAATCTTCCATAGAATATTTCACTGACAAAAGTACAGCATGTACATCTTATTATGAAATTATTTTAGGGTGTAAAAGGTGAAACGATTGATGTCGATGCAATGCCTGGACCTGATGGAGATATTGGTGAACCAGGTGTGAAAGGTGAACGAGGTGATCCAGGTACGGTTTTGCTGATGTTTTATAATTCCTCATAACTTTTGTTAATATAAGAATTATGTATATAAATGCATATAAAAGATATAATTTAATAATTCCCAGTGTAACATTAAGAACACAGTATCTTCAGCGAAGAGACTCTTTCCAACGAATTTATTATCAAGCTGTACAATCGTATATACAAATATGTGCTTTTTAAGAAATTATATCACGTGGGGATATTTAAACAAAGGCGTGATTACTTAAAATGTTTATGATTATAATCATCGTTAAAAATCAAGAGTTTCATCCTAGTTTGGGACACATCATCTGTACGTGTCCACTGGGGTTCAAACCCAAGACCTTCCGGTAACAAGGAGACGATTTTTGAGCACATCTGAAGCCTGATCACCTTTCAATTCCAAATTCACGAAGATGACCTCCTTTGTAACTAAGTCAGTGGATTACTTATCTTTCGTGTTTTTGTCAATAAATCTGTTCGGGTAACTCTTTTCTGTGAGCAGTCAGAGCTACAAATGTTTCTTATTCTAAAGCAGAACGAATGACTTAAGTTGTTTTTCGTGGAGATAGGCACCCAACTGTAAAATATGTATATAAAATATGTACCTATCTCACAAATTTGAACAGTTTTGCACAGCAGAAACTGAAATGTGAATATCAACCAAGCGGAGTACAACTGCATTCAAATAATTTATCTAATGTAGTTTAAAACAATCAACACTTCCCACTATTTATATGTCTCAATAAAAAGTCGATTCGACACTCTTATGTAATATTATTATATTATTATTTTTTCCTTTAATTCCTAGAGGAACATAGGGCTTCAGTCGTGCGTCTCCATTGCGTTCGGTTCTCTGCTAGAGTCTTCACCTGGCTCCATTCTGTCCACATGATTTCATCTCCCCTTCACATGACCTCCTCCAAGTCACCCTTGCACTGACGACCAACTTGCTGTTTCCCTTTCGGGTTCCACTCGAGCAATGGCTTGTCTAGTGATGTCACTTGATGGTTTCCTCAGAGTATGGCCAATCCATCTCCATTTCTTCCTGCCTATTTGTTGCACAATCAGAGGATATATTTACATAGGTTTACTGTCAATCATTGATCCGTGTGATTGATCTTTTCATTTGGTTGATTATACTTCAGTAATCCATGTAGTAGTGTGTTTATGCCCTCACGCCCACTGATTTTCACTCCGTTGAAGTACAATATCTCTAAGAATACTTTAGGAATTAAGTGGTGGATGGTGACTAGCAGTGGAATCCAGGATGCGCATTTCGTCCTATTTGTGACTCATCATCTGAAACTGAATGAAATACTTTATGAATGTTTGAATTCAACTGTTGGAATTATTTTCACTACACCTCAGTCAAAGTTATCAATGTTTCTTTCCACATGTACTGGTAGTAGTTATAATTCTTGATGCTCATTTCGCTAGGCTCCTAGACAACTAGGGAGGTCGCTTGGACAATTAATTTCTTCATACAAAGAATTCCCCAATTTTTACGAGATTTTCTGTAGTGAAGTAACTAAATGTGATGCATACTGACTGAAAATTTGGACAATTTAAAGACCTAGTTTAGATTTTTCATCAGGTTTGGGAAAAAAAAGAAAGTAGGGATCTTGGACTTCCGAAATAAAAGTAATAAAATGGATGTCTTAGAAGGTTCTGGCTAGTGCATGGAACCCGAAAAGAACTCCTTATTGTTTGAGAAATCTGCAGGAAGAGTTAAACTCTTGCTCATTCGTCAACATTCTTATGTTATTAAGTTGACAGATAGAATATAGTTAAAAAGTTCCATTGTGAAGTTAGTGAAAGACATTAGCAGTAGAATCATAAATCCGTAGAAAGAAGTAGATATCAAGCCCTTTTAAAAAGGTAATTTGTGAAAGTTAGAGAACCATTGGAAAGCCAGAGAGTACTGGACAGCTGTTTCGTCAGCTTAGTTTGGGACTCTCCTCACCCGCTGGGGTTCGAACTCATGGCCTTCTGTTTACAAAGGTGACCTCGTAGACCATTCAAACACAGGGACACCCAATCCAATGGCTAGCCCATGAACTCTAATTTCTGCCAGTTGGAACATATGTCTCGTAACCTCCAGCCAATATTATGGGCGAGTAACTGATCTCTTAGCTGACTTGGTGAACCTCACTGGTCACACTGCTCACTAAAACTCCAGGTAATCTCCTGTATACAGCCAGTCAATAGTGAGCTCCAAATTAATTATCAAGTGCTGTTTTGTGGGAATTTGATCGAACTTGTAACCAATCAAATCCTTCCAATCCAACGCTTGATAATTATCGAAAGGCTTAGAAAAGTAGAATTATTATCCTAGAGTGTGTATAGAAAGTTCATATAAATTCTTCTTTTGAATTCTTTATTATATTTCACAGGCCCATATGGACCAAGAGGTCTTCCTGGTGGACGTGGACCCCGAGGAGATCCTGGACCTAAAGGTGATCCAGGCCCTGGTTACGCCCAAGTTATCGTCGGTGAAGTTGGAAGGAAAGGAGAGAAGGGTAAGTATTTTAAATCACTAGAAATTGACTTATCTGTGTTTTTGTCACTTATTTATTCCTTGAGAACTATGCTGAAACACTAATATTGGCTTGTAGTTCTTGCTAGTTTGTCTTAGAGAAATCACCGAAACATTTTTAGAAACGGTAGTCAATCTCGTAATAAACACTTCTTAGTTACTATGTTTTCAGGAAAAGTAGAATTTTCTGTAAACGATTCGGTGTGGGATGAGATTTTGAACGATGAATTAAGATATCTACATTTCAATTTTCAGGACAAAGTACACTATGGGGCTTTGAGGTAATTGATTGATTTTACAACCTCTGAAGATGAATTCACCGTTGAGGAAAATTTTCCCCACTAAAATGTCTTATATTTTTCATGAATCAATGGGTATCTTCGTTCCTTTGAAACGGAGTAAGAACCATATGACAGTGAAAGAACTTGTTCCATTTCTAAAGTTTTCTGTCAAGCTTGCTACATCGAACACGAAAACATATTCAGTTCACTTGCTAACTATCACTTTTAGGGGAAAATTGTGCTAAGAGTAATTGCAAAATCACATATTATTACCTTATTTTTATTGCATTTGTTAACCATATTAGGTCTTCCTGGACTTGATGGAAAACGTGGAAAGACAGGGAGACCTGGCGTCCCAGGACCGAAAGGAGAGAAAGGATATCCTGGACGTGAAGTGTACGGCAAAAAAGGTGATAAAGGTGCACGTGGATTTCCCGGACCTATTGGACCACCAGGTTAGTCATTTTCACTTATATCTTAGAGAAAATCAAAAATAATAATTGTACTCTAAGAGTGCTGAACAGAAGTTTGCAGATGAAGTTATAACTTATTGTCTTTTTCAGGTGATCGTGGAGCTGCCGGTAGGCCAGGTCCAGTTGGTGATCGTGGAGAAATCGGTCCAAGTATTGATGGTCCACCTGGACCTAAAGGAATCAAAGGTCAACCTGGTTTACCAGGTATACGTGGCCGTGATGGTGATCCTGGTCCGCCTGGAGAAAAAGGCGACTGTACTGTATGTCCAGATGGAAGACCTGGTTCACCAGGACCTAAAGGTTTCCGTGGTCAACCAGGAGTGCCTGGAGAACCAGGTCTGGATGGTTCACCCGGACAGAAGGGTTTACCAGGAGCACAAGGACGTGATGGTCTAGTTGGTATCCCTGGTCAAAAGGTATCTCATTCATTCTTAATAAATGAGGAATTCAGTCTTGTTTTTCTTTTTATGGAAATTAATATCATACTGAACAGTGTTCAGTAAAATAGAAAATAATAAAACCCATAGGTTTCTTTGCTTTGAGAACATTAGGGTAAACAGATACTTCTGCTGTAGAAAGACTTTCCAAGCATTATTCTTTCTAAATGTTTTGTAGTGCTGTGCAGTCCAAAATAGCAAGCATGCCTTTTTTAAATAATCAATGGCACAAATCTTTAGTCAATTTGAAATTGAGTTGGCGTCCTGAACAAACTCCTGAACACCTTCAGTATTTAGGACTACATTTTGAAGAAATCTACCTTGCAATCAAACAAAATCCCTACAAATCCAATTCTTGAAAATTAATGTGATGCTCACTAGCGATTAGCCGTATTCAGGCAGTTAACCTGGGGTTCTAGTGGGAAGCCGTGACCAGTAGGGTAGAGCAGGTTCAAGATGAGGCAGTAACTCATCGAAGAAGACACAGCGAAATGGTCGCGCTATGTCCTGAATTGGCAGGTTAGAATTCATGGGCTGGCCAATAAATTGGGTCCCAGTGACTGATGAATGGTCTACGAGCTCGCCTTGTAACCAGGAGGTCCTGGGTTCAAACTCTGGCGGTGGATGAGTACTGTTGAAGAGTCCAAAACTAGGACGAAACAGATGTCCAGTACTCCCAGGTTTTCCAGTGCAATGAAAAAGACTGTCGTGATTCATTTAACTTGGGCACAATTTAGAGTTAACCAACAGTAAATGAGTTCAGCAAGTAACCCTTCATATCAGCACTGAAGGCTGTTTCGCTACACTTGTTCGGGGCTAACACTGAGACTAACAATATGCAACAGTTTGAGTCAACAGTTTGCGATATAAACAGTCCGGGTGAAATTTTCACCACAGTTTCTTTTGGAAACCATGGTAATGAAAAAAGTAAGCAAATTTGCATAAAACTATATATACTACTGACTGATTGAGATGAATAGTAGTATAACACCCCTATCAACCAGTAGTGCTTGCTAGCCAAACTGAGGTGATCTAAACACCGGACATATGCATATATGAGTAGCATACAACTACATATCTCAATAAATTAGTAGTATATAGTTTTACACAGAATGTTTTGCTTTCTTCATTACCATTTATGCGTAACCAAGCAGACCACATACTGTAGTGATAAGAATAATTTGGCTTCCAAAGGAAACTGTGGTGAAGATTTCACCTGCCTCGAACTTTGTAAATTGCAAGCTGCTAACTAATTTTAAAGAAAATGCCAAGCGTTGTCTAAAAATTTTGAAAATTAGGTGTAAGATTACGATAAGAATAAAGATGTGAAGTGAAATGGAATGAATTCAAGTGGTAAAACAAAATAAAGTAAAAACTAGAAAGAACATCACTATGACCGAGGTGAACAAAGGGGTTTGACAAAACGTTTTTGAACACATAATTGAGGTTTCTGTTCATGTATAGCTAAAGCTTCGGGGCTATGCATAAGTGAAGAAACCGTAAACTTTTGGAGCGATTCGATTTTACCATGTAGATAACCTTGAAGGATGAATCACGTAGGGCTGAATGACCAAACTCTAACAGAGGTGATCACAAATAGACGACTTCGCAGTTCTACGTTCGTCTTTCATTAACCAAACCGGAAAGTGTTCAGCTACACATTTTCAGAGAGTACGCTTACAACGTCCAATATAAATAATCAGCTCCACAGGAGCAGATAAAAGAGTAAATGCACATACTATAGAATTATACTTTACCACGGTACCTAAATTTTATTCTTATGTATTGTGGAAGACTTACATGCACGAAAGCATTCGAAAAGATGAGCTCATTTATTCTACGTTTTTCTTTACAATGTTCTAGTGTAATTCATCTGTAAATTCGATCACGAAACTACCAATTTTGAAATTTCATTTTGCTATATCATATAGTCACGAAGACAAAAAGTAACATTGTTCCCCTTGAACAGAAGATATTCACAAAACTTTTTTATCGATTAAATAATGAATGAATGTAAAATTAAAATCTTAAGAAAAATAACTCGCCTTATCTCATTACTATTACTTCCTATTTTTCTTTTTTAGGGTGAAAAAGGTGAACGTGGGAATGATGGTGCTCCTGGGCCTAAAGGTGAACCAGGTCCTGTTGAAATAGTAAATGTCACAGTACCAGAAGCACCACGTGGTGATGTTGGTCGTCCAGGTCGTGCTGGAGTAGTTGGTGAACAAGGTCCAAAAGGTTTTCCTGGTCCTAAAGGTCTACCTGGTCCAGAAGGTCCAAAGGTAAGCATTTACTTTTAAAAGTGTCAGCATATTTGGATTTCTGTGAATAGGATCTATTTTACACTGGTTTTGTCATTTGCGTCTGATTAATAATTCATGATTAGATTTGATAGTGTAGAGAAAGAACTCCAGGTCATCCGACACATTCTAAGCGAGAACGGATATCCAGAGAAGTTCATAAAAGCCAGCATAGGTTACAATAGTCGTAAACATGAACTGACAACGGTGGAGAAAAAGCCTCTTTTTTACGTCTCCAATTCAAGGAAGATACTCCTGCGGAGATTCTATCGCAACGTGTAACCAGGGCGATCAAGAAACCTTTCTACTCTGCACGTCTGTGTCTATCTTTCAGTAACCGTCCAATGTTCACCCAGCAACTCAAAGATGTCTTACCTAAGCTTAGCTCTTCTTCATGCATATACCATTTCAACTGTCCTGTGGTTCAAGTTATTTAATGCGCATGGTTAGGCAGGTTCGTCTACAGGTTCGAGGACATTTACCAGCTTGGTTCTGCAGGGGGGCGGGGGAATTAAGTGCATAAAAAGCTCAATCCTGTCACACTTGGTCGATATTAAAAATCGCATCGATGTCAACACAGCTTTCATTGTTATATACCGAATTCTGAAGTCGTTATCATATATGGTTTGCTTACGTCCCCTACACATAGCTGAAGCTGTTACAATAAGATCGACTAAACCGGAACTTTGTATCCAAAAAGAACACGTCCAGACGCTGTTCACACCGTGGCCAAACTTGGATTGATGATTCTTCTTCTCACCAAGAGTGCTTCTTCCCGTTAACCCTCTTGGTTTTTTTTGGTTTTTTTTTCCTTTGCTTATTATTACAAATATTATTATTACAATCATTATTATTATTATTGATATTATTCGTCATAATTTATGCCCTTCATGCAAACATTCTCTCAATACTATCGAATTCTCCATTTATACTATCCGGACTTATTATTAGTGATATTATCTCTTTTCTCAATGTGTGCCTCCACCCGCTTCATTTCACAAATTCGTTATTCCATTATGAACCTCTCATTGCAGTCTTACTATCTCCTGTTTAACACAGACCACTTTGTACTAGCCACTCACCTGACACCTTTTATAACCTTGAACTGACTTGTCAATTTTCCTACCCCACACTCCACAAATCTATTATGATTAATCACCACCATTGTCTCCCATTTCACTGAAATATTTTGTAATCGATTCAGGCTAGCACGACGTTTGTCACACAAATACGACTATTTATTTTGACACCCCATAACTAATCTGTTATTCTACGTTAAAAATGTATCCGCCGCATAACTGGCCTTTATTGTATCGACAACAAATATTATATTTTATAATTTTAAGAACCTGAAGAGGAGAAATTTTTGAAAAGAATGTTCTTCGTTCAGATTGACTTTTAATTCATGAAAAGGTTATCAAGTTAATTTAATCTGTACTAGTGATAATAGTCTTCATTTTGAAGTTTAACTAGCAAATTATAGAGGCCAAAACTGACTCTCCGTGGTCTGAACACAGGGAACCGATCTCTGCATTGTACTGTATGTCTGTCCAAGACTTCCTTGAGACATGCACAGTTAAAAAAATGCTTAGAAGACAGCAAAAAGACGGTTATTCGCCGTTAGATCTATGCACTTCTGTTCCACAATAATACACAACATCAAAAACTCAAATCTACCTCAATAGTGTCGTTAGGCAGTCAAGAGAACGTTCTAGGTACAAAACAAGTAGTATAGAACAAAATTAGTTAACCGAAATTCATCTGCAAGAAGTATCTGAGAATCAAGTGGAATATTCTCGATAAGGTGGGATCAAGAATTGTGTCAGCAAGAGTCAAGCACCAAATAATTCTGATAGACAAACAGACAGACCGAAGTTAGAATGACTATGACTCACTCAAATAAAATCGCAGTCGTAAAACAACACATTACTGACGTCACCACACAACTACACAGAGAAGCATTCAAATTAGAGATTAAATACGAACAAAGAAAAGTACCAAGGATCAAATCAACACATGAAATGCAAATGTCAGAAGGATGATAAACAGTGTGGTATAATTCAAATGAACTGTCGTCAAGATTTGACAGAATAGTTCTAAAATATTTGGGCACCGAGTGACAAGTAGATATTTGTAAAAAGTTATATTTGTTAAATCTCAGTGATATTAAAATGAGTAATTCCAACGTTTCGTTCAGCAATCTAGCCCGAACTTCTTCAGGGAAATTAATCGAAATTAACTTAACAGAGGTTGGTATATAAAAGGAACATCACTTGTTTTTGAAAACTTTGTCCAATCATAGGTCATAGAACAGGCATCAACAAGTATAATAAACAAAATTTTATGAGCTGTGATCAAAATTTGACCTCGGATTTACAAATATTGGTCTACCTTTTTTAAACACTTTAAACACAATGTGTTTGTGTGTGTGGGTAAACAGTTGTAAAACATTTCTTAACGTCTCCATAAGAAGATATGGACAGTCGAGAATTTTGACCAAGTACTAATAATTAGTGATACATATCCATTATTATTTATTAATGAGGATTTCCTATGCATCAGCTGACATCACGCCTTCATGTCTGTTCAAACTGTTAGTATATGGAATTTTGTGACTAGAGTTTAGTAGAAGCACCCTGTCGGACTTATTGCTTTGTCTTCTTTCTGAATATTGAGCTGCTTTATTCGACCTACTGGAGTTGTCAGGTGACTCGACAGCTACGGATTTAAGATATGCATTCTCACTCGGCGCCCAAATATTTTAGAACTATTCTGTCAAATCCTGACGATAGTTCGTTTGAATTATTTTGCAATCGAATTAAATTAACAAAGAAACTGTGTAATTGTCACAATCATCGTGTTTTCACTCTCCGTTGTCTGCAACAGAATGAATATCCTAAATCCGTAGCTGTCGAGTCACCTGACAACTCCAGTAGGTCGAATAAAGCAGCTCAATATTCAGAAAGAAGACAAAGCAATAAGTCCGACAGGGTGCTTCTACTAAACTCTAGTCACAAAATTCCATATACTAACAGTTTGAACAGACATGAAGGCGTGATGTCAGCTGATGCATAGGAAATCCTCATTAATAAATAATAATGGATATGTATCACTAATTATTAGTACTTGGTCAAAATTCTCGACTGTCCATATCTTCTTATGGAGACGTTAAGAAATGTTTTACAACTGTTTACCCACACACACAAACACATTGTGTTTAAAGTGTTTAAAAAAGGTAGACCAATATTTGTAAATCCGAGGTCAAATTTTGATCACAGCTCATAAAATTTTGTTTATTATACTTGTTGATGCCTGTTCTATGACCTATGATTGGACAAAGTTTTCAAAAACAAGTGATGTTCCTTTTATATACCAACCTCTGTTAAGTTAATTTCGATTAATTTCCCTGAAGAAGTTCGGACCAGATTGCCGAACGCAGGAAACGTTGAAATTACTCATTTCAATCTCGCTGAGATTTTACAAGTATAATTTTTTACAAGTGTGGTAGAATAATTGATAATAATTACAAATTTAGTTGAAACATCCAAATAAGTGGCAATAATGTGGTTAGATCATCCCGAGGGGATTTTCCGAACAGGTATGCTGTTACACAAATAAGATGTTGGTAGTTCGCGTTACTATGTCGATTATGTCTTCTTTGTAGAATGGTAAAACATTCTTTTGATTCAAACTCAGGTGTGAGAAAAATGCCTTCTAAGAACTCAATATACAAATGTAACTCATGAAGTCCTTGGCGATCTATCATCAAATAGTTCTGAAATTCAATACGTAAATGGGATTTACTTCCATCACAAGTAGATGAAGATTGTACGCTTTTTCCCAAGTGAGCAGTCCCTCAGCCTCTTGAACTCATTCTCCTTGAACGTGTTCCAACATGTCAGTCTCCATATTTGAAACCTACGCTTACTTTTAGAGAAATATATATATATATACAAGAAGTTTATTTATTTATTATTCCCTTGCGTTCCAAGTGGAACATAAGGCTTCAACAACACATCTCCACTTTGTTCTGTTTTCTGCCGTCCTCTTCAGCTTGGACCACGATTGCGCACAATCTCTCATCTCCTTCTCACACGATCTCCTTTATGTCACACTAGGACTACCCACTAGTTGCTTCCTATTTGGATTCCACTCGAGGGCCTGACGCGCGATATCATTCGGTTGTCTCCTCGATGTATGCCCGATCCATCTCCATTTTCTCCAGCATATTTGTTCAGCGATCGGCTCTCGCCTGTTGGTTTATTCTCAGCCAGAGTTTCTTGTTATTAATTCTTTCTGGAACGGTAGCTATTTGATCTTCAGTATGGAACCAGCGAAGGTGCCAGATGTTGATGAAAGTCTGCAACCTGTTGGAAATCCTTTTTGTGACACGCAGTGCAAGCTTCTGACTCGTACAGAAGAACCGACTTCACACTGGTGTTGAAAATGCGAATCCTTTTCCTTATACTGAGTGCAGAAGTACTAGAAATTATCGAACATAATTTAGAAAGATAAGGAGGGTTTCCTATATGTGCATCACTGAATTGACAGAAAGCAGTTTCGTATTATTCACGAGGTGAAATGTTTCCCTTTAAGCAAGGGTTCAAATTTAAAAAGATCATTATTACAAAGGCAGATTGACATTTTTCGGGAAACCTGTCTGCGGAACATGAATGAAACCCTGCAACACGGATGACGCCTTCATAATCCTTGTGTTAATTGTCATGAGTGTTCATTAATGGTATGAGTGTTAGTAAACTATTAGTTCTGTATGCCAATTTCCCAATGAAAGAGTGAAAACCTTTAAACGGAAATCTAGAATACTTAACTAATTTTATCATTTCACGTTTATTCTATATTTATTTTTATGTTTACGACTTTTATATATATGAAAGGTTTCATCAGTAAGTGTTGTCTAGATAGTGTGTTACTCCCCTTGAGTGTACGTCAGTCATTATATATTCTCACAGACAACCAAACAGGGATACTGCATCGCTACTTTTGAACTAAAAATAAGCCATCTCTAATCAAAGATGCAAAGCCTTTGAAGTGAAGATAGGAGTACGAGAAGACTGTCTGTCTGCCATCACCGATGATATTTCTGACTGAGACAGACTAGATTATGTGGCACAGCGTACATGGAGAGAGAGAGACACAGAAGACAGGAATACGTTGGACCGATAAGAAGACTCTAGAAGGTCTGGACTTCGTGGACAACTTATGTCTAATGTCACATAAATCGGGACAATTACAAGCGAAAACGAACAACTTGGTAGAAAATGCAGAGAGCGAAGACAGCACTTCAAGTGAGCATAAAGAAGACGGAGGTGATGCAGATAACCAACCAATCAGTTTGAACCGACAAAATTTGAAAGAGGTCACTCCCATCACTTATTTGAGTGGCATCATCTCAAATACAGGCGACACGGATGAATGAGGATGTCAAAACGAGAATCGGAAAGGCAGGGAGTACCTTCATCACTCTGAAATCAATTTGGGAATCTTATGCACCCAGTATAAACAACGAGATTCGGATTTTCAACAACAATGTTAAGTCGGTCAATGAATGCTTCTATATGATTCAGAAACTTGACGCGTCATGAAATGCGTTTCCAACAGGCCACTGTGGACTTTTGTCAACACCTGTATTAGCTGGCTCTATATTGAAAATCAGATGGCTGGCTTTAAAGGATCAGCAACAAGAAACTCTGGTGACAAATGAACGAATCAAGAACCTATTGCTAAGCAAATATTGCGAAGAAAATGGAGACGGATTGATCGGACACATACTGAGGACACCGGTGAATGACATCGCGCGCCCCAGGGTGGAACCCGAGTAGGAAATGACGATTTGGGCATGAGTCAGACGGTGACATCGAGGAGATCGTCTAAGGAGGATATTAAAGCTCAAGTACAGTCGTGAAGCCAGCTGAAGACACCGTAGTCTTATCATCTTCGTCTCTACGGCTTCATAACATATCTTTTAGGCATAGCTACTAAGGGATTCCTCCAAATGACATTTTGATCTTCATTTAAACTTCTGACTTTTATTTCACTCAGTACTACACTCCTTCCTATTGTCAATCCTTAGAAAGATTATATGTATATATATAATTAATTGAAATCACCCATCTTATCTTCACAAGGGCACTTTCACCATTGTAATCTTTGTATTTACTTAAAAAAGGGTGATACAGGTTTACCGGGGTTACCAGGCTTCAGTGGAACTGTTGGAAAACCTGGAAGACGTGGTGAACCAGGTCGTGATGGAATTGTATTCGATGCACAGAAGGGAGCTCCAGGTGTTCCTGGTCGAGATGGTATCAAAGGTGAAAAAGGAGAGAAAGGAGACAGGGGTAAGTAAATGTTATAAGATGAGAAAACACGCAACATAATAACAATAATTATTATTATTAGTCATCTTGTTTTATGTCCAAACTTTCATGAGATGGCGCTATATCAGTCAGCGACTGACAGAAACTGTCAGTCATTCTCCAGTGATTCAGAAAAGCCAGCTGGTTATGTAATCATTTCGCATGCTTATAGTCCTAGTCTGTCTAACTTGTGGTATAACAGGAGGTTAATACTGAGCAATCACAGACCGGAGTAAAACAAGTGTCTTGTTTGTCACGAAATTTATTTTTAATACTGTTAAAATAAGACAAGTGTACATTTTCTCTACTTTCCTGAAGAATTCAAAATTCGAGAGAAAAATGTAGTAAAATCATAAGAGAATAAAAGGAGACTTGTAAACTGCTTGAATGAGATTCAGGCAGAAGTCACAGGCAACCTGTTAGTCCTTTAGTTTATGTAGACATCGTCAAAAACAACTCAGCTTAATAGGAATCCTAGCATACATTAACCAATATTTATGGATACATATTTAGGTGATGTGTGATGGAATTTATTCTTTTGAAGTGAGCTATCCCAAATGAAATGACTCCAAAAGCACTTTATTTTTAAATTAAAAGATTACTTGTTTTTAAATGGCTAATTGAACAGATTTATTTTACATGTGTACATATTTTTCAAAATTTCCCATTTAGGTATGGACAATATTGTCGATCAAATATTTGAATATATCAAGGGTGAAATGGGTCCGAAAGGATTTCCAGGTGACAAAGGATTATCAGGATTTCCAGGGGAAAAAGGTAAATTTCTATTCGTACAATAAGTATAAAAATTATCGTGATATATATGTATATATACTCGGCGTTTCGATTTCATGTAATGTCACTTGAAGGTCCCTTCAGCGTATATCCATATGCTCCTGCATATTTCTTGGACAACAGGCTAACAGCTGGTTCACTGTTATAAATTCTTGTTGCTAACTGTTCCCAGCCATCTGATATTCAGTATGGAGAGAAGTGATTAGCCCAGCGTTTGCTCGATAATATAATTTCCTTCATTGTTGTCTTTTTGAGGGTTCCATTTGCATTAATCTCTTCTAGGATAGGGACCTGGTCTCTTTTACCTACAGCCTGTTCTGTTTCAGCGCTGTTGGGTCGTAAAAGAGTCTTTTGTCTTTCCTAGCACTCTTCTTTACTTCTTTGTCCAATACATTGTAGAGTATACCCAGGCTCTATTTTCCTCGTTCATCCCTACACTCCTTCATCTTCCTCCTCACCAGCCCTCTCTCCTCCTCCCAGTTTCCATGTGTCCGTAATAGCCGATTTCTTGTCCAGTCTCTTCATCCTGCTTGAGATTTCTATAGGGATGTGAGTACGAAAATTGATAAAAGCCCAGTTCATTGTTTATAAGGAAGAGATACTTTTGATAGGTACAACAGCTGCTTTAGTGCTTGTTAACTAAATAAGCCATAAGAGGTGCAGTTCACACATTAACTACACACTAATTTTTTGCAAGTAGAAACTAAAACACGTTGTAACGCTGTTTGAATTTTGTCTGTTAGATGTAGTGGTGTAACGGGAAAAGACAAAAGATCTGGTATCAGAGTATTTACGTGTAATTTGTTATTCACATATAGGGAAAAAGAGAAGACGTTCAGCGAAGAGACTCTTTTCGGCAAATTCATTCACATAGCTGTTCAATCACATTTATATACAATTATTATTAAGTGTGTACATGAGGTTTGTCAAGTTTAGATAATTGATCAGGTAATACAAGAATGATCCAATATAGAAACAAGCTTAATTAGACAGCAACTAAAGTAAGATTGAGTTAGTAAGTTAGATGACATAATATAATTGACTAAAATGTTTCAACTTAGGTCAGGATAGCAACAGAGGTAATTACAGGTAGAGACTAAGTAGAAGTGGGGTAGAGAATAATGCCATTTAAATTAGGACTAAAATTGAGCAAATAAATTGGATGACGTAACATACAGGACTAGAAATTGAGCGTTGGTCAAGTCAGTAATAGTGGTAATGAGGTGTAGAAATTAAATCGGGTTGGGGTAGAGAACAGAAAAGTTGAAAATGTAAAATATTACAACTGAAAAGACAAAATGATACTAATGAAGAGACAGAAAGAAAGAAATAGAATTTGCCTGTCGGGTATTAAAATAGATTACGTCCATTGCAAGTGTAGTGATTGAACGAACTTCTTCTGTATGCAGAGTTCAGGACTTAGCAAGTGAATTGCCATTGCTTCTGCAGTTTGAAGAAGTCTGATTTGCACACTTTTAGGAAGACTACTTCGTATTCTGTAGACGACTTTGAAGTTTGTTTGGGGTGTAGCTTGGTGTCCGGAATCTATCAGATGTTCTAAGATAGAGCTGTGAGGGGGCATCGTTTTTCTCCTTTGTAAAGTCATGCTGGTAAGTGCTTGGTGATACTTTTGGAAAGCGAATGCTGGGTACGGCTGACATACCTGGTTCCACACGAGCAGGTGAATTGGTAGATACACACTGATGAGGCCAGCAATGGTAACTTATCCTTCACGTTCATACGAATCATAGGTTTCGTGGAGAAGGTTAATCGTAGTTCAGCTGCGAAAAAGGTTTTCTTAAGTGAACGGGACAGTCGATTTTTCAGTGTTTCCACAAATGAATCTCCATTGAACTGAAGGTCATGTAGAGGAGCTAAATATATATGGAAATTATGTATACCATATATTAAAATCGTCATTTACCCAGATCTTCCAAGTTGTGCCACTTCCGCCCTTCTTATCGTGTTCCTTTATCTTATTTTCGTGTCTCCCATGTTTTTCTGCAATACTGAATCACTTCCCCCTCTTTGGCGTCAAATCTATCTCTCTGCTATATGATATTTCTTTGCTGATGAACGTTTCTTCATATACTACTGATAAATCTTGTTAGTAGCACACACCACAGTAGTAGTAATTTGAACACAGATCACTTGTATAAGATGCATTCAGGTTGTAAGTGTAAATAACTTATCAAATTTCCTAATCGTTGGTGCATTCATGAGTTTTTAGTTTCTCCAACCTCGAAGTACTCCCTATTATTGTACAGATTTCTAGTTAGTCTTTTCAAACCTCATTGAATTTTAAACTTTTCCAAATAGAGATCGTCAACTTTTATTCCAAAGTGAATATTGTCGCAGAAAATAAGGATAGACATTATCTCCCCCTGGAAATACTCTCATCTTCGCAGTTAGATCTTATTGATTAGTCATTGCCATTAGGAAAATCAAAATCTAACACTTACCCTCATGGTTTTATGATGGAGAAATAAGATCCCCCCGGCAGCTGCCTACTGGTACACCTGATCGAATCTGGATGCAAAACTAACCCAAAAAGGAACCTCAGAGCTATCTACAGAGCATGTGGGAACCTCACCAGAAGAGTAAGAATCAAACTTCCTCAAACCGCAGAAGCAATGGCGACAATTCACATGTTAAATCTTGAACTCTGCATACGGCAGAAGTTTGTTCGGTCAATAAATCTACAATGGATCTGATCTGTCATAACATAAAATACGAAATTTTTGTTTGCTGTTTTTTAATTGCCCTATTTTCTTACCTCACCCCCTATTAAACTTTCATACCTTATTACCACTGCTGTTAGCTTGACTCTCGATCGATTTTAGTTGAATTCTACTCATTCCCTCCATTTATATTACGTCACTAGGTTTAATTATTTAATTTTATTCTGGTTTCTACCCTACTAAAGCTTTGTACATCACGTAATTTCTTATTAGAAATTAACAATTCTAATGATATGTCTCTGGAAATGTTCCTTTTGTTGCTAAGACAATTACTATTTATACATGCATCGGTGGCATAGCGGTTAGGACGCTCGCCGACCATGCACATGGTCCGGGGTTCGATCCCCGGCTGACGCACTCCTTTACCTCGCTAAACCAGAAATAAAAGCTGGTAAAGAGGAAAGGTTGGGCATGAGGCTAGCAACCCTATCCTGTAAAAATATACACTGCTACAGAAACTTCAAGCCTCTAGCTTGAATCCCTATGTCCCAGTGGGAACGTGAAGGAATAAAAAAATATATATTACTGTACAGCTTAAGAATGATATCTTTGAAAAGAGTAACACTTTGCTGAATGTCCTTACTTTTATAAATCTAGGACTACTTGAAAATGATGAACAACCGTCTAGTGTCAAACACTTAGGACCCTTACTTTCAAGTCGAATTAATTCAATGGACATTAGTCTCAAAATGCTTAGGTAATCTTCTTTAACAGTGTCTATTACTGAGTAATCTTCAAACAGCCCTTAATAAGACTGGTAAAGAAGGAAGGTTGGGCATGAGGCTAGCAGCCTCATCCTATAAAAATAAATACAGCTGCTAGTGAAACGTCAAGCCTTTATCTTGAAGCCCTATGTTCCACTGGGAATAAAAAAGTCAAAAATAGTGATACTTAAAGAAAATGGCAAACATAAAGAATAGCGACCGGGAGTGTGAACGCATACCATCTGTTGGATTACATAACCTCCGGTGTACTTAATAACAACATCTTTATTCTAGACAGTATTTATAAAATGTACAGAATTTTCAGAGGAGTTCAGTGCATGATATTTTCCCCTCGTACAATATCTTCAAGTAAAGAATTAATTGACAGTATATCCTGTGACACAATAGTCCCTGACCTGAAGTACAATCATTCCATTTATGATATATCTGCTTTGTCTCCTTCCTTCAAGAAATCCACGATATCTAGTTGAAAGCCAATTGAAAGATGTTCAGAAGTACATCTTGAGACCCAAGGACACAACTCAGGAACAGTTATCTCACGTTGCCACCCACACAATCAGGCCTTTCCTTAAAAAGTCCTTTATTTGCGAGGAAAATTAACTTAATTGTAGTGAAAACACAATTTAATGACAATATGTTACCCTCACGTAACTGAAAAATACTTCACAATTACAATGAAGGGTATCAGTTTTCAAGTTTCGCGGCTATCAAAACGGTTTCGGCTGTATTAACAACGAAGCACTCTCCTCCCATTTATTCATTTATAAGAAAAATACAAATAATAATAATAAAAAATTTCAAACCTTATCCTTACTATTGTAACAACAGAAGACAAGGGCCAGGCAACAGATCGTTTATTACGAAAAATCAACACGTATTTATAGATTTTTATGTACATTATTGTGGGTCAATGTTAGTAGAAAATACAGTCTGTTGATTGGTTGTTTCTCACACAAAGTTAACCTTGCATCTCTTGTGGCTGTGTCAGTTCATCTATATGTTAACTGTAACCGCCTGTCCACCTTGACCTTTGACCTCAATTACTGTCAACCAATTTGGCCAGCAACCATCTCTCACCACAACATGACTAATATTTGATATATAAACATTGACCTCAATTACTGTCCACCACTTGGCTAGTAGACCGCTCTCACCACACTCGTCCCCCCGTCAAATAGTTTGGACTGAAGTCGGCTCGGTCTTCTCGGTTCTTGGGGCTTTGCTCTGTTGTCTTGCTGTCTGGAATCTCGGCGCTTGCGGATGTCCACTTGTTTAACGGTGTTTACCATTGCGATTGTGTCTGCGTAACCCCATCTCAACGTGACCATATATGGTCCTTCCCACTTTGGAAACTGTTTGCCTGACCCTGTCGCACATTCGTAGGTATTTCGCCTCACACTTCCATATGCTGCTTTCTCCCGACCTCCCAGCAGCGTTCCAAGTAGCAGCCTTATCGCTGACAGATCTTGAACGCCACTCAACTGCGAATAAGCCTCAAAGTCCTGCCCGAAGATCCATATGTCTTCATCAAAAACTGCAGGGCATAGGCTTTCCATTTGTCGGTAGGCAGCGACACCAAATGTAACAACAGAAGACAAGGGCCAGGCAACAGATCGTTTATTACGAAAAATCAACACGTATTTATAGATTTTTATGTACATTATTGTGGGTCAATGTTAGTAGAAAATACAGTCTGTTGATTGGTTGTTTCTCACACAAAGTTAACCTTGCATCTCTTGTGGCTGTGTCAGTTCATCTATATGTTAACTGTAACCGCCTGTCCACCTTGACCTTTGACCTCAATTACTGTCAACCAATTTGGCCAGCAACCATCTCTCACCACAACATGACTAATATTTGATATATAAACATTGACCTCAATTACTGTCCACCACTTGGCTAGTAGACCGCTCTCACCACACTCGTCCCCCCGTCAAATAGTTTGGACTGAAGTCGGCTCGGTCTTCTCGGTTCTTGGGGCTTTGCTCTGTTGTCTTGCTGTCTGGAATCTCGGCGCTTGCGGATGTCCACTTGTTTAACGGTGTTTACCATTGCGATTGTGTCTGCGTAACCCCATCTCAACGTGACCATATATGGTCCTTCCCACTTTGGAAACTGTTTGCCTGACCCTGTCGCACATTCGTAGGTATTTCGCCTCACACTTCCATATGCTGCTTTCTCCCGACCTCCCAGCAGCGTTCCAAGTAGCAGCCTTATCGCTGACAGATCTTGAACGCCACTCAACTGCGAATAAGCCTCAAAGTCCTGCCCGAAGATCCATATGTCTTCATCAAAAACTGCAGGGCATAGGCTTTCCATTTGTCGGTAGGCAGCGACACCAAATGTAACAACAGAAGACAAGGGCCAGGCAACAGATCGTTTATTACGAAAAATCAACACGTATTTATAGATTTTTATGTACATTATTGTGGGTCAATGTTAGTAGAAAATACAGTCTGTTGATTGGTTGTTTCTCACACAAAGTTAACCTTGCATCTCTTGTGGCTGTGTCAGTTCATCTATATGTTAACTGTAACCGCCTGTCCACCTTGACCTTTGACCTCAATTACTGTCAACCAATTTGGCCAGCAACCATCTCTCACCACAACATGACTAATATTTGATATATAAACATTGACCTCAATTACTGTCCACCACTTGGCTAGTAGACCGCTCTCACCACACTATAACCTAATCCTAACCATAACATGCTATCAACCCACTGTCCAATCAGTACTTAAAAACGAATCAGGATAAAATTTGCACCCCAATCCATTTACAGAGTTCATACTGGTTCTGTAATAACGGCAGATTCTGTAATCCAAAAAACAACCTGCGTTCTACTTCACTGGTGAGTTTGTACTCTGTGGTGGCCATTCTTTAGATTTACCAAGAAAAGAACAGTGAATACACAAATACACCCTTATGATGAAATCCTATAACCAATCAAACAAAATTCCCTACAAAAATCAATACATGAAAATCGATCTGATGCTCACTAGCGACTAGCCCTATTCAAGCAGTTATCTGGGGTTCTAGTGGGAAGCAGTGACCAGTAGGGTACAGCAAGTTGAAGGTAAGGCAGTAACTCATCGAAGAAGACATTATGAAGTAGTCGTGCTATGTCATGAATTGGCAGAAGTTAGAATTAATAGACTGGCCATTGAATCGGGTCCCAGTGACTGATGAATGGTCTACGAGCTAGCTCGCCTTGTAACCAGAAGGTCCTGGGTTCGAACCCTGCCGACGGGTGCGTACTGATGAAGAGACCCAAACGACTAGGACGGAACAGCTGCGCAGTATTCCGATGGTTCTCTAATTGATGTCAGCTCATGATGAAGTCCTCCAACCAATCAAATGTCACTTAGTTGAAGAAGACACTACAGCTTATACTGATAGCCTTTTCTAATTGCATATTACCGAACTTTTTAGTTATTGGTTTAGAATTGAGTGATTCATGTGTGAGTCACTGGCATCTCTCTTTTATCTTTAAGTCATTTAGTTTGACTGTATACATCCTGCTTGTTGTTTAAAACTAACACTTTCATTTTTCAGTTTGTTAAAGGACAAAAAAATAAATTTATCAAACGAAAACTGGAGCGAAATTGCTCATCAGACAAAAACATTGTGCTTTTTTTACCAGCTTCTGGCTATATCAGAAATTTTAACAAATTTATGCCTTTGTTTAATAGACATTTGTGCTTTTTCGTATGAATCACCGTGTGTGAACTAACCTTGTTCTAAAAATGAAACCGGCTTCGTATTTCATTACGCCTACTTTGTTTCTTTTTCATACACTTGTACTTTTTTTCTCTTTTGTTCTTATAGGTAGAGAAGGCGAGAAAGGTATTCCTGGAATACCTGGAAAGCAAGGGAAACCAGGTTTTCCTGGTCCACAAGGAGCTCCAGGTCAACAAGGTGACAAAGGTTTTATTGGACCAAAAGGGCCTAGAGGCATTCCAGGACCAGCTGGTGGACCTGGAGTTAAAGGTGCAAAAGGTCTTCTAGGTCCTAAAGGTGTTCCTGGAAGTCCTGGTGATATGGGTGAACGTGGCCCTCCTGGTTTGCCTGGTACTTCAGCAGTTGGAGAGAAAGGCGAAGAAGGTGCACGAGGTTTCCCTGGTCCAGTTGGTAGAAAAGGAATGCCAGGGATTAAAGGGGAGAAGGGAGTTAGAGGCATTGATGGACTTCCTGGACTAAATGGACCGAAAGGAGAAAGAGGAGATCAAGGACCGAAAGGTGACATTGGAGAACCGGGTGAAATTTATCAAGGAGTGAAGGGACCTAAAGGTATTAAAGGTGAACGTGGTCGACAAGGCATTGATGGAGCGAAAGGAGAACCTGGAGAAGACAGATTCCCTACAGCTGCACTGAAAGGTGCTCCTGGTCAGCCAGGACCACGTGGACCTGAAGGACCGAAAGGATTCCCAGGAAGTGTAGGCTTGCCGGGGAGAGTAGGCCCAATGGGACCTAGTGGAATTCCTGGACCTCCAGGTGACAAAGGTGATGCTGGCTTGCCTGGTCAATTTGGCCCTAAAGGTTTACCAGGAGAACCTGGAGATGAGGGCCCAGATGGACCACGAGGAGAAACTGGTGACGAGGGACCAAGAGGTGTTCCTGGGGCAGCAGGACCTAAAGGATTACCTGGACTAATGGGTCCCAAAGGACTTCCAGGGGAACCAGGAGCTGTAGGAGTCGGACTTAAAGGGCAGAAAGGTTTGCCAGGAATTAAAGGTAAGATATTTATACCGTTGTATTAGAGTAAGTTCGACCTTTTGTTTAATTATAAATATATTAGATACAGCTCATTTTGAATATCTAAGTAATACATTTTGGTTTAACTAGTTAAATGTCCAAGGTACCTTTTATCTTTCACAATAAGACTATCCCACTTCGATATCCTACTTAATCCACCTTTGTAATATCCGCGCAGAAGTAAAAATATGCTTTTCAATAAGTAAGTATCATTGTGCCACTTGTTCAAATGAGCTGGTAGTGCTTGAAAGACTAGAACAGTAAGTTAATAGACTGCATAATAAAGGGTAGTGTTTTGATCTATGTCACCAATTGAAATGAACCCGTCACCAATTTGTTATGTACCTATCGTATCAACAGTTGATATGACCGAGTAGATGTATGCGTGGGTATAATAATACTGACACAATGCACAACTCAACTGATAAGCTGAATGCACCTATTCATAAGTGGCACCTTCTACTTCTCTGAGCCACATAAATATTAAAAAAACCAAAGACTGTGGCCTGTAACTGCTGGGTTAAAATACTTATTAGGAAAAAGCAAGTTACACTGATATATTTTTAACTACATTAGAATCGGCCTAGGATAGTGAAAATATACTGTTCTGATTGGTAGGCGATTTGGCTAGGTCACCGGAAAATAAATATTCTGATTGGTTGAAAATTTAACCAAGACCAAGGTGAGAAAAAGATGGTGAAATTTTACAGTCATCCAATCACACAGCGAATCACATGATGAATTATACGATGATTACTATTTTAAGCTTATTCCTATCAGTGGTGTATACTTGGTTTTGCAGTTCGTATAAATCAACCAGGTGATTCAAGTTTCGATCTCCGGCCTACGCCTGACTACACCTCGCTTAGCTGTCAATAAGCCCGGTAGAAAGGGAAGGTTGGGGCATGAAGTTAGCAACTCCGCCCAGAGAAAAAACACACTACTACTAGTGAAACTTGAAAGTTCAAGCTTGAAGCTCTGTGTTCCACTGGGAATGCGGAGGAATAGAATGTAATAATAAGTAATAAATCATGGGATCGAACCCAGGTGGATGCGTACTGATGAACAGTCCCAAACTAGGACGAAACAGCTGTCCAGTACTCCCAGGTTTTCCAATGGTTCTCTAACCAATGTCAGCTCATGATGAAATCCTGTAATCAATCAGTCAAATCCCTACAAACCAATACATTCTTCGCTGCCACACTATGACTGACATTTTTCTCGCGGCCATTGTTCTTCAACTACTCTAAAGATAAACTATCGCATTTTACCACTTCCATGTGTATCTACCAATTCACCTGCTCTTGCGGAGCGAGGTATATAGGTCGTTCGATGCGAGTCTTATCTAAAAGAGTTCAAGAACACTATCCCGCCTGGCTACGGAAAGGTAACAACGGAGCAATAAGGAGCGCCATTATTGAGCATATACTCAACACTGGTCATTCGATTTGCAAAGAGAAGTCGTTCAAAGTCATCTATAAAGTCAAAAGAAGCATTCCAAAATCGACAAGCTTCCGTATACTTTGTATTGCCGAAGCCTTAGCGATTTGGATAGAAAAGCCTGATTTATGTACACAGAAGAAACTTCTCCACCCCCTCCTACTACCATGGGGTTTAATTTCAAGTTTATCTGTCATCAACATTTTGTTATCAAATTTTTTTTGCAATTTTCGTGTAATAAGTTTTAGTAACTAACCCATTCAATCTTTTCACCTACTATCTGGTTTATTTTCATAATTGTCTCCATACTCCTTCACTAGCATCTAATCTTTCTAAACATGTCTATATTACGTAACCCTACTCACATCTTACCAATCTTCACCCCACTTAGTTACAACTTTGATTATTAATCACACATTTTAATTTCCCAATTATTTTGATGATATAATCAACAACCCACACTAACTGTTATTTTGATTTTGACAAACCTAATGTACACACACACACACAAAATTAATTGTATATATTTGCGACTGTACAGCTAAGTGAATGAATTCGCCGAAAAGAGACTCTTCGCTGAACTAATTTGTTCTTATTTCAATGTCTTAATGGGTATTTTTCGCGAATAACGTAATGTGTTGCTTCAACAAGATAGTATGACTTTAAATTTAGAATTAATCAATTAAGTTTTTATTTCATTATCACAGGTGTCAAGGGTGTACCCGGTGAGCCTGGCGACGATGGAACACCAGGCAGAAAAGGTCTTCCAGGTCTAGCTGGTAGAGCAGAAAAAGGTGAAAAAGGAGAGAAAGGATTAAAGGGTGCACAACCACCTCCAGGACCTAAAGGAAGACCTGGTCAAATGGGTCCAATGGGTGAAACAGGTGATCCTGGACCTGTAGGTCCTATTGGTGAGAAAGGAAATCGTGGAACTCCTGGACCAGCTGGACGTCCTGGTCGAACTGGTGCAATTGGTGAACCGGGTGATTCTGGACCAAGAGGTCTACCAGGGCTGCCTGGACCATTGGTAAGATTTATTTTTCTCTTTAGCAAAACAATGCAGAGGTAAATCTGCTTTAATATATGTGTGTAAAACTTGGGCATTGTTGTGTGGTATGTGATTCCATATTAATTTGCTTATTAGATATATCACACACAGTGAAACAGTATTATTTACTGGATGACGTGCACAAAATAATGACAACACCAACAATAGGGAATTTAAATCATCAGTAGTACTTCCATACAAAGAAGGAATCCCCGGGATCCTTATGTAGAATTCTTAACAATGCAGGAATAAAAGTGTCGTTCAACTCCCCCAAAAACCAACTTAGAAACAAGCTTTGTTAGTTAAAGGATCCTGTGGAGCCTGTAAAACAAAACAATTTAGTTTATCTAATACCCGACTGCAATGATTGTCAGGTAAGATACATAGGTTAGAGTAGTAGAACAGGGTCAGTTAGACTAGCCGAGCATAAAAACCCAGCAAAATCTAGATTAGTTGACCCGAATAAGATAAGAAATCTAGAGAATAGTTCAGCTGTAGCACTCACTACATGCAGTTACACACAACCATACCATAGAATGGATGGGATAAGATGACAGTTTTAAAATCTAATATAATAACAGGGTGGAGGGAGAGACTGATAACTAACTGAGGCTTTATTTATCCAATCAACTGAGAGGGGATACGTGTAATAGGAATGGCTCAACACCTTTCTAGCAGGACATCTGGGAAATTCTACTACCCCTACGACAACTAAGAAAGGATAAAGACTATAAAACGAAAGTTTCGAAGTTGTGTGATTACAATTGATGTGAGTATAAACAATAATAGACTGTGTTCGAAACGTCATCCAGTAAATAATACTGTTTCACTGTGTGATATATCTAATCAACAAACCAGTATGGAAGTAAATGTGTTTTACCGAAGAAGTGAAGATTGAACCCTTGCTTTGGAACTGTATGATTTTGATTAGATAACACTCTTGAAAAGCTCACTGCAGTGGAACATAGGGCTTCAAGCTAGAGCTTTGAAGTTTCGGTAGCAGTGGTGTTTACTTTTACGGGATGGGGTTGCTAGTCTCATGTCCAACCTTCCCCTCTTCAGCAGTCCTATGACTGGCTAAGAGAGGTAAATGAGTGCGTGGGTGGCACGCGATCGAACTCCGAACCACATGAGTCGCGGTTGGCAAGCATTCTACCGCTGTGCCACCGACGCACCGACGCTGTAGACTTACGAACGCTAAATTTATGTTACCTACTTGAAGGCTAATGTATATTCAGCTAATGTTTTACAACCAAAGATACATTCAGGAGACTATAAAATTTGATGTCATCTTAAGAATCAAAATATCACGAGTGAAATGTAAATTTTTCTATATTTATCAGTTAAATAACAACTTTGTTTTGAATTTTTGTATAAAATAATTACAGCAAAGTTAAAGAATACCGATGTAAAGATATGCGAACGCACCGCTGACCTTGAGGCGACCAATCAGAATAACCAGTGTATTTTACATAAAAATGCCGTTTGTTTACTGGAAAAGTACAGATAGCAATTATGACCACCGTAGAACCACTTACTAGAAAAATAGAGATAATAAAAATAAAACACCCTTCCCTCAATACCAATCCTAACCCTAACCAGTTAACTAAACAGGACTTAAAAATGAGATCGGGATGAAATTTGCGCCACAGTTCGTGCACTACCTTCATAGTGGTGCTACAATAATAATAGTAGGTCTCGTCATCCAATGAATAGTGTGCGTTCAAGGTCACTGGGGGGTTCGCACTCCTGGATCGCTATACTTTAACTTGACCATAATCAGGAGTCGAAAAATTCCTTCGTGGTAAAAAAAACTTATTCCAATCTGATTTACACAGAGTTTTATTGTTCTCAATAGTTGATTTTACTTTGATTGCTTGACGTATTTCTGACTTCTCACTCTCCACAGTCTGCCACATAATCCTGTCCAATACAGTTAGGAATATCATCGGTGATAACAGACAGACAGCCTTGTCTTACTCCTGTATTTACTTTAAAATCAGACTTCTCTGAGTTTCTCGTTGAGGATCACCTGACACGTTGCACTGTCATATAGCCAGATGTTGAATGAAGTTGATAAAGATTTGGGCACTGCACTCCGTAGTGTTGAAGTAGTTTCTAAATTACTTCTCGGTCTACGCTGTAGAAGACCTTTTCAAAGTGGATGAAGTTAAGGTAGAGGTTTGACTGCCATTCTATACTTTTTTCTGTGATGACGATGTGTAGAGCTGCAATTTGACCAGCACATGATTTGCCTTTCCTGAATCCAGCTTGTTCTGAGGGGGTGGGGCGGAGTTCTGTATCCAGCGATCTTTATTCTCTTCAGGATGACTCGACTTAGTATTTTACTTGGCGTGGTGAACCATAGCATTATTCCCCGCCAGTTCTTGCAGCGTGAGGCGCAAGTCGTCCTCCTTTGGTAGCTTGACAAGGTAGCCAGCCTTCCTCCCAATAGGTAGGCACCTTTCTTTCTTTCACAACTTTCTGCAGTAATGGCGTGAGAACATCTGCCGCAGTCTCTGAGTCTGTTTTCAGTGCTTCGGGGAGGAGGGGGAAATTCCGTCTGATCCTGCTGCCTCCCAAACCTCAGCAGCTTGATCGCATTCAGGATTTCTGCTTTCGTTGGAGGATTGCCGTCCACTGGCAGGCAGTTGTTTTGGTGGTACCTCTGGGTGAGTTGCAGGTGGTGGTCGATTCAAGAGTCCTTTAAATTGATCAGCCCACTGTTTGATTTGTTTCTTCTCTTCGGTAATTAGGTTCCCTTGAACATTTTTTATAGAGACCTGGTTATCCGATATAGTGTTATAAGGTCTCTTTTACCTGCGGCCTGTTCTGTTTCATTTGCCAGCCAGTGTGTCGTAGAATTGTCTTTTGTCTTTCTTAGCACTCTTTTGCACTGCTTTATTCAGTGCAGTGTACAGTGAACTTAGCTTCTCCTTCTGTTGACCATCTTTGCATTGGCTTATCTTCTGTTTCACCATCCTTTTTCCCCTATTAGCTGTAGAGAGTCATTTCTTGTCTTGACTCTTCTTCCTTCCTAAAATGTCTGTACACGTTTCCTTGAACATCACCTTTAGAGAGTTCCAGACTTCTTCCACACAGGTTTCCTCAGTGATGCCACGTAATATTTCGACTTCGTACTGATGACTGCAGTGAAGGTGTCTTTGACCGTTCATTTTTATGAACAAAGCTTACTTTGGAATTATTATATTCACCAGTTGACTCAGTGTTGCTTAAATTGTGCTCTAAATGAGTACATTCAACAATAAAACAATTATGCTAATAACCTGTACTTTTGTTTTTTTTTATTTCAGGGTGATAAAGGTGAAAAAGGTTTACCAGGAACAACACTTCGAGTGGCTGATGTTGGTGCAAAAGGTGAAAAAGGTCAACCTGGTGTACCTGGTCCACCTGGACCTAAAGGTAGACAGGGTCCAAAAGGTGATGGAGGACCTCAAGGTCAACCAGGTAAAGATGGTTTACCAGGTCAACCTGGCCCTATGGGAGCAAAGGGTGAAAAAGGAGTACCTGGACCGGAAGGACCAAGAGGAGTTGAAGGACAACCAGGTCCAAAAGGTATTAAAGGATTCATTGGTCCAAAAGGATTCCCTGGATCAGTAGGTAAGCTTGCGATTAATAATAGGCTTGTACGTATCAATAGCTCCTTTTTACTTATCCTGTAGGTCTTGTGTTCTATCCAATTCAGTTTTTGACTAAAAATCTGTGAATAGATTTAATTATATTTTTATTTCTCGATAAGTGAATTTCTTTAATAAACTGATGAATGGTTTTTTGATATCACAGGATAAAAAGAAGTGAATTTTTATACATTTATTCAAATTAGGTCCTCCTGGCGAGCGTGGTCCTACTGGAGATCGTGGTGAAGTATCAAGATCGGCGACTGGACAGAAAGGTGAACGTGGTCCAATGGGTTTACCTGGGCCAGTGGGTAGAAAAGGTGATCCAGGCGAAACTGGACTGAGAGGAGCCCCAGGTGATGTAGGAGAACCAGGCCCTGACTTGGTTGGAGCACCTGGTGAAAAAGGAAGTCCTGGACCAACAGGTCGACCAGGAGTTCCTGGAATGAGAGGACCTAAAGGCGTTAAAGGTGTATCACCAAGGGAACCTGGAGAACCTGGTCCTAGAGGTGCCGATGGACCACCGGGTATCAAAGGTGAACGTGGACCAAAGGGATTTGACGGATCCGTTGGTAGAAAAGTAAGTTCAGTCAGTGTCAACTATTCATTCATTTGGTATGTAGGAGTCATAAACAAAAAAGGAGGTAATAGAGAAGAGAATTTTTTCTCGATGAATCATTTTCAAGAGCTGTACAATCCTGTTTATTCATAAAACCAATGAGATACGAATAACCTATGTTCTAGGAAATGTCCTCCATAGTGTGAAGAGTAATCTAGACTTATGACGAAGGTCTTGATAAAAAAACTAGTCGGCATATTGGAATATTTTCCAATTCTCTGATATGAAAACTACATTAGTTTTATATTTTCAGAAGACAAACACCATTGGAATAGGATTCCAGTTACCAAGCTTCATTTTCACCAAATAAATACTAATTGGAGACATTTATTTCCTAATATTTAGAGCGAACAATTGTGGTTTCAATAAATTCTTCTTCAGGCTCTACAATTATAAGTCCATTAGTTTAAGCATACAATATCCAGTAAAGGCAAATTAGAATCATATCAGAAAGTGTATTGTGGAACAAGTATAAGATGGGATGGAACAATAGTCAGGTAGTTTTTTTTTAATATGCATGGTCAATGAGAACATGGGCAAAATGAGATGAAGTAATTTAATTTAATGATGTGTGTGTATATATATGAATATAGTCAACAGAAAATACAAGTTTCTAGAGTGTGTGTAATCAGGGTGTGTGAGACAATATGAAAATAAACCAACGAATGGGGCGGTCTAGACATAAGTGCAAGGTTGAAAATAACGACAACAAGAACGATTGTAAAATAATAACGATGATATGGTGTAAAATTACAAGTACTATTGGTGAATGATTGTCAAATAATAATAATGAATATAATGAAGTGGAATGAACAGGATTTTGTAAATACGATAGCAAGTTAGAAAAGCACTACTTAAACCTAAGGTAATAAAATCATAAGAAAGGTCATGGAATCATAAAAGTCGAAAATGAACGTTTGTCAATGAAACACAGGAAAAGAAGGAAACAAAAGAAAATAAAATTGTGAAAGGAATTTATAGTGTTAATGGAGGATTTGTTGGCTTTATTGTAGGCCAAGGTAAACATAGAGGTTGAATATACTTCTTCTTCTATTCCTCTGTTTCTTTGACAAACGTTCATTTCCGACTTTTATGATTCCATGACCTTTCTTATGATTTTATTACCTTAGGTTTAAGTAGTGCTTTTCTAACTTGCTATCGTATTTACAAAATCCTGTTCATTCCACTTCATTATATTCATTATTATTATTTGACAATCATTCACCAATAGTACTTGTAATTTTACACCATATCATCGTTATTATTTTACAATCGTTCTTGTTGTCGTTATTTTCAACCTTGCACTTATGTCTAGACCGCCCCATTCGTTGGTTTATTTTCATATTGTCTCACACACCCTGATTACACACACTCTAGAAACTTGTATTTTCTGTTGACTATATTCATATATATACACACACATCATTAAATTAAATTACTTCATCTCATTTTGCCCATGTTCTCATTGACCATGCATATTAAAAAAAAACTACCTGACTATTGTTCCATCCCATCTTATACTTGTTCCACAATACACTTTCTGATATGATTCTAATTTGCCTTTACTGGATATTGTATGCTTAAACTAATGGACTTATAATTGTAGAGCCTGAAGAAGAATTTATTGAAACCACAATTGTTCACTCTAAATATTTTGTTCTGAATAAATTATGGGAATATTCAATTTACATTTATTTCCCAATACGAATTTAAAACAAGCGACAAAAGATAGTAAAGTAGGATTTAATGAATTCGCCCGATTTCGATAGAAGCACTCTTCAGCTGGATACTCTACATACAGGGATGGATATAAAACTAAGATAAAATGCATTACAGTCCAATAACAACATTTAAATAAACAATTAGTTATCACTGAGTGAAAGAACTTAAATATATCAAGAATTTCGAACTAATAATAAAGTAACAACAATAACAGTAATCACTTCACCGAAAATACCCACTGAGTCATGAAGAAAATAAATAAAAGACAAATTCAGCGAAAAAAATTTTCTTTATCGACGAAATCATCTTCAGAGGCTGTACAGTCGTATTTAAATTTACCAAAATTTATAGTAGTCTATTAGTACTACTAGGGGAAGGGGTGACATAATTGATATAATTACTCAGAAGTGGCTTTAGAAGTAGAAAATAAAAGTTGTAAATTACGTGGTACTCAATGGAACAAAGTTAGAAATTTGATAAGGTTAAAATTGCTATTGAGTGGGAATAAAGGTAGTTGAGTGTCAATTTAACAAGTGTGAAGAGGGTGTGAAAATGTACAAAGGACCAAAGAGTGAATAGTGAATTAATTATTAAAGTAAAAGCAAACTAAAAGTAAATTTGAAAATAAAAAATTTTTTTACAAGGAACGACTAGTGAAGAGGTTAAGACCATGGTAGAATAAGAGACTGGACAAACTTTTTCTGTATACAGAGTTCGTGGTTGTATTGACGAATCGCCAGCGCCTCCACCATACACAAATGCCGAAACCTGACGCCCTTTGTACCATTTGTCCTCACCTTGTAGATAATCTTGAAAGAAGACTCTGGTGGGGCTACATGGCTTGAGTTCACCAAGTGCTCGAGAATTGAGCTAGTAATTGTCTTGCATTGTCCTTTTGCTAACCATGTCGGATAATGTTCAGAGATGCGTTTGGAAAGTGTGCGCATTGTGCGGCCAATATAACTAGCTCCACACGAGCAGATGAATTTATAAGCACACATTGAGGTGGCCTAAAGCGGCAGTTTATCCTTCATACATCCATTGATCATTAGTCGGCAGTAGAAATTGATCTGTAGCTCAACCGAAAAAAGAAGGCTTTTCTCAGTGATCTGGATAAGCAGCGGTTCTTCAGAATCTCAGCTGCGGTATCACCTTTAAATTCAACCCTCATAAATAGCAGTTTCTTCGGCATCGTCTGGGTAATGATAAAACGAGTCAAGGTAGTGGTAATAATAAAAGATACTTTTAAGTGAATCAGAAATAATAGTAATAAGAGGTAGAATTAAAAATATAAATAGTAATAATAACAGTTATTAAATAAAACGTATTTCCATGGTAGATTCAGAGTGACCACCATTTTCTTTTGTACAGAGACCTAGTTTAAAAACTGTAATTGCACAAGCCTCCTCCGCAGTTGCAAGCATCTTCTTGTTTGTTTGTCTGCTGACAACAGCGAATGACTTGACACCGTCAGTATCATGCCCGTAGTCCACAAGATGCTTTGTTATCGAATTTTTAGGCACTTTGACTTCAGCTGTTTTCACCCACCTTGGCAAGTGCTCCATCATGCGAGTAGACAATCGCCTTTCTGTACGACCTATATATTCGCTTCTACAAACACACTCAAATTAATATACGCAGTCTGAAATGTTGAGGATTGGCGACTGGTCTTTCCCAGACTGTTGAAGCACCCACTTCGTGGTGTTAAGGAAGACAAGTTTTGCAGCATAATAAGTTCTCTTGATAACTTTGTCGAGTCTTTGTTTGATTACTTCTTGTACGTCACCTCCTTTGAACGGAGTATTGATTTCTTTGGAACTGTTTGAATAGTTTTACTGGGGCTCATTTCTTTAGAGTATTTATCAATGAACTTCACAGGATATTCATTCTCAGATAAAATATCCTTCAGAGCCTTTATTTCATGTTTAATTGCACTGTCAGAACACATTTTTTGTGCTCTGTTAAGTAGTGTCCTAAGTTTCTTTTATATTGGATCGGAACAAAACTTTTAAGATGTATCTACTGTCCCGTCCATGAAGATTTTCTAAATATAGGTCTTTCCATTATGCTATAAGTCTTTTTCATCAGAGAAACATCTAGGAATTTAATAGTATCACCAATGCTGAAACCTGATGCCCTTTGTACCGTTTGGCCTCACCTTGCAGCCCCGCCAGAGTCATCTTTCAAGATTATCTACAAGGTAATACCAAGTGGTACAAAGGGTGTCAGATTTCGGCATTTGTGTATGGCGGAGGCGTTGGCAATTCGTCAGTACAACCGTGAAGTATGTAAAAAGAAAAAGTTTGTCCAGTCTCTTATTCTACCATAGTCTTAACTTCTTCACTAGTCGTTCTCTGAAAATTTTTTATTTTTAACGGTTACTTTACTTTTACTTCAATAATTAATTAATTCACTATTATCACTCTTATATGTTCCTTTTTTAATTTTTTCACCCTTTTTACACCTGTTAAATGGACACTCAACTGCCTTTCTTCTCACTCAATAGCAATTTTAACCTTATCAAATTTCTAAGGCTTTCTTCCTTTGTGCCGTTGAGTATTACGTGATTTATAACTTTTATTTTTACTTTTGAAGCCACTTATAAGTAGTTATATCAGTTATGTTACCCCCCCCCTATTACTCAATAATAGACTACTATACATTTTTGGTAAATATAAATACAACTGTACAGCCTCCGAAGATGATTTTGGCGATTGGAATTATATACTGCTAATTGACTGAAATGAGCGGTTGAATACCACCACTCATATCGACCAGCAGTGCTCACTAGCCAGTCAAAATGAGATGATCTAAACATCGGACGGCCGTTTCGCTTATTTGGGGCCGAGGTCATCAGCGCGGTGTACACCAGGTTTGACTCAGCACCTCAGAGAGCAGACACAGTTCAAACCACACCCGATTTTTGGCTAGCTACTTGAGCGAACTGGTTATACCATAAGCATTTAATTAGATTCTTAATAATTATTAGAAAACTAAGAAAATAATTAGAACACCGTATAACAAAAATGCTTAATTGTATGCAATTTCCTCTTTGAAACAGGGATTACCAGGTTTGAAAGGTGAACAAGGGACAAAAGGCATTGCAGGTCAACCAGGAAGACCTGGTAGTGTTGGTGAGAAAGGCGATAGAGGACCACCAGGAATTCCAGGTGAAAAAGGCAACAAAGGAATTAAAGGTGAAATGGGTCGTCCAGGATTACCAGGCCAGAAAGGTGAAAGTGCATTTGCTATTGTTGGAATGAAAGGAGAAAAAGGAATTCGTGGAGATGATGGTTTAATGGGTCCCAAGGGTATACCAGGAGTTGATGGAGCTCCTGGTTCTCCTGGTCCAAGAGGTGAACCTGGTGATGCTGGAGAACCATCGCCTAGAGGTCCTAAAGGTTATCCAGGTCCACCTGGTGAAAAAGGATTTATGGGTCCAGAGGGACCAAAAGGTGAAGTTGGTCCGATTGGAGAACAAGGAGCACCAGGAGCCATTGGCGATACACGTGGTAACACTGGACACTTATTCACAGTGTAAGTTTACATTCCTTAATTAACATATTCACTTGATGATATTAGATGGTTGGAGGCAATCGGCTACAGGAAGCCTTGCTTGACCTAGGTTTCGTGCTAGTTGGCATTCGTCTTCATGTCTCTTCTGAGATTCGAACCTAAATCACTCAGTGTTGCAGTCAGAGACGTTACCACCGAGCTATTCGAGCTCGCAACTGACCTCCTGTAGGACTGTATTGGATACTTTGATTGGTTTTCAATGGTCCTGTAACTGATATCCGTCCGTGGTCAGACTTGAAATATATACATATTTATATATGCATAGTGCTGCTTTGTAATTGAGTTAAGAAGTAATTTTCTCACTAAATACTAACTACGAACTGTATTCAGTATCATACGAGAACACAAAGAATTGTAGTAGTAATGTTGTAAACAAAGTTCAGACAACTCGTCAGGTTGACAGTACGAATGGTATATAAACTCAAAATTTAATCACTTTCTAGATTAATCACGCCATCTAAGATAGACATCATTAACAAATACATTGTCATCTGAATGGAAACAACTAAAATAACTAGAATAATGGATTAGGTCATAACGTGCATCGGTCTACTAGATAAGAAACCAAATAAACAAGCCTATATAACTCATTGTCTCACGATCACATTAAATATGTGAAAGTAATAATATTTACAAGCCGCATCATCCTGGAGAGCATCAAACATGCCCTGGATGAAAAGCTTCGACCGGAACAAGCTGGATTCAGGAGGAACAAGTCATGCATTGATCAGATCGCCACATTACGGATCATCATTGAACAAAGCCTGGAATGGCAATCACCTCTCTATCTCAACTTCATCGACTTTGAAAATGACTTTGACAGCGTCGATCGAGAGGTGATTTGGAAACTATTTCGCTACTACGGGGTGCCAACGACAATTATACATCTCATCCAACAGCTGTACGACAATGCTGCATGCAAAGTAATCCACAAAGTGAAACTTACGGAATCCTTCGAAGTGAGGACAGGAGTAAGACAAGGCTGCATACTATTGCCAATGATTTTCCTGACTGCAGTAGATTGGATAATGCGACGAACAGCAGGCAATGAGGAAACAGGCATAAAATGGACTCACACGAAAAACTTGCAGGATCTGGACTTCGCCGATGATATATGTCTGATTTCCCACAAACTGGAAGATATGCAAGCGAAAAGCAACAAGTTGGCAGAAGAAGCATCAAAGATAGGACTTTCTTCAGGTGAACATAGAGAAGACAGAGGTGATGAAGATTCCTGGCCAACACCACCAACAGCAACAACAACAACAGACAAGAATCAGCATAAATGGAAGGAACCTGAAAGAAACAACCTCCCTTACCTACCAACCTGGAAGCATCGTTTCAACTACAGGCGGACAGAACTGACGAGGATATCAAAGGAAGAATCGGAAAAGCAAGACAAGCTTTCACTACTCTCCGGTCTGTGTGGAGGTCAACAGCACTCCTCACCATGAAAAATAAGATCCGGGTTTTCAACTCCAATGTGAAGTCAGTGCCACTATACGGATCAGAGACTTGCACTGCGCGTCATGAAGAGCATCTCAAACAAACTACAGACCTTCATTAACAGTTGTCTTCGCTCAATACTCAAGATCAGATGGCCGGCCAGAAAAGATCAGCAACAGAGATCTCTGGCAATGAGTGAACCAACCGAGAAGGAGCCGATTGTGAAACAAATAGGCAGGAAGAAATGGAGATGGATTGGCCATACTCTTAGGAAACCATCAAGTGACATCACTAGACAAGCCATTGCTCGAGTGGAACCCGATAGGGAACCGGCGAGTTGGTCGTCAGGGTGAGGGTGACTTGGAGGAGGTCATATGAAGAGGAGATGAAAACGTGTGAAAAGACTTGGAGTCAGGTGAAAGCACTGGCAGAGAACCGAAAGCAATGGAGACGCATGGCTGAAGCCCTATGTTCCTGTAGGAATTAAAGGAAACAAATAAAATAAAAAATAATAATATTTACAAATCAGTATATATATAATATATAACTAGCTGAAGTAGCAGAGAAGACAGGACTCCAGGTGAACACAGAGAAGACGGAGGTGATGCAGATAACCAACCACCACCAATAGCAACAATAACCAGCACCAATCACCATCAACAGGAGAGATTTGAAAGAGGTTACTTCCTCCCTTCACTTATCCGGCTAGGAAGCATCGTTTCAACTACAGCTAGCGGAATGGATGAAGATGTCAAAGCCAGCCAGAATCGGAAAGGCGAGATACGTACGCCTTCATCAACCTGAAACCAGTTTGGAAATATTCTGCACTGCACTTAGCCAGCATAAAGAACAAGAAGATTCGGATTTTCAACACAAATGTGAAGTTGGTCAGTCACTTCTTCTATACGCGTCAGAGACTTGGTTGGTGTGTCAAGAAAAGCATTTCCAACAGCCTGCTGCAGACTTTTATCAACAGTTGCCTTCACAATATACTGAAGATCAAATGGCTACCTGTCCAGAAAGAACTAATAACAAGAAACTCTGGCTGGCTGGGAACAAACCAACAGGCGAGAGCCGATCACTCAACAAATATGTAGGAGAAAATGGAGATGGACGGATCGAGCATACGATGAGGAAGGAGGCCGTCGAATGATATCGCGCTAAACGCAGACCATCGGTCGAGTAGAAGGTGAATGGGGAACATCGAGTGAGGGTGACATACAGGAGGTCGTTTGGAGTGGAGGAGATGAGATATTATGAACAGTCTTGGACTCAGCTGAAGAAGACAGCACCAAATAGGACAAAGTGGATTTGTGTTGTTGAAGCGCTATGTTCCACTTGGAACCCAAGGGAAAAATATATACATATATTTTCCTAATCTACCATAGTGTCAGGTAATTAAATCAGTTCAGGATAAAATCAATGATTTGTTATTGCTCCAAATATACCAAAGATGGTAACACATAGATCACTTCATGCATTTATTCCCCTTGATGAATTTGAATAAAGCAAGAACAAAAGTGGTTTGTGCAGAATAATATGGTACCATCATTTATTTCGTAGGCTTCTCATCAGCTGCTTACAGCCTAAATACATAATGAGGTTTGCGTACAGAAAAGTTTTAACATACTTGCAAATTTTTACATGTTGCCAGTTGACAAAAAGTTCCACAGTAAGTGAACAGTGCTCAGAAAATTGCGCTTATATAGTTTTTACACATGCAGTTCAAGTTTAAACAAAATAGATGTATGCATACAATGGTAAAGGAGTTACGTAATAAAGACGAAATATGAGTCAAATACAGAGTGACTAATAAATTAGGTAACAATGTACTGAGTTCAACTCAAATCGTAGAAACAAGAGACAAGCAAAATTACAGAAAATAAAAGGGGGTGAGGTTAAAGACAAAGATTACGTAATCAATGAGAGAATAAATATATATGTCTTCTAACATTATAGAGATGCTTCGGCAATTGAGAGATGACTCTTGTCTATTGATAATTTTTAAAGGATTTCTCGATTTCTACTTCATGACCCGTGTCGAGAAATGTTAGTGATAGCGCTGCTATAAGAGTTTGTTCCCTTGAGACGTAGGCTTTTGGCACATAGATCACTGATGTCAATCATATTGCATATACTCGAATATTTGGTAGATTCACTACTATTATTACCATTCCCCTGGGTTCCAAATGGAACATAGAGTTTCAGTAGAACACCTCAATTTCACAACGTTGTCTGAAGTCTTCTTCATTTGGCCCCACGATTGCGCATAGTCTCACACCTCCTACTCATACGATCTCCTCCATATCACACACTGTTTCCCATTAACCTTCTACTGGAATGTCTGTCTGACGCGCGATGTCACCCAAAGGTGCCATCCATCTCCATTTTCGTCAGCGTATTTGTTGAGTAATAGGTTCATGAATGACTCGTTCCTAGAGTTTCCTGTTGCTAATTCTTCCTGGATGGCCATTTGATTTTCAACATGGAGCCAGCGAAGGTGGCAGCTGTTGATGAAAGTCTACATTGGCCCGTTGGAAGTGCTTTTGGTGATACTCGCGCCAAGTCCTTGAAGCATATAGAAGAATTGAATAACACTAGTGTTGAAAATCCGAATCTTCTGTTTTTTATGCTTGAGTAGAAAAGATTTCAACGGTGATTTCAAAGTGATAAAAGTCCATTTTGCCTTACCGTTTTTTGTTTTGACATCCTCATCTGTGCTGTCGCCTGTACTTCTAATGATGCTATCTAGATAATTGAAGGGAGTGACCTGTTTCAAATTAGTAGATTCAGGAGACGGATATCAGGAAAGCAACTTCATCGCTTTTATATTCATTAATCAAGGCTAATATTAGTACAGCCACAGTGGAAGCACCTAAATTACAGTTAGATGTAGAATCATAACATATACATGCACAGGTTTCTGTTCTATTGGGTTATATAAATTATATATATCCAAACCAAGTTCACTTTTAAAAGTGAAAAAATTTGGGCATTGGATATATGATATTCATTATAATAAGAAATTTTTGTATTTCCCAATGAATGAAAAACAAAACGATATTACTGTTTTTACTGACGTTTCGCTATTTAATGCTGCTAATAGCTTTATCAAAGTAGTTATATTAAACCAGAATTTACAAAATCTCAGCTTATATATAACAACTTAATCATCGTTCCTCAGCATGGAGTCAATTTTGCGTTGTCGAATTGGCCAATTGGTAAAGATAACAAAACCAAGTGTAGATTGTTGGATTTGATAAGTGTGTAAAATTATAAAAGCAGCATGTGTTTACATAATGAAATTGTTTATCACATTCGTGTTGATTTTGTCATTTTATGGGAGAGGGGGATGTTGTAACAAGGTCAAATTCTGTTTTAGTCCATCATTCCTATTCAGACAATTTGGATTCCATTCAATATGTGAAGTGCTTCTGATATTAGACGTTCTTTGTGATTTCTGAAATTTTTCTGGATGATGATTTCAATATTGTCAAAATCAATTTTGTCGCCTGATTCTATAGCGTGTAAACAACCTATGGCTGATGATTTTTCAAGCTTTTCTAGTTCAACTGGATTTCTCGGTGGTCGAACATAGATGCTCTACAGTGTTCATTTCTTCTGACTTTGATTTCTCACGATGTTTGTCCGATGTATATCGTATCACATTCCAAGCATTTTATTTTATAGACACAATTAGATAGAGAATCCTTAGGGATTTGGTCTTTTATATAGACGAGGTTGCTTTGCAGTGTGTCTGATGTTTTGAAGAAAACTCTAATGTCGAGTTGATTGAGTACACTTCTGATATCGTCTGACGTCTCTGCACTATATGGAGTGATAGATGTTGAGGTCCATATTTTCGGAATGCGTTTTCGACCATGTTTAATGTCAGTGTTGATTTCGTTGATGAAGTTCTTCGGGTAGTTATTTGGTTTGAGGGTCTCAGTAATGTTTGATATTTCTATTTCTTCTTTTTCTTCCTCATCCGTTAACAGCAGAGAGTGTGCTCGTCTAAGAAGACTTGAAACAACTGATACCTTTGCGCGGATGGAGAAGGATGATGAGAATTCTAAATATTTATTGTTGGAGTGTGCTTTCTTCCTGAATATAGATGTACTAAAATGTCCGCTTTCCCTCCCCTTAACTAGACAGGCAGTCTAGAAATGGTAGTTCACTGATGTCTGATTCTGCTTCCGAAGTAAACTGGATCCTGAGAGATTGATTGTTCAGTTTCTCCAGGAATGAATTGTGTAGATCTCGTTTTAACACTACAAAAGTACCGTCAACGTATCTTAATCATATTCTAGGCGTGAGTATGCTTGAAAAGATGTTATCTTCGAATCTATTGGCCAACTTTAGAAAGCAAAAATGACCCTATGCTGAAGACCTATGATTAAATTGTTATATATAAACTGAGATTTTGTAAATTCTGGTTTAATAATGCTATTCTAATAAAGCTATTAACAGCATTAAATAGCGAAACGTCAGTAAAAACATCAATATAACCAGAAGGACCTGGGTTCCAACCCCGGCGGTGGGTGCGTACTTCTGAAGAGTCCCAAACCAGGACGAAACAGCTGTCCAGTACTCCCTGAGGGTTTTCCAATGGTTCTCTAACTGATGTCAGCTCATGATGAAATCCTGTCACCAATCAAATCCCTACAAACCAACACTTGAATATCAATATCTTTTTGCTTTTCATTTACTGGGAAATACAAAATACCTTTATTATAATGGATTATATAAATTTATAAAGATGATGCTAACATATGTATTTCTGATTCATCATTTCATCAATTTTCCACTTAAATTATCTTTCAGTCACAGTCAAACAACACGTATACCATCATGTCCATCATCAACGCGTAAATTATGGGAAGGTTATTCATTTTTAAGTATGACTGGTTCAGAAAGAGCTCACGTGAATGATTTAGCCAGTCCCGGCTCATGTTTACAACTGTTCAATCCAATACCGTTTATGTTTTGTGAAAAACAAGAAAACTGTTATTATGCTCAACGTAATGATCGAAGTTATTGGCTGAGTACAGAAGAAGAACCAATGATGTGGAATCCAGTACCAGCGAATGAAACTCAAAGACATATAAGTCGTTGTGTTGTCTGTGAAGCACCTAGTAAAGTGAGTCAGTTTCATTGCGTTATAGCTCGATAAACGATGTATCATAATATCGTCAAATTATATTATTATTTCTTTTGGCTACTCTAACTACTAATGACCACAAATGAAGATTAGGATGTAAGATGCTAGTCAAATCCCTATAAAGCAACACTTGAATATCACTTTGATGCTCACTAGTGACTGGTCCTATTCAGGTAGGTAGTTACCTGGGGTTCTAGTGGGAAGTCGTGACCAGTGGGTTACAGCAGGTCGGGCGTGAGGACAAATACTTGCCGATGACTTTGGTTAGTGGTCCTGCTATGTCGTGAACTGGCAGAAGTTGGAATTCATGGACTGACCATTGGATTGGGTCCCAGTGGCTTATGAATGGTCTAGGATCTGGCTAGCCTTGTAACCAGAAGGTCCTGGATTCGAACCCCAGTAGGGTGGATGCGTACTGCTGAAGAGCCCCAAACTAGTGAGACGGAACAGCTGTATAGTACTGTCAGCTTGTTTTTCAATGGTTATCTTACCAATGTCAGCTTATGATGAAATCCTGTAACCAACCAAACAAATCCCTGCAAACCAACACTTGGATACTACTCAGTACTTAAGAAGTATAGATATTCAGTTAATTGCTTAGTGTAGTATTAAAACAACATGCGAATGGTAAAGATATCTTGGTTTATAAAATGTCATTTAAGTTAATCTTCTGGTTAACTTTTAATTTATTGTTTTCTCTTGGCTAACTTTCCTTTTTTTTTCTTCATTCAGCTTTATGCTTTCCATTCGCAAACTTTGGAAATCCCAAGATGTCCTGATGGTTGGTCAACTCTATGGCCTGGAAGTAGTTTTCTAATGGTAGGTTATTCAGCTGAGTTATTTTGTTGGTGTACAAACCAAATCCTGCATGGCATGTGCACTTAAATGTATTGTAAGAAATAATTTAAAAAATCTCGTGTTAAATACAGTGTTACTGTCACGGGTCTAGATTCTAAGCGACATCACAAATCCTAAAGAGATAACAGTGATGAAATATATAGTAAGTTATGGACGACGTCTTTGAGTTCAGCAATGAGTGGCTCAGGTTTCAAACATATGGTGAGCATGAGTTCTCCAGTGGGATGGATTTATTTTATTCCTTCGTATTCCGAACTCTGAAGTCGCAGAAGCAGTAGGGTTGCTGGATCCACGCCTAATCTTCTTCTTTTACCGGGCTTACTACTAGCCAAGCAGTATTTAAGAGTACGTCAGCCGGGATTTGAACCCCCCAGTACGTGCATGACTGGCGAATATCCTGCCGCTGGACCACTGACGCAATGGGACTGATTGGTTGGTGAAAACAAAAGGCCATGAAAGACAATTTCGTAACTTTTTGTTAATAGGATTCTTCTAAAATATAGTACTACACGATATTACACCATGGTGCGCAGCACTATAACGTTACTGAACACCTAACTGGTACATTATAGTCTACACACTTTAAACTTGATGATCACATTTGTTGCTTACCATCATGAGTACAAACCTCTTGGAAACTCTCATCTCCGATAGGTTCATCTACCTTGGAACAAAGTAGGACAGAAAGTATCGGAGCTTTGCATACTTTGTTTTAAACCAAGAGTGAAGTATGCCTGTGTGAGTCTGGCGGTATTATACTTACAGATAAACACCACGAAATGCGACAGCCTGTATGCTGTTGATTGGAATACGTGATCCAGCAACTGGCAGAGGATAAACACGTGATCAATGTATCCACAGCCAGACAGAAAGCTCTTCGCAAATTAGTCTTCCATGCAATTTCTAGTTAGCGGAAGGCGATAGTAGTCAGTAGGTTCGTTGCAAATGTTGGCAGAATAATACCTCGGTGATTGAAGATAGGCACGATGACTGCCAATTTCCACACTAATAGGATACTCTCAGTCTTCTCAATCTAGTAATCTCCCCGATTATTCTCACCACCATCCTTGAAAAAAGTCAGAGGTAAGTTACCTGGACCGAGGGGCTTAGGGCAGCTCCTCGCGAACCTATACTTAAGTAGATTAGTGTTAACCGACAAAGGAGTATTGTGTCTTATATAGGAGAGTACACCGTAGCCACAAATGCGTTGATGGTTTTTCAAAATACTGTGACCAGCATTTCAAGTATTTATGAAGATTAATAATGGTCTTAACATCTGCTTCAAAGACGGATTTCATTGAAACCAGACTTCTTTTAATTGCAGCTGCAACAGCTTTCGATTGTTGACAACTGGAGTTACTACTCCCACCGTATACACACCGTAGCTACCAGGCTTCTTGGCCATTGTGTAAGGATTGTTTGTTCAGACACTATTACTCAGATTACAGTTACGGTTATGTGAAGGAACGCAGGAAACTAGGTAAAGCATCTTTCTCTAGATATACAGATAATTCCACTACCCTTGAAACAAATGAAAGAGAACTAAAACCATAAAAAATCACATTTCAAAGTTGAAGAGCTATTCTTGACATGATTATGAACTATGGTATATTCGAAATGCCATTCAATAAAAAATACTGCCTCGTTGTATGATACATCTATTAGACATAGAATTACAAACCCCTTCCTTACTCCTATATCACTCTATAGAGGATAAATAGATCAAGATTTCAGAAAATCTGAAGAAAAGTAACCTCATTATTCCACTTTGAGCTGGTAAGATAAACCGATTATGATTGCACTGGTCAGGAATATTACAAAAATCGACTTAATAATTAGAAATGAAGAATATATGATATTGTCAACAAAACTATTTACAAGATTGTGTGAACGTTTTAAACTCTGACAATAAGGTATTACTTTATTATCCGTGGGCTCAAATAGTATATGGACACCAAGACCACAGTTATTTAGCTTTATTAGTAGATCATTTCCCGAGCTACAGAAGCTCAGATTCAATTAATCAGCCCAGGAACATCCAGTAAACTTCCACTGGCGATAAGTATGCACTCCAATGATTTAGAATAAGTGTTTTTTAATTCATCAAGACAAATTAGTATGCAACAGGATGACAACAATTTTGTTTTGTTTTCCATGTGAAGAAAATGAATAACATTTGGCGTAAAAACGCTAAGCATGTTACGAAACACATTAACAACAAGCCACTACGGACTTTCATCAACATTTGGCTTCACTGGTTCCCTACGGAAGGTCACATAGTCGAATCTGGGAATGTATGGATCAAGAACCTATTACTCAAGAAATATCCTGAAGAAAGTGGAGATGGATTAGACACACGATGAGGAGACTGTTGGGTGACATCGAGTACCAGGCTATCACTTGAGTGGAAGGGGAATGGGAAACAATGATTTGGCAGTGGCTTCGAAGGTGACATAGAGGTTATCGTATGAGAAGATTATAACTTATGAGGAACCGTGGGGCCGGCTAAAAAAACTACAGAGACTGAGGTAAATGGAGATATTCTGCTGAAGCCCTATATTCTAGGTGGAAACTCGGAACCCAAGGGAATAACAATGATAAATAACACAGGCTAAGGAAGCGCAGTCATGAAGAACAGCTTCGGAAATACAGCAGTACTCAGCAATCTTAACATCTTGTTCAGTTAGCTCAAAGGGCTTTTCCAAGGACAGGACTAGGAGTCAAACTGATTGTGTGACCCAGTTGCCCAATCTGAGGTAACTATGGGGGAGCTCGAACCCACGTCCAATCAGTTAGAGGCCGAAGACTTATTTATCCCACTAAATATTTTAAACAACGTATTTCGTATGTTTTTAATTCAACTCCCATTTTCCCACTGATCAACTGAACCGAAATTTTAGGCTTCTGTTAACATGCCAGCCACACTAGGAGCCCCAGAGACTGATGGTGTTTCCACAGTGACTCAAACCGGATACCCCTTATTTCAGACATTGTCGAAGAGTCCACACAGAAGCCGAACATTTCGGCCTACTCAATCAATGCGAAAATCAAGATAATAATAATAATAATGGACACCCGTTGCACAAGAGGTAGCTCCCGCTGCCCAAATGATCTCGTGAATAACGCTTTGGCGTTTAAAAACGATGGGTACTAGTTTCAAGTCTCACAAAAATCACCATCACTCACTCATTGGGGAACGCAAATACGTCCAGTTGAGGAGTCTCAGACAGGGCGAAATGCGCATTCCGGATTTCACTGCAAACCACCACCCACTGAAACTACTTCAACGTACTTTTCAAACTGATAGACTATTAGTAATATCAGGTACTATTGTGGCGGCAAAAGACAAGGTCAGGCAGAAAAATCGTTTATTTGGGAAATCAACAGATATTTATAGATTTTCATGTGGATTATTGTAAGCAAACAAAGACAGTCTTCTGAGTGGTGGTTTCTCACTGAACGTTAATCTTTCATCCCTTTGTGGCCGTTTCCTGAAGTTCAGATTATCTATCTGCAAATTTTCATCCGCCTATGCAAAGTCTGCTGTGATTGGTTGTTGAGTCAGTCTTTGGGCAACTCTAAACAATAAGAACCCAAACCGAAACGACCTATGAACGCACAAACGACCTTGTTAAGGACAACTTCGACCAATCAGTAGGCCCAAAAAAACGGCGCATAATTGTAAAAAATCGTTTATATAAAGTAAAGCAATGTTAAAAAATAGTTACAAAGGATAAAGTTCTTGTATATGTTGCAAAAAAAGTTCCCAGTTTCTCATAGGAGTTTTTATACTCATGTTAAACCAACTTCTGTACATAAACTCATCCAGATAACTGTATATCATTGAATTTCTTGATCCGTTCACGAATCTAATCCTTCTTTTCAAGTGACTACAGAAACTTTCGATGCAATTAGTATGAGTTCCATCCAAAGGATTGCGAATACCGTCTGTGTGATTGACTACATGATGAACATACCCGAGATTCGACAATTGACCATAACTACTCCATTCGGCTGTGTGAATAGTGTTCCCGGGCAGCACTAAGCGCTGGATAATAGGCAATAATACACCAGCACTGCGATTAGGAATCGCAGTAGAGGTGTAGAGCATCCATAATTAATTCTAGAAACAACAGTCACCTGATTGGTTTCTCAAGGTCGTTTGTGCGTTCGTAGGTCGTTTCGGTTTGGGTTCCTATTGTTTAGAGTTGCCAGTCTTTGTTCTTTTTCTTTTCTCATGACCAATATTGAGGACGTAAATATTGACGTAAATTACACTGTCTACCAATTTTTGGCTAGCGGCCAGTTCTCTCACCACACTATTATTCTTGTGCTTTTTTCTAATACGATATTTGAGACATTTGTTTTATTTTTTCTTCTCCTCTCGTGATCACATTTCAGAATACTGGTTATGGAGCCCAGGGTGGAGGACAACAATTAGCCTCTCCTGGAAGTTGTATCCCACAATTTCGTTCACATATGTTTATTGAATGTACTGCTAAGGGGTTATGCGGTTTCTTTGAAGAGCATAAAAATTTCTGGTTACGTGTTATGCCTAGTTCAATGGATGAGCATATGTTTGGCATGGTCATGGGTACCGTGATCAAAGTACGCAGTAGTCAAGATTCTGTGAGTAAATGTGTCGTGTGTATGCGAACGCAACCATTGTCAACATTATTTTATCTACATTAATAAATATAATGCTTTAAAGAAAATTGTTCCTTTCATTATTACTATAATAATTATTATTATTATGATTACGAAAATGTACCCTTCGTTTGCGATGCAACAAAATCATCACTATTATTATCACTATTATTATTACTATTACTATTGCTATTATTATTATTGTTAACCAACAATATCAAATCTAATTATACTAATCGATACCTACTCTGGTATCTCGACAAATTTACTCTTCTGGGTAAAACCTTCTTCACACTGCTCTCTGTGTATGCTCATTGATGCGACAGATAAGTTAAGCAGTATCATCTAGGGTTCTAAACAAACAATTCAATTAAACAAAATAATAATTGCTACGTCGTACACGAAAAAGTAACGCTTTGAAAGGTTCAATTTCTTTTTTTTTCTTTTTGCTTTGTTTAGCTAAAACGTTTTATTAAATTCAAGATTTTTATGATTTTAATTTAGAATATATATATATATATATCCATATATGTAATCTTTCCTTTCTTCTAATCTGTGTGTGTTACGAATGGTTTTTATTTCCTCTCTACAAAATCATTAAAATACATACACTCTAATATTAAAAATATAGCAATTTTTCTAATTTAATTTATATTCTCAGTATTTCTTCCTACAATTGCATACATATTTCTGCCAATATCAAAAATACAGGTTATGATTTTATCATTAATACTATGAATATTCAAAATTCGCGCTCTCCTCCCGCTAGTATTTTGTTCAATGTCCAATGTTTCAAATTGAACCAATGAAAATGGGAATAACTAGTCAGTCAGTCAATCAATCAATTGATGATATTGATCATAAGACAGGGATGTTTAAATGTGCCTATTGCACACATACACACACAAATATGCATATATTTCTATTAGGCTGCTTTTTGAAAATCTTTTCACTCTCTTTTCCTCTGTGTTTTTCTTTGTTTGTTTGTTTGTTTATTTCTAGGAGTTTATTTGGATTCGGTAAAATAAAATTTACTTATTTACAAAATGCTTTATATGACTTATTTAATTATTTATTTATCAAATTATATTTAAAACAATTTTTTGTTTTTAGTTGTGTAATAATAAGAAAAAATTGCAAAAGATGAGAAATTTTGATTAGATAACATAAGAAATATACAATTATTGTGTTTTTACTATTATTATTATTATTATTATTATTATTATTGTGACTTCTCTTCATTTGACTGAGTGTCTAATATCTAGTACTTCATGTGTGTGTGTGTGTGTACTTGTTCTATCCTGTATTGTTTATAAGAAATCCACTGTTAACCTTCTTGGTAAATAAAGTTATAATGATATTAATAATATTGATGATAATAACAATAAATGGAATATATATTTAATTTAAAACGACTTTCTAATTATTTTGTTGCCTTCGAAGCGTAATTTGAGTTGTTCCTGTCGTTGTTGTTGTAGCGGTAAATAATTCCCCAAAACTATTGACCACAGCAATCATCACTCAACATTGGATGCTGACCATCACTGTTTAAGTCGACTTGTTTAGCTGAAGGCTTCCGGTCAATCATCCCCGCCATTTGGTACTCCGTCGTGTCACGTGCGTGCACGATTACTAGCTAGCTAAGCATTCACTTCTACCCGCGTCGGTGGCACAGTGGTTAGGACTCTCGCCGACCATACCATGGTCCAGGGTTCGATCCCCTGCCGGCGCACACCCGATATCTATGGTCGGCCTGAATTTGGGCTACCGATATCCATGCTGAAAATTCCACACTTGTACTGAAAATACGGTGAGGAATCAAGCTGTAAATCAAAATCAATAAAAATAAATTTGGTCTCGAAATATACTACGTACTTTGGATGACAAAATCTGGTCTTTTGCTTTATCTTTGGTACTCGAAGTGCGAACACTATAGAAGTTGTTGGTATAAGATCTTGCGTTAGTATAATCCGTACAACTCGCGAACGTCGATACCGTCAACCTCTAAATTGTTGTTGTTATCAGATGGTTTGAGGACGATCGACAAGAAGCCTTGTTTACACCTATAGGTTTTGTGCTTTTTGGCACTCATCAATCTGTCAGCAAGATGTGTCTTTAATATTGAAAGAAATCATGACGCTTCTGGGATTCGAACTTGTGTCACTTAGTACTGCAGTCACAGATGTTACCACTGAGCAGCTATTCGGTCTTGCGAATGACCTCGTGTAGGAGTCATATGGGGTACTTTGATTGGACACTAGGGAGTAACCAGTAGTATAAGCTGTCTAGACCTTAATATATGTGTAAAACTTGGGCACTGTGGTAGTAAGTAATTCCATATTAGTTTGTGTATTAGATGTATAACACAGTCAGGGAAACAGTATTATTTACTGGATGATAGTGTTTCAAACAAAATTTATTGTTCATAATCATTTCATAAATTATAATCACACAAATTCTAAACTTGAGTTTTACAGTTTTCTTTGTCCTCTCCTATTTGTCGTCGTAGGGGTAGTATAATCCCGATCATCCTATCCTGTGTCAGTAAAAATAGGATTGGTGAAATGTTTAAGTGACAGAGCACAAAAACTAAGTAGTGCCAAGGAAAATCTAAGACAGGAAGTGAAACATATAAGAGAAGCTTTGAAACTTAATGATTACCCTGATAAATTAGTCAGGAAATATGTAGGGAAATGTAAAAATAAAATAAATAATGATAGTAGTGATAGTAATAATAATAATATTAATGACGACATGCATGTCAAATGTGCACAAGACAACACCAACTATAAGGAATCTAAATCATCAGTAGTAATTCCATACAAGGAAGGAACCTCGGGAACCTTATCGAGAATTCTTAACAAGGCAGGAATAAAAGTGGCTGGCGTTCAAACTCACAAACTCAATTAGAAACGAGCTTTGTCGGTTGAAGGATCAATCCTGTGGAGCCTTTAAAACAAAACAATTTAGTTTATCTAATACCCTTCTGCAATGACTGTCTGGTCAAATACATAGGTCGTCGATGGCACAGTGGTTAGGACTCTCGCCGACCATGCACATGGTCCGGGGTTCGATCCCCTACCGACGCACACCCGATATCTATGGTCGGCCTGCGAAATTTGGGCTACCGATATCCATGCTGAAAATTCCATACTTGTACTGAAAATACGGTGTGGCATCAAGCTGTAATCAAAAATAAAAAAAATAATAAAAAATAAAGTAGTAGAACAGAGTCGGGAAGACTAGCGGAGCATAAAAACCTAACAAAATCTAGATTGGTTGACCCGAATAAGATAAGAAATCTAGAGAATAGATCAGCTATAGCACTCAATACATACAATTACGCACACACAACCACACAACAGGATAGACGGGGTAAGATGACAGTTTTAAAATCTAATGTAACAACATGGTGGAGGTAGAGATTGATAACAGAAGCTTTGTTTATCGAATCAACTGGAAACACGTGTGATAGGAATAATTCAACACCTGTCCCAGATATCTGGAAAATTCTACTACCCCTACGACAAGCGGGAAAGAATAAAGAAAACTATAAAAATCAAGTTTCGAAATCATGTGATATGATTATGAACAATAAATTTTGTTCGAAACTGTATCATCCAGTAAATAATACTGTTTCACTGTGTGATACATCTAAAAAACAAACTAACATGGAATTACTGTTTAGACCCTCTTTGTCTTCTGAATGCTCAGAAAAGATTGAAATCACTTCAATAGATAATAATAATAATAATCATTATTAAAGGCCGTGTGTACTGCTGTGAGACAATTCTCCCTGTTAAAGGAGTGCGTCGGTGGCCGGGGAGCATTCTACCGCTGTGCCACAGACGCTGGCTTTATTGTATATCCCCGTTAATTGTGATGTGGTAGTCTATTGTTATAGTGGTTAAACAACGACTTCTTATTTTTTGTACATTTCTTAAATGAAATTTCGCACTAAAAGAATTTTTTCTGGCGTACATATTACCTATCAGTGGCATTATATTCTTGAACTGTGCTGTATTTGCTGCACTTTTATCAGAAAATGTTGCCTGGTACTAATATCAGTGCAATGTTGTAATGGAATAAAGAAAGCAGTAATTTCAAAAATTAAACGTACACTGTTGAATTTTCATGAAATCCTGTTGGCATATTTTGGCCTATTTATTGTAACTCCCTAACACCGTGCGTTGGTGGCACACTGATTGAATGCCAGCTAACCACGCAGGTGGTTCGTGGTTCGATCGTCGGCCAACGCACTCCCTTAGCTCATTAAACCGGTAATGCGACTGGTATAGAGGGAAGGTCGGGCATGAGGCTGGCTAGCAAATCCATCCTGTAAAAATAAACACCACTGCTACAGAAACTTCAAGCATCTAGCTTGATGCCCTATGTACCGTCGGGAACGTAAAGGAATAAAAAAAGTACCCACCAGATAAGGCAGGTGCTGCAAATTCAAAAAATCGATATGCCATATATTCGCCCTTTTTACGACTATGAAACACAGACATTGGAAGTAGAGGATTTGCAGAGGCTAACTGTCTTTGATCATAGGTGTCTGTGTTCTATCCTCAGTGGCAAATGGTATAATACTATTATAACCAAAATATACTGTTTTTGTAGTTGTCATCAAACTTGATTAGAATGCGCCTCTAGACACGACACTATAACCAACTAACCATCACATGAAAGTATTCCCCATGTAACGACAGAAGACAAGGGCCAGGCAACAGATCGTTTATTGAGGAAATCAAGAGATATTTATGTATTTTCATGTACATTATTATTCGTTATTGTTAACAAAGAAACAGCGTCTTCTGATTGGTTGTTTTCTCGATGAACGTTATTCTATCATCTCTTTGTAGTTATTTCTTTGAAGGTCAGACAATATATCTGCGAGTCGCATCCGCCCACGCAAAGCCTGCTGTGATTGGTTGTTGAGTTAATGTTTGTTTTTGTTTTTTTTCTCATGACCAAGATTTGGGACGTAAACATTGACGTAAATTGTTGTCTACCAAATTTGGCTAGCAGACAGCTCTCACCACACCCGTATGTGATAGACGCAAAATTCAGATTTAACCGTGGCGACGGACGTTTTATTATTCCAAGCACAGGCCATATTTATACGGAACGCTGTTGTGGTTAAAAAGACTTTTTATGCAGCTAATATCATAATAGAGAATATGAAACCAATATATCCGTCTAAGTCCTTAGAATATGCGAAAAAATGATGTCACACTCCACTGTATTTACCAATTCGAATGTACTTGTGGACACATACATAGGGAGGACTCATCGATCTCTTCAAGTAAGGGCTTGCTTCAGAGCATTTTCCTAAATGCTTCCAGAAGCAAATAGAATCCTCAGAACCCATTAATAGTGAGAACAGGAGACCTAGCTCCTCTATTGCGAAACATATTACACAGCAGACAGGACATAAAATTGATGTTTACACGTCCTTTAAACCTATCTATAAAACGTGTTTGGGGTGTATCCTAAAGTTTGTGGAAGCCCTAGCTAGCAATTAGAAAGTTTAGACCAATCGTATGATTTAGATATAATAGAGAAGATTTGTAGCTCAGGTGGATGATTTTGGTGTGGTTGTGTTCTCTGAGCTGGATGGTTTGGTTGCGAAGCTTTCATTGCTCTACTGAGCAACATCTTCAGCGCATACTTCGATGTGAAGTCCACGTTTGTGCGTTCAAAATCAATTCGTCATCACACTAAACCTACCTTCTTTGGTGAAATTTGTTTTGATACCAGCCAGAGTAGATGTACTATTATCTCTGTTATTTGATTTAGTGATCTTCATTGTTATTTTCACCTTCAACATGCCCTTTTAACTTAAGTCTATTTTCTCACCTATTAACTCTTTATTAATTTCATATGTATATTCCTATGACAAGTTCGTGGCTGTGTGATCAGATTGTTCGAAATGTGTTGCTCAAATACAGCATAACAAGATTCAGACAAATTACATCTTCTCATTGCTTTATCTAAATTCACAAAGGGAACTAACTTTTAAATATGCAACCATAGTTATTACTCATACACGTTGATTTATTTTGTTACTAACTGGCAATAACCTCTGACTTCTGTTATCAATCTACATTGCATACGTAAGCCCTTTGAATATCTCCACTGTGGGTAAAATTTATTTTGATAGTGTCACAGTGTTATACAGTAATATTTACTGATGACCACGTTTCGAGCAGTTTGTTGCTCATAATCATATCAAGGTACTCATACAACTTCCTAACTTCGTTTATATAATTCCATTATTTTCCAACACTTGATTTGATTAGTAGTAGTATTTTCCATATTTGCGGTATAAGTGATGAGTCATTGCTATTGCATGTGTTGGGTGTAGACTTGATGAACAAGGATTCAGTAATCAACCTCTCTATATCTCTACCTACCTAAATTACTTTTTAGAATTTGGACTTCCTGCCACCCTATTGTGTTTTTGAGTGTTAATACATGCAGTGCAATTGCTGAGCTTTCTTCCAAATTACTTATCTTCGCGGGATCAGTCATTCTAACAGCTAAATTCTTATTTTCTGATAATCTCACTACTCCTGCCTGATCTACTAGTTTGACCTATGTAGTTGATTTAACTCACAGTCATTGCAAGATATTTTGTAAATTATGTTATTTTGTTTAATTGGGTCAACTGACAGGGTCCTTTATTCTTTAGCTTGTCCTATCTGAATGAACTTGTAGGTTTGAATGCCACCCTAATTCCTGCTTCATTCAGAATCCTACGGAGGGCCTCAGATGTCCCCTCCTTATATTGTATAACAGTAGATGCCTTATATTCCCTCTTATTTATGTTATCATTACTAGTTTCATAATTATTTATATTTCGCTTTTGGCCTTCACTGATCTTCCTGATGAATTTTGTAGGATAGTTCTTTAACACCAGCGCCTCTTTCATCTGTTTTATTTCATCATTTAGGTTTTTTGTTGTACTGCTTAGTGCTATTGCTTGGTTTGTTAGATACCTAACTAAGCCTACCTTTACAGACAACGGGTGAGATGAATTAAAGTCTAAATATCTATTAGCAGAATGCGTTAGTTTTTTATCAACGCTAGTGTGCAGCCTACCGTCTTCTATTCGTTTTATTTTGCAATCTAACAGCGTAGCTAATTCTCCTTGTTCATTTTCTGATTCAAATGTGAATTTTATTCCCTCTACTAGTGAGTTTATATGTGTCAAGAAGCTGGAGATGTGTTCTGTTTTTAACACTGTGATAGTGTCAGTTATCCACATATCTCCACTATTACTCTGGAGAAGGATTAAATGTATTAAGAGCAATATTTTCCCAGTTGTCCACAAGTTCTATTCTTTACAGTTTTAAAATGAAGTCATGAAAAGAGATTTCTAAAGTGGGCTTAATTCCATGAAATGAACATTTTTCATACACTGAAAAATTATAATCTGTAATCTAGAACGAAGGCTTTCTAATTGTGAAAACTATGTGCATAATTGAAAAGAAATTTCCGCATTCCTACAGGCGTTCTTAACTAGTTTTAATATTCACAGTTTGACTACAAACTTAGAATGATATAGCCACGCTTATTACTGGGAAGAAGATTCGGAAGCAAGGAGCAATTCTACACTAATGTGTGGAATTCTGACGACACACTAAAGACTCATATAGCATCTAATGCAATAAAATAATCATATTTCTCTAACGGAATACCGCATAAGCCCACATATGAGAATAAATGTGGATAAAGCATAGACTGACTGACTGGTTTCAACATAGAACCTTGCACAGATATGCAGCAGTTCAATTTGCCACACTCCCTCCATGTAGCACACAAAGCTATTGGAAGTGTGTGGGCGGTTGTTACTTCCCGGCTGCCCACACCATGGAGGTTGATTGATGCTTCGGGTACCTGAAACAGAGAGAAGGTTAGTGTTGTATGACCACAGAGCCCAGGGGACAACTGCTTGCTGCTGGCCGGTCACACACGGTCTGTATGCACTGGTTTCTGGGATTGGTTCCGTATTAGTAAACTTACCGCCGGTTACGGACCACCGTAGGGTAAGTCGGGATGTGCAATTTTTGGGGTCGACCTTTTCTAACCCCCTCTCTCCGGAGTGGAGAGACAGCATAGCTGGCATGCTGGTCACCTTCCTGGCATGGTAGGACCTGCAGGAACAGTGGTTCCAGCCAGTGTAGCTTTTTGGGTAATCACGATGTGCAAGCCCTACCACCACGTCAGGGTGGCAGCTATCGGTCGGGAGCACACAAAGCAAGAGAAGAAAGTAAAGGGAGATATCAAATAGAGATAATAAAGAGAGATATGAGCCAAAAAGAATGGTAATATGGAAGAACGATAGAACTTTGATGATATTAGATGGCTAGAGGCAATCAGCAGGAAGCCTTGCTTGACCTAGGATTCGTGCTAGTTGGCACTCACAAGTCAGCAAGGAGTATCTGCAACCTTGAAGCAACTCATGTCCCTTCTGAGATTTGAACCCGCGTCACCCAGTGCTGCAGTCAGAGATGTTACCACTGAGCTATTCGGGCTCGCACTTGACCTCCTACAGGACTGTAGTGAATAGTTTGATTGGAAATACGCCTTGCTGACGAGTGCCAACTAGCACGAAACCCAGGTCAAGCAATGCTTCCTGTCGATTGCCTCCAATCATCTAATATCATCAAATCAATGTGCACCGTGATGGCGAGCCACCTAGAATGGTTGCCACATTGCAAACCCCACTGATAGAATGCAGTCTGCACCAAAGGAAGGACTAAACACATCACACTAGTCACTAGTGTTCAATCAAAACAATAGAACTTTATTGGATATTATAAATCATAAAGAGTGAATGCATCTGAGCCAGTCATTGAGAACGATTTTGAGTCTCTAGTCTTCATTGGTTTTTGCCATCCCAAGGACCCCAATCCGCCGGGAAGTCTACACCTGCCTCCGTGGATGGCTTAAACTAACTGTTGTGGATTTCAGTGACTGATGAAGCCATATTTTGGTTTGACCACCAGTGGCTCATTTGCAACCTGACCCTACGTCAGCTAACAGTGTTTATCGAGGAAGGCGATCGATGACTAGGCATACGTAACACATGTCCTAATTGATGTGACCTTACAGTCTCGTCTGTTGATTTCCCCTCCTTACCTAGTACTGAATCCATGACAGTTAATTTGACCCAGCCACACAGGGAGGTGTAGACCGCTTGAGCTTTTCGGGATGATAATAATCAATGATCGGAGACAATCAGTGATATATTTGGAAATCGTTCTCAATGACTGGCGCAGATGCATCCACTCCCTGTGACTTATAATATCCAATAAAACTCTATTGTTCTTCCAAATTACTATCCTTTTTGCTTCATATTTCTGTTGGTTATCTCTCTTTTGAATCTCGCTTCTCTTGCTTTGTGTGCTACATGGAGGGAGTGTGGCAAGTTGAACTGCTGCACATCTGTGCAAAGTTCAACGTTGAAACCAGTCAGTCAGTCGTGTTTTCTCCGCATTACTTTTTATTCCCCCTCACATTTCTGTTTTCAGTGGTTCTCTCAAGTATCTTTTTTCTCTCTTTCTTGTGCTACATGAAGTTTGGCAACTCAAAATGTAGCATAGTTGTGCAAAGTTCTATACTGATACTAATCAGTCCCTAGCACGACTCTAATTAGCGATCAACAACTGCATTCACATCAATCAAGCGCTTTTAAAAAGCAATTCATCAAATGTCACTATAGTAATAACATCAGTGATTGGAACTATGCTATTTTCATCTTCACAATTAGTGATTTTTCAAGTGCTTCACACTTCAAATTGAACGTAACGCTTCAAATTGAGAAGCTTCTAGTAGAAATGGTATTGTCCTTAGGGGGTGGAGTAGCTAGTCAGTCTCACTTCCAACCTTCTTTCTTACCCGCGCTTACTAACTACTACTGGCCAGGTGAAGCCTAGGAGTGAATCAATAAGAGGGGAGTTGAAACCAGACCTCCATAGGCAAGCATTCCACCAACTGAATGTCTTTATTCTACCTAGAAATACTACGAAACCTAATAAAACAATAAGAGGGGTCAGGTCCCAGTAGCTCAATGGCCTACGAACTTTCCATGTAACCGAGAGGTCCTGAGTTCGACCAACCGATGAGTCCTAAGCACTAGAATGAAACAGCTGTGTCCATTACTACACTCTCCCCAAAATGGTTTTCACTGTGGCTTTCTAACTGATATCAGCCCTGAAACTACCACACCCAAATGCCTACAAACTACCTCTTGCGAAGAAAACTGTAAAAAAAAATAAAGGAAACAGAAAAACAATAAGCAAGGAGATTGGAAACTGTAGGTTTTTGTAATTCATCAAACACGCACACACACAGGCAAATTAACAACAAATCAAAACAAAACCTCAGAGAGGGAGAGGAGGAGAGAGACAGAAAAGTCGGGTGACTATTTCTAATGGAAGAAAACGAACTTATTTATCACAGCTTGTTCATCTTATCTTAACCTTATAAGGAATCAACAGGCACATTAGATCCTCCGATATTTATGAGAGTCTGGAGACTGTACAGATTTTACTTCTTGTGTACAGAGCGAAAGAGGGAGAGGGAGAAATAGTATAGCTATGAATACAGATTAGTTCTTTATACATATACACTATATTTATATCATTAGTAGTTGTACTAATATTGATGAAATAGTATTACTGTAAGGTAGTAGTAAAGTAGCAAGGATAATAGTAATCATCATCGTCACTATAAGAATATCAGTATCCATCAAGGTGTGTTTTGTATGGTGAAACTCAAGAAAGAGGGAGGAGGAGGAGGGTGGGAGTGAGCACAATACAACTTCCCACTTTCCGCCTCAAGATAGATAATAGCGTGAAATGAAAAAGGGAGTAACACAGACGCACGCACGCACACACGCAATCACACAAGTTTCAGGTTATGCATTTTCTAATTCCTGTTGAAGTAATTTATTATTATCTTCACTTTTAGGATAAGTTTTCATAGGAATAACTGTTTTACGATTGGAATTTTTTGATCGCTGTACTCGTGTGACACCATCTGTGAAACCAGATTGTGACCATCTAGAGAAGAAAAGGAAATTGAAAAAGATTTTTAAAAAACAAACAGGAAAAAAAATAAGATTTCTGAGAAATGTAGGCAGACCACACACACACCTACACGCTATATTATTATATTATTGTTCCCTTGGGTTCCTAGTGGAACATAGGGCTTCAACCGCACGCCTCCACTTCCTTCTGTCTTCTGCTGTACTTTTCACTTGCATCCATGTTAGTCCATGTTGTTTCAACTCCCTTTCACACGATCTCCTCCATGTCATCCTTGGACGTCCCACTCGCCACTTCCCTTTCGGGTTCCACTCGAGGGCCTGACGCGCGATGTCACCCAACGGCCTCCTCACGCTATATGTTATGTAATCGACACTGTAAATGCAACTTACAACAAAAAAAGTATGCGGCCAACAATGGTGGTAGGAGCTAATTGACGGAAACTACTTCAACACTATGGAGTACAATGTCCCAAGCCTTGATCAAGCTTATTCAACAGTTAGTTTATAATGACGACAAGGCGACATGTCAAATGATTTACAACGGCAAACTCAGAGAAGACTTTGAAGTGAAGATTTATTTATTTATTTAAACGCAGAAAAACTTGGTACAATATGGCACCAAGAAAGATGCGCCACACAATATTGTGTGAGGGCTGAGATACTGCCCGGGCGCCCAGACCGAAGCAGGTGGTTCTCCTAAGGGACCACCCCCGAGCCTTTGACTTGGAGTCTAGTCCGCAAGGCAGCGGAGCAGCGTCAGGAGCTGCGTTCCCATGGTTGTCGGTGACCCATATGGGTTCATACGCCATTTGATCCGATTGAATTCTGGAGCCCATGTACCCCATGGTAACTGCTTTCAGTCTAACCGCTATCCAAACAACCTTTCTGACATGGTAGGACCTGCAGGGACATGAGTTCCAGCCAGTTTAGCTTTTTGGGTCACTGCGGCATTCAAGCCCGACCACCACGGCAAGGTAGCAGTTATCGGTCGGAATAGAAGATGATATTTGCGATTATGGTGGACTCGATTGTGTGGAACACTGTCGATGGGGTGAGAGAGAAGACACGAATACATTATACTAATAAGAAGAATCTAGATGAGGTCTGGACTAGGCGGATGATTCACGCCTCAGTCTCATCTCACACAAACTCGAAGACTTACAGGCGGAAACCAACAAGTCGATAGAAGAGGAACGAATACAGTGAGGACAAAAGTGATGAAGATTACCAACCAATCAACCAACCAACAACAACAAAACACAATGATCACTGTCAACGGAAGAATTTTGAAGAAGGTCGCTTCCCTCATCGCTTCAACTATAGACACACGGTACGGATGAGGATGTCAAAACTAGCCGGAATCGGAAAGACAAGACGCACCTTCATCACTCTTAACTCGGTTTGGAAATCTCCTCCACTCAGTATAAAGAACAAGACTCATATTTCCAACATCAATGTTAAGTCAGTCAGTTCTGAGATATGCGTCAGATACCTGATGCGTCACGAAAAGAATTTCCAACAAACTGCTGGGGACTTCGATCAACAGCTGTCGCCTTCGCCGGCTCCGTACTGAATATTTGATGGCAGTCCAGAGAGAGAGACTTCTTTCTTGTGTGTCTTTGGAAGGCCATACATATTTGGCAAGCTGGACCCTCGGGGTTTCAATTCATTGTACGTGTTGTTGTCGATCAAGTTCTTCTATAGAAGATCTCTCAGAAGAACTTGATTGACAACAACACGTACAATGAATTGAAACCCCGAGGGTCCAGCTTGCCATATATGTATGGCCTTCCAAAGACACACAAGAAAGAAATCCCTCTACGCATCACAAATGTACTCAAGTCCAGAAAGAATTAGCGACAGCAAGCTTCGAGAACGAACCAATCAATCATCTAGTGCTCATCAAATATTCTGAAGTAAATTGAGGTGGATCGGACACACGATCATTGGTCTTTGTCACTATCGTCCTCTCCGACTTCCTCATCAGATGCACAACTAATTTCTTTCGCCTTCAGAGTTTTGCTAGATTTCAGTTCCAATTTATCATCATTGGTTTCGTCAGCAGTGGTTATTTTAGAAGGGGGTGGGGGGCTCATTTTGTCATATGAAATTGATACTCTCAACGTTTTTGTTGAATATGCCTTTGTGGAAAATCACCAGACGTTGGCCTTCCAAAGTCCTACTCAGGGAAATTGTTTTATAGCACTCGGCTGCTGTTATGATTTTAACGGTAGTAGCCGGTTGTTTATCTTAGGGAGATCTCGAATTGTGTGAAGAAATACCTAGAATTCCGCATAGTTTACGTAGGTCTTAGGTCGGTAAACCTAAAATCAGAGCTGTTTTAAGTTCTGGCTCACTCAGAAGTGAAAGTAGCAGTTCTCTGCCATCAAGGAATTTACGCTTTGAGGCGGCCGTTTCCTGTCTAGCTTCCAATGGAGGAAACTTTAAGCACGCAATTTGTGTAAACTACCGAGATTACCCTTGAAGTTTGGAATCATTATCTTTAGACCTTCTAGTATAATTGAAAGTTCAGGCTTCTGTATCACTTTACCCTCCATAGCCTGATGCATACCAGTAAAAGTATTTACTTCAGCGTGTTAGTTCCACCAGCATTACAGCTTTCCGTCTCAGAGTTCCCCTCAGATTATTGCTGCTGACTACCACCTATCCCAGTACATTCGAGTTCTATGATTTACCTTTTTTTATACCTTTTTGGCCCACCATCTATCACTATGTGCACCCCCACAAAATGAGGGGTAAGTAAAAAGACACATAACACTAGGATTTCAGAATTCTTCGCATGGTATTTTCAAAGAATATTCACACGAAAATGACCATGCGAAAAGCACCTCGTAAAAATTAACTGTCTAAGGTGTAGTGGAGCGTTCTTTCCCTAGGACTACTACCTAATCAGTTATAAAGATCGAAAACAAATTGAGTGATAAAAAGCGTGGAGCTGTCGCTCATTCGTCACCGGATTCCAATATCACTCTACATACCAAATTTTGCGCAGCCGAGTAGTAGTGTAACGACAGAAGACAAGGGTCAGCCAAACAGATCGTTTATTGAGAAAATCAAGAGGTATTAAGAGATTTTATGTGCATTAATGTGAACGGAGAAGCAACCTCTTTTGATTGGTTGTGTTTCCTGCTGAAGGTTATTCTGTTATCTCTTTGTGGCTGTTTCTCAGAAAGCCATATATCTGCGAATCATATTTCCACACGTTAACTCTACTGTGATTGGCTAGTGATTTTCTCAAGGTTAAGCTTTGTTATTGTTGTTTTAATGACCCCGATTCAGGACGTGAACATTGACGTAAATTGTTGTCTCTCAGCACAGTAGCACTAGTCATCATACAGCTGATGTCAACCTCATGGAATCGCAGGTGGTTGTTGACCCCACACACATCACACTGAATGGCGAAACAGCAGGTGATTAAGAGACATCAGAATTAAAAAAATGATACAACGATGCAACACTTACACATCTTCCATATGCATACGTTCCATCACAGTGTCTTCGTCTTCGTCATCCTCATCACCAGAGATCAATAAATACGGGTTATCATTAACTGGACGAAATTCATAACCGACTGAAATAAAGAATATGAAGGTGACAGTCTCTTTGAATAATTCAACAAGCCATGAATATGAATAAACGACTGTAATTGTCATCAGGTATACAATAACACGCGTGAAATACACGTAGCATATCACCTGTGAAAGATAAAAAGAAATCAAAAGAGAGAGTGGCGTAAAATAACAATGCGAGTGAATATAGCTAAAAAACAATTTCATTATGATACGTGTAAATATAAGATAATATTAATCAATATGTACACACACACACACACACACAAAGTCATTCCATTTTCATGTCAGGGGTGTGCTACTACTGATAAGAAGTATCAGTAGCATATATATAATATATATATATTTAGGTGCAGATTGATAGAAAGTAGCCAAAAATTTAAGAGAAACAACATTTTAAATAGTCAGTGGCTACAGAAGTAGGAGCGTTTATTTCTCAAATCTGTATCTTGCCTAAGTTGCGGTCGGGAAATAATCTCAAGGTTTAACCTTCAGAAAATCCACAACCAATCAGAACAGTCTACTATCCATGGTTTAACCTTCAGATTATCAACAGCCTACCAGAACAGTTTATCATCCGCCAATCAGAAATGCGGCTAAAAATGTATAAAGATGGCGTTGTGATTTTCTTTAGTAAAAAAAAAAGTACGTAGACGGGCGAACCAAAAACCAAATTGACTTCATCTCAATGCTGCTCAGGGAAGTGGAGACGCAGCTTACTGGACACAAAAGTAAGAAGAGGAGTAGACGTTGGCTCACACCACTATCTCGTACAAGGAACACTACAAGTCAAATTAAAAGCCTTCAAAGAAACAGGAGCTACAGATAGACCATAAGCCAGGTTCAATAATCAAAAACTGAAGGATCTCGCCACAAAGGATATCTTCACTGCAATCATAGGGAAAAAGGAGGAGACATATATCAACACTAGCGAAAAGACCAGCGTTGAAAAAGACTGGAACAGCCTGAAAGCAGTGTGGAGTCAAACTGCATGAAAGTTCTAGGCAGGAAGAAGAGACATGACAAACAGTGGCTCACTACGGAGAGGACGATGGTGAGACAAAACATTGTTCAGTGCAACGACGAACAAGACAGGGCTGCCTACTATCTCCAATGATTTTCCTGATTGCGGTAGACTGGATAATGCGACAAACAGCGGGCAACGAGGAAACAGATGGTATATGTCTGGTTTCACACAAACTGGAAGATATGCAAGTGAAAAGCTACAAGTTGGCAGAAGAAGCACCCAGAGAAGATAAGACTTCCTTCAGGTGAACATAGAGGAAACAGGTGTAGGTGATGAAGATTCCTGGCCAACAGCAACAGCAACAACAACAGAATACAATCAGCATAATGGGAGGAATATGAAAGAAACAACCTCCTTTACATACCTACCTACCTATCTGGGAAGCATCGTTTCAACTTCAGGCGGACGGAACTGACAAGGATATCAAAGATAGGATCGCGAAAACAAGACAGGCTTCCACTACTCTCAAGTGTCTGTGTGGAGATCAACAGCACTTAGCATGAAAAATGAGATCCGGATTGTCAATTCCAATGTGTAGTCATTGCTACTATCCGGATCAGAGACTTGGTGCGTCACGAAGGGCACTTCGAACAAACTACAGACTTTCATCAACAGCTGTCTTCGCTGAATTCTACTCAAGGTCAGATGACTAGAAAAGATCAGCAATAGTGAGGGATCTCTGGCAATGAGCGAACCAACCAGGAACCGATTGTGCAACAAATAAGCGGGAAGAAATGGAGGTGGATTGGTCATACTCTGAGAAAACAAACCATCAAGTGATATCACAAGACAGGCCATCGCTCGAGTGAAACCCACGGGAGGCGACGAGTTGGTCATTAGTGCGAGGGTGACATGGCGGAGGAGGTGATGTGAAGAGCAGATGAAAACATGTGGGCAGACGTGGAGTCATGTGAAAATGTTGACAGAGAGCCGAACGCAATGGAGACGTGTGGCTGAAGCCCTATGTTCTTCTAGAAACTAAGGGAAACAATAATAATAATACCAATAATAATGCTACCACCAAACGCGAAGATTGAAGCAGAAGGCTGTTCCTCTCCGAGACTTTGACTTAAAGGTTGATTTACAAGGAAACAGATAGCAGTCATAAGCTAATATATATTTATGTGTAAACCATGGGCAGTGTGGTAATATGTAATTCCATATTAATTTATGTATTATATTTATTGTAACGAGAGAAGATAAAAGACTTGGTAACGGAGGTCTTTAAAGTATATCATCACAACATATTTATACATTCCGCAGCCACATTAAAGTTCAGCTAGGTCAGCGAGGAGAATAATAGATTCTTCTGATTGGTTGGCAACCCGCCCAAGGTTAAACAAGATGTCCAATGAGGTTATTTCATGTCCACAACGTAAACTAGTTTCAGAATTGAGGAATGGAAATGTTGATTACAATTTTGACTGTTTCTTATCAACCTGCACCACATGTTACATTACTACTTTTAAACACCTAATGTGGTAAATGAATAAGAGTCAAATATGAGCTTATAATAAAACTTATCGAAATTCTGTGTCAATATATCCAAAAAAAACCATTGCTCAACATAAATTTCGAATTTGAGTACTGCGATAAAGTAAAATTCTATGTTAAATCAGTTTATTTGATATTCAGTAATCAATATGTGCTGAGAACTGTGTGCAAGCCAAAATCGGTCATGAGAAAAAACAAGAACAAAGGCCTAACCTTGAGGAACTCAACAACCAATCACAGAAGACTTAGCGTGGGCGTATACGATATTCGTAGATATATCACCAGACTGTCTAACAAACGGCAGCAAAGAGATGACAGAATGACCTTCAGTAGGAAAACAACCAATCAGAAGATGTTGCTTCTCTGCTAACACTAACGCTAATAATATTGTACATAAAAATCTATAAATATCGGTTGATTTTCGCAATAAACGAACTGTTTGGCTGGTCCTTGTATTCTATCGTTACAAATACTGTATCACTGTGTGTTATATCAAATTAAAACTTCTTTTAACATAGAACCAATTACTCAGTTTTACCACAATAGAAATTCGAAACTACCGTTCTAACAATTTATATCTTCCGAATTGTTAAATGATTATTCGGAGGTTTGAAATAACCAACTTCATTCAATACACACGTAGTTATGGACTCGAAATACAAAGAAGTATCACACCAAATACCAAGTGATTCACAACGGAAAACTCAGAGAGGTCTTTCCAGTAGAGACAAGAGAAAGACACTGATACCTGCCTACTACCACCAATGACATTCCTCATTGTGGTGGGCTGAATCATACGAAACACTGTATGTGTGAAGCAAAAAGACATGAATAAGTTGGGCCAATAAGATCTCGAGTTCACAAACTTGGAGACTAACAGGCAAAAACCAACAATCTGGCAGAAGAAGCAGTAGAAAAAATGACTTCAAGAGAACACAGAGAAGACGGAGGTCACAATGATAGCCAACCAACAACAGTAATAACCATCACCGATCACTATCAACGGAAGAAATGTGAAAGACGTCACCTGCTTCACTTATCTTACCAGGCAGCATTGTTTCAACTACGGGCGACACCACGGATGACAATGTCGAAACCAGGGTTGGAAACGTAAGACAGACCCTCACCACTCTGAAATCAGTTTGTAAATATGCTCCACTTAACATAAAGAACAAGATTCCGATATTCAACACCAACGTCAAGTCAGTCAGTCAGCGCTTCTATATGGGTCAGAAACTCGGTGAACGCGTCACCAAAGTCATTTCCAACAGGCTACTGCAGGCTTTTACCACCAGCTGCCTCCATACTGAAGATCAGCTGGTCGGCCATCAAGAAACAAGTAGCAACAAGTAACTCTGGGAACGAGCCTGTCAAGAGCCTATCAGCCAACAAATATTCCGAAGATAATGAAGATAGACCAGATATGCGTTCAGCAGACCGCCAAGTCATCGCTCGAGTGAAACTCGAATAGGAAAAGAAGAGTTAGGCGCCCGAGAGTGAGATGGAAGAGATGACAGTTTATGGGCGATTGTGGGGCCAGCTTAAGACGACTGCAGACAACAGAATAAAGTAGAGATGTGCTGTTGAAGCCAGCCCTGTGCTTCAATAAGAACCTCAAAGGAACAATAATAACCACATCATATGAAGCATAATTCCAACTTATACACTGTCTTGCCTAGTAGATAGGCTGACAATCCTTCATACCATTTTGAATAAAGCTGTACTTGTCAACAGTAAAAAAAGCTCTTTTTCAGTTCATATTTTTATCAAAATATCAACAAGGTGTATTAACTGCACATATTCTTTAAAATGAAGAAAGGCAAACCTCTGTACACAAACTTAATCGGCTAAAAATACAAATAGGTAGGTTACGTAATCAAGAATAACACTGTGTATTTCATTTGATCACCTTTCCTGGTGTTCCCACAACATGTTAGTTTCCAGAAAGATATTTCGTTTGACATTCTATGCAAGAAAGTTAAGACGATCTGGTATCATTCTGTCTCTTCTGTTAGCGTTTGTTAATTCTTGTATTCTGCCTATACTTCTTAACTATTTCTCCTTGATCTTCCCGGGGCTAATTAAGAAACACCTTGTTATACTGCGTAGGACACTAAAAGCCATCAGTAGGGCTAGTGGAGTGTTGCTAAACCAACTCGTTAATACTACAGTGGATAAACATATATGGGTTCCTGCAAGAAATTAGCAAATATTATCCTGTTAGACTCCGAACATCTTCTCTATGCACAACTGTCCTCTTGCATCTCATCCATCAGGTAAACTAGAAGCAACTATAAAAGACTGTGTGCTCAGGCGACTGAGTACAAAACCACTATAATACATTATTTAGCACATATTTTATATGAGTAAGACAGGAAATTACTGACTAACTTACTGAGGAACTCTAAGTAAACGGCATTGTGCTTTTTGTTCTCATTATTACATTGTAGCTAATATTTTCACTTGATTTAATTTTATATTCATTTCTTACTGAAAAATATTGATTTTTTAATTATAGCTTGATTCCACACAGTATTTTTGGTACAAGTATGGAATTTTCAGCATGTGATGTCGGTAGCCCAAATTTTGCAGGCCGACCACTGATATCGGGTGTTCGTCGGCAAGGGATCGAACCCCGGACCATGTGCGGCGAGAGTCCTAACCACTGTGCCACCGACGCCCTTATTTTAATTATTACCCCTGTAATGAGAAGGTTAGATGCAATACTGATTGTATTACATGCTAAAAATTCTATATTTGTATCAAAAGTACTTTTTGGAATAAAGCTATTATTATCATTATTTTAATTGAATTTTTTAGATTTTCCTGTCGATGGATTGGACCGAAGTGCTCGGTCTCAGGTTTGAGCCTCGGTGGGAACATCATCACTTAGTGGGAAACGCAGGTACATCCAGATGACGAGCCCCAAATAGGACGGAATGCGCATCCTGGATTCCACTGCTAGTCACTACCCACCAATTAAATATTATTAACTAATTAGAGAAGATACGATAACGAGGCACAGAGCATAACTGGTAAAAGTTAAATAACTACAAGTCAAGTAACACACACCATATATCGTTACTAATATCTGGTTTGCTCAAATAATACTCTACTCACACTGTGAGACGACTATACAGTAAAGATGATTGTAACAGACGAGCGCTATTTGTCCCGCACTGACTTTATACGACTCTAAAGGGTCATGATGTTTTTTTAAGAAAAAAAATTAATGATAAAAATTATACATTTCACCACCAATTACCAGAATATAAAAGTGACGAAATAGTCGTAAATTGCGAAGATTGATAGCTGCCTTGCCATCAGTTTGTGACGCTGTCTTCAAATGTCGAATTGACCAGACGACGGGGAATAAAATTGCACCACAACAAGCTAAATCAACAAAGATGAAAATCTCCTTCCATGTGGCATAACGAGCTGCACCTGCTTCAGACTCTTCAATAATTACAGTAGCAATGTTGGCTAATATCTGAGTGTAAGGAATTATGATCAAAACAGAAATATATACAGGCATCTATATACATATGCACTGAAGCATTAAAAACTTAGTTATTTCAAAAGCAAATATTGAATCGACAAATGAATTACTTCGGTCATTTAATGGATACATTGAAATAGTAATAGTATTATTTAATGTTTAACACGTCGGTCACCAGATGATGCTGGTGGCCCACAGCCAACTGCTATCTACCATCAAAGAACTCCTTTATTACTTCGGCATTCAAGGTTCTCACCACCGATATCTACCTGCACCTGTGGTTGCTTCACGCAGGCTTACATCTGGACCAAGTCAGTTTTCGCCCTCAGGCTGCGCTTAGGTCAAGTTTGCAGCAACGGTATGTGATAGGTCCAACGCTTGAGTACCATCCATCCTCAGGTAATCGACTGGTGACAAGCAACCTGAAAGAAACTCAAGGTTCTTCACATCTCAAATTCGAAAATGAGTTAAACAGTGTCTAGTCCGTGATGATGTTAAGTTTCACATCTGTATACAACCGAAAATTCTTTATAATATAAACTGAAATTCGCTAACTTTTTCAAGCACATTAATAAGGGCGATACAATCTTAATTCTAACCTAAGCTGAGTTCAGTATGAATGACTTGTTCAATGCAATAACACCTAACTATGAGTGGAACGTTTGTAAAAATAATGAATATATTGTCATTTCCTATGGTCGAAATAATGATCCCTAGGCATTTGATGGTAGTTCGTAATAGTAAGCGCGCAATTATAGTCTCTCATGAATCGTTGTCTCACTGTCTGTACGAGGGCGAGGATACTACCCGGGCGCCCAAACTGAAGCAGATGGTTGTTTTAAGGACCACCCCATCTCAACCTTTGACCCTAAGTCTGATCCACAAGGCAGCGTTAGGAGCTATGTTCCAATGGTTTCCGGTGAACAATACAGGTCCATACACCATAGGTTTGGAATTAGGGTTTCCCATCAGGCTGCAGGTAGACATTCGTGTCCACCAGGCTGATTATTAGTGCCAGACATTCGTACTCGCCCTTCCAATTTTTTGAGGAACAGCCTCCGCGCCGCAGAGCCAGTGGATAGGCTTACCTGGCAAAGGCTATGAAGCGTGGCCGCATAAGAGCATCTCTGGGGGAAGACTGGAGTCTACCCACCCTCGGTCCTACGAGGTTTTAGTGGGTGAACCCACGTGGCGCATCTCTTCGTACAAATACTGTACTAAGTTTGCGGTTTGAATAAACATTAATTCCAGTTATTAACATTATGTTCTTGAAGTATGAAACTGAAAAGATCCAAGACGTATATTCGTCCTCATGTATTCTTTTCTACAAAACATTTAAGGGGTACCTAGAACATTTGTTCTGCTAGTTGTTTTATGATATATATATACAAAGCTGTAGACACTTGATGACAAGCGCTGCGAAGAACTATGCGCGGCGATATTGTTAGTTATTTCACAACACTGAACTACGCAGTAGCATTATTGACCATACATAATGTAACGGAATAATGGTTTGGAAATTTTCCTCCTGAACAATCGAATTACAATATGGATACTTAATTCGATGTTTTGACTGTGCAAACATTTCCCTCTTTTCTCCGAGGTTATATATACATATCATTGCCATAACCTTTGCATATATCATCTGTTAACTTGATTCTTATTATCTGTCTTTGTGCCTAAATAATTTTCAATTTTGATGCTTCTCTTTGTAACTGATTAAAAATACCCATTAAAATTTTCAAAAGAGTAGACACGGAACAAAGAGTACTCTTTTCGATAAATTCATCATCAGGTTCTACAATTATATATACATTATAATGAATGAATGAATGAATTAGTCTTATGAACGACATTAATGTTGTTTAAATAACATCAAATCAATAAAATTGATATATTACAGCTGAACAGCATCAACATAAAATAAACTGAATGTCAGAAGAACTAGGAAAGGTAATGGTACAAATTCATGAGTTTATAGTCTCTGCTGAGGGCCAGGGAAGTAGTAGGGGCTGGACTTGTTTCTTTTGAACACAGAGCACTGGTTGTTTGAGGCGAATTGCAATAGCCTTTGCTGTTTGAAGTATGCGGTGCTTCGATGATTTTGGTAATTTGTTAGGCACCCGGTATATTATAGAGAAGGATTCTTCCACGCTCGCTTTGTGGCCGGCCGGTGTGCACCAGATGGTCTAAAATCGAGCTGTTAATAGTTTTAACTACACATTTACTTAGCCATACTGGGAGATGTTCTCGTGCGATCAAGAAAAAACAAGTTCCTAGAGCAGCGACCGACATAACTCCCTCCACAAGCGCAGTTGAATAGTAGATACAATTTGAAGTGGCTAGTCTAGGTACATCATCTTTCAGTCGAGAAATCACCATCGGTCGTGTAGAGAATAATACGTGTAGTTCGCCAGCATTAAAAGTTCTTTGAACTGATTTTCTTAACTTCTTTGTAGTTAACTCATTTGGTATATCGCCCTTGAATTGTAGTCGTATATAAAGTGGCTTCTTCTTAACAGATAGTGGGTAGTCCTTTTCGGCTTTCTTTGTCATATGTTTCTTGATAAATCTGTCAGGATAACCATTTTCGATTAAAGTATCATATACCATGCTTAATTCATCTTTAATTACTTCTTCAGAGCATATAGCTCTAACTCTGTGGCTAAGGGTCTTCACTAAATTTCTTTTGTAACTGATGGGAACGAAGCTATGAAAGTGTTCATATTGTCCCGTTCAAGTACTTTTTCTATGCAAATTTCTTTTTATACTACCGTCTGGTTGCACTGATAACATTGATAATGTATTGTTTTACGATGTGAATTTTTTTGAGTGAATCAAGGTCATCCTGATCTTGGACTGTCTGTAGGAATCTTTGGTGTGTGATTCTTGTGGACAGAGTTTTGATTCCACACCTTGTTGGGAATATTCTACTTGATATTAGATGGTTGGAGGCAATCGGCCACAGGAAGCCTTGCTTGACCTAGGTTTCATGCTAGTTGGCACTCTACATCTGCAACCTCGAAGGAATTCATGTCACTTTTGAGATTCGAACCCACGTCACCCAGTGCCATCTGCAGTCAGAGACGTTACCACTGAGCTATTAAGGCTCGCGATTGATCTCCTGTAGGATTGTAGTGGATATTTTTTGTAACGTCTCTGACTGCAGCACTGGGTGACGCAGGTTCGAATCTCGAAAGGGACATGAATTCCTTCGAGGTTGAAGATACGGCTTAATGAAGAGTGCCAACTAGCACGAAACCTAGGTGAAGCAAGGCTTCCTGTGGCCGATTGCCTCCAACCATCTAATACCAACAATTCACAGTGCACCGTGATGGCGAACCACCTAGCATGGTGGCTACATTGCAAGTTTGACTGATAGAATTCAATCTGTACCGAAGATAGGACTAGACACATTACACTAGTTACTGACTAGTGTCCAATCAAAAATATTTTACTTGATTCTCAGGAACTTCTTACAATTGAATTTCGCTTAACTAATCTTATTCTACAGTACTTGTTTTGTACTAGAAACTTATCTAGCCTGCATATAGCTGCCTAACAGCATTATTGTTGAATAGAACCACGTGGATTTTACGGCGAATAACCGTGCTTTTGATGTCTTACGGGCGTTTTATGACTACGCGTGTCTCAAGGGAGTTTTTGCCAGCTATACATACAGTAGTGCGTCAGGGGCACAGCGGTAGAAGGCTCGTCAACCACGCCCCACATGGTTCGGGATGCGATTCCCGGTCACCGACGCACTCCTTTACCTCGCTAAACCAACAATAAGACTGGTAAAGAGGGAAGGTTGAGCATAACATGAAGCTAGTAACCCCAATGCTACCGAAACTTCAAAGCTCTAGCTTGAAGCCCTATGTCCCACTGGGAATGTAAAGGAATAAAAAAATGCATACAGTAAGATGCAAAGATCGGTTTACAGCGTTCAGATCATAACCAGTCAGTCTTTTGGTCTTACCACACAACCCAGCCCAGCCGAGCGTCGTATTACATCAAAGTAATTTCACTAGAAGAATATAATCACATACAAAACTCATGAACACATACAGAAACAATTTAAGGTCAATGAACGATTGGTCGTCACTCACTTGAAGAGGTATAACAATAAGGAATACATTACGTTCACGTGGTGTTAACATGTGTTTAATGAAAGCCCAACCAGCACCAATCAACAAGATTGTGATAAACAGGAGTGCACCTCGAATACTGAAATAGAAAAAAAAAATAAAATAAAAACGCCGATCAAAACAAATTATGGCAAAGTTAAACTATAATAGCCAAAACTGCAGTGACCTTGAACGGCTAATCAGAATTCAGAAGCAAAAAATGCATATAATCGTTGAAAAATCCACTAAAACACAATATTTCCTATCAAGGAAGGCGATGGCTAGACACGCGTGCTTAACACATGTTCTAGCCATTTCAATCAACTCACCTTCATAACGTCATAGATTGATGTTCCCTCTGTTACCTAACATTCAACGCAAGCCTAACTTCAACACTGCTCCTCAACATATTGTACTACTTAAGAAAGGGAGATATATAAAATGCAAACATTTGTCATCAAAGACAGCTAACCGCCTTTTTATATCACTCACTTTCAATAGCCACATCTCACAATCGTAGTAAAAGGACAGAGAAAAGTGACTCAGAGTCGTTTGATTGCTAGTGTGAAGTTACTGGAAACAAATATTCCATGTTCATTGATGAGTGTTACAGTGAAGACATAAAATTGCATAACCTGACATATTACAACCATCACAGTGAAAAATGTGTCAAATTCAAATATCACTAGATTAGGTGAGCAGTGAAAAAGAATCATAACACCATGTTGAAAGAAAGCCATAGTAGGATCCGAAGAAAAAATTGAAAGTACAAATGACTTATTTAGATGAAGACAGATTCTTTTTTTTCTGTCTGATCAATTGTGCTGGCACTTTTTCGAGAGGAAAAAACACCTTCCTGATACAACATTATTAATTGGTTACAGGATTTCATCGTAAGCTGACAATATCAGTTGGAGAACCATTGGGAAACCTTCAGGGAGTACTGGACAGCTAGATGTTTCGTCAGCCTAGTTTGGGACTCTTCATCAGTATGCATTCACCGCCAGGGTTCAAACCCATGACCTGCTGGTTACAAGGCGAGCTAGCTCGTAGACAATTCAGTCATTGGGACCCGATCCAATGACCAGTACATGAATTCTAACTTCTGCCAATTCACGACCCCCAATGTCTTCGGCGAGTATTTGTTCTCACACCCGACTTGTTGCACCCTACTGGTGACGACGTCCCACTAGAACCAGTCGCTAGTGAGCATCTCATTGATTTTCAAGTGAATTGGCAGAAGCTGTAATTCATGGGCTGGCCAGTGGCTTAATGGTATACGAGCTAGCTCGCCTTGTAACCTGAAGGCCCTGGGTTCGACCCCTGGCGATGGGTGCGTACTGATGAAGAGTCCCAAACTAGGACGAAAAAGCCGTCCAGTACTCCCTGAAGGTTTTCCAAAGGTTCTCTGACCGATGTCAGCTCATGGTGAAATCCTGTAACCAATCAATCAAATCCCCATAAACCAATACTTGACAAAATTATTAAGATAGCTGCAGGTGAAAAATGAATTTTCACAAAGGTCATTTTGCAAATCTAAAACTCTTAAAATCAATATCTTTGTCTAATTAAAACGAAAATTGTATCGTTTAGTTTGAAAAGATACAGTAGCTATTTTCATTGATAAGGAACACATATCAACACACACCTACTCAATTCAATAATGAAGCACACTGATTTGAATGTTAGTTGTTTTCTTTTTTAATTAGTGTTCGAAATTTAGACGAATTCAACTAACACTTTTATGATTCATAGATAATGAGACTGAAACAGTTATCATGGGGAAATACAATTGTAAAGTCGATTAAACAAGGATGTATTGACAACAAGGCAGTGTGTGTGTGTTTAACACCTGGGCTACCAAAAATTACTCTCATTGCGCATATAATTTCTTCTGTTCCGTTTGTTTTAATCCACTAAAAATATAACATCTAGTAGTGTTTTCGACTCTCGCGAGTATTTAAAATGTCCACAACTTGCTGATTAGCAAGTTTTCTACTAAACTTGAGAAAAAGTGAAATCATGGGTGGGCCAAGTTAAACTTTAAGCACTACGCGCCAATGACCTTGAAGCGTTCACTGAGCCAGTTAGTGAAACCTGTCAAATAATGTTGTCATCATCAATAAAATATGCTCATCGAAGTGTTATGTTGTTAAATGGGATATCTGGCAAGTTTCAGCTTGCGTTTGGGAAATATTAAGCTACAGTTTAAACCAAGGACAAGTTAAGGTTAGGTTAACCTAATAAAGGCGACATTAGGGTTGTTTCGAGTTAGATTACAGTTAGTTTAGGGATGTTTTAACGTTAGGGTTTGGTTCAAGAAAGATCAGGGTTAGTGTTAGGGCTAGAACACCTAAATAATTACTTGCATAGAATGTGGTTAATTAACTCTGTTGATATAAGAATAGCACTTGTGCATTGTGGTAGAGTATAATTCCCTTGTAAGTAACATTTATTTTGATAAAGTCTCACAGTGTTATACAGTAATATTTAATGATGACGACATTTCGAGCACAATGTTTTGCTCAGTAAATATTACTGTAAAACAGTATGAAACTTTATCAAAATAAATTTTACCCACAATGGAATTATACTCTGTTGATACTCTAACCTAAAACTGAGAGCTATATTTATCAAATGTGAGAGAAAGGTATCCTCTGTAACACTTTTCTACAGTTTTTTATGCATTATTTCATAAATATATGTATTCCATACAAATAATGCCTCCTTCACGTGATTGGTGCGTTCGGCGTCATTTGGTGATTGGTAGTTGGTGGTGCTTAAAGTTTAACTTTGCCCATGGGTGTATAAACTGCCACTGTGTGAGAAATAAAACTAATTACCTGCAGTCTTCAGTTACTCAGTTATTACTATGTTCTTGGGGTTAACAAAATGTACTCCTGCATCTTTTTTAATTGGCTTTCAACCAAATGTTGTGCATTTTGCGATAGAGGAAGGCAAAGAATAAATATCATAAAGGGTTGGTTTTTGCTTCAGGTCAGACAGCAGTGTGTCACGATACTTACAGTCACAGTTACCGTTTTAATTGAAGATCCTGGACGACGAGAAATTACTATGTGATAATGTCCCCTGAAAATTCTACACATTACACAACACTGTTCCAAAGATTATTATTACTTCCTTTAATTCCTACAGGAACACAGGGCTTCAGCCACACGTCTCCATTGTATTCGGTTCTCTGCCAACTTTTTCACGTGACTCCAGGTCTGCCCACATGCTTTCATCTCCTCTCCACATGACCTCCTCCACCATGTCACCCTGTCATGGATGACCAACTCACCGCTTCCCTTTCGGGTTCCACTCGATTGATGGCCTGTCTTGTGATGTCACTTGATGGTTTGTTTTCTAAGAGTATGGCCAATCCATCTCCATTTGTTCCTGCTTATTTGTTCCACAATTGGTTCCTGCTGGGTTGGTTCGCCTCCAGAGATCCCTTCCTATTGCTGATCTTTTCTGGCCATCTGATCTTGAGTAGTATTGAGTGAAGGCAGCTGTTGATGAAGGTCTGTAGTTTGTCCGAGGTGCTCTTTATGACGCACCAAGTCTCTGATCCGTATAGTAGCACAGACTTCACATTGGTGTTGAAAATTCAGATCTTATTTTTCATGCTGAGTGCTGTTGACCTCCACACAGACTTGAGAGTAATGAAAGCTTGTCTTGCTTTCCCGATCCTTGCTTTGATATCCTCGTTAGTTCCGCCTGTAGTTGAAACGATGCTTCCCAGGTAGGCAGGTAGGTAAAGAAGGTTGCCTCTTTCAGATTTCTCGCATTTATGCTGATTGTTGTCTGTTGTTGTTATTGGTGTTAACCAGGAATCTTCATCACCTCTGTTTTATCTATGTTTACATAAAGTCCTATCTTTGATGCTTCTTCTGCCAACTTGTTGCTTTTCACTTGCATATCTCCCAGTTTGTGAGAAATGAGACACACATTATCGGTGAAGTCCAGATCCTCCAAGTTTTTTGTGAAGGTCCATTTTATGCTTGTTTCCTCGCTGCCCGCTGTGTCTCATTATCAAATATACCGCAATCAGGAAAATCATTGGCGATAGTAGGCAGCCTTGTTACTCCGGTCTTTACTTCGAATGATTCCGTAAGTTTCCCGTTTTGGATTACTTGGCATGTGGCGTTTTTTTTCCGAATAAAGCTACTATAACTATTATTATTGTCATTTCTTTGAAGTGACCAACATTGCCAACTACGTAGGCTTAAAATTGTGAAGGAAAAAGGCTGAAAACTGGACTGTCGAAGACCAGACTGGTCCTACTATGGTGGTGTGATATAGACAATGGGTTCTAACGGAATATTATTCTCACAATAAGAATCGTTGTATTTGTTGGTGTTAACGTCTGAATACTATTCGCACAGTTCAATACTAAATTAGCAACAGAATACGACATTCTATTTCATGTCATTTAATGTGAACCAAAATCACAAGCTCAGTGATTGGTTAAAGAATATAAACTGTATAGATATAAATAGCTGTTTGATCACTTGAAAATATATCTTTGGCTTCCGTGTCTTGCCTTCGGCTGTTACACTATTACTCTTTCATTATCAATTTATTAGCTCTATTCAAAGCAACAATAAAACTAAGACAATCATTTCTTCAGTAGCTGACATTGGTTACAGAACCATTGGAAGACCTAGGAGTACTGAACAGTTGTTTCGTCCTGGTTTGGGACTCTTCACAGCACGCACCCACCCCACTGGGGTTCGAACCCAGGACCTTGGGGTTACAAGGCAAGCTCGTAGACCATTAAGCCACTGGGACCCGATTCAGTGGCCAGTCCATGAGTTTTAACTTCTGCCAATTCACCATCGCTAGCCAATGTCTTCGTCGAGTACTTGTCTTCACACTCAACCTGCTGCACCCTACTGGTCACGACTAGTGGTCGCGCTATGTCGTGAATTGGCAGAAGTTAGAAATCATGGAGTGGCCATTGGATCGGGTCCCAGTGGCTTAATGGTCTACAAGCTAGCTCGCCTTGTAACTAGAAGGTCCTGGCTTCGAACCCTGGCTGTGGGTGCGTACTGATGAGGAGTCCCAAACTAGGCTGAGGAAACAGCTATCCAGCACTCCCTGACTTTTAATAGTTCGCTAACAGAAGTCATCATGTGATCATACTCTATTTTTCCTGACTTTACAATCATATTACACTTGCCGCTTATCACCTCTACGCTGCCATGAAAAGCAATTGGCAATTATGGGATATATTACCTATGTACGAGGAGGTTATAAGGTAGGACGGTATTTATACTGATATACCTTTAGAATAATACAAATACTGAAATTTAGAGATGAACTTTTAAAAAACAATTAAATGAATTAACACATAAACCCAACACACATACATATGAGTAATGTAATACATAATTGCCCAACTTTCTTCATGAGCTCCATGCTTTCCAATCACATAGTAGTTTATCTGAAATATGAGGGGGAAAAAAGTCAACACAAATCAACTTTAAAACAAAATATGGATGTATTTATTCTATGGCAAAATAGACTTTTCGTCTAATATTAGCATTCACATACATTATTATTATAATGATGATTTGTCTGTCAATCACTGTTATTTGCATAAAACTATATACTACTACTTATTGACTGATATAAGTAGTTGTATATCACTCACATATCAACAACCAGTTGTGCTTGGTGGCCGCCAGCCAGATCGAGGTGATTAAAAACACCGGACGGTCATTTCGGGGCCGACTTCATGAGTGATGTACGCCAGTTTGACTTAGCTAAGGGAGTAGAATCAGTTCATACCACAACCGATTTCTAAGTTAACTACTTGAGCTAACAGGACTGAACTACACTGACTCCTAGCTTAAAGATACGGAGTGAATTGGTAGAGCACGTTGACTGCTTCACTTATATGAGAAGTTGCATCAGCCAACGCCAGCAGGTTGATTGCTGACGAAATCTCAGTACGGACACAAGAGGCTCGTTACGCATACGCCAACTTACGCCGTCTCTGGCTTAGTAGACGTCACATCCGGCTGGCTGTCGACCAAAGGCAGTGTTTACTGCTCAGCGATCCGCTTCGTCCTCCTCCATGTGACTGTGAGTGAGACCTGGCCATTGAGAGTGGAAGACATGAAAAGATTAGTTGTCTTCGATCATAGGTGTCTGCGTTCTATCTCCTGTGTGAAGTGGTATAGTAGCGTAAGCAATATTGAGGTTAGCCGTCGAGTGCTAGGTAAGGAGGGGAAATCAATAGACGAGGCTGTGAAATTACATCGATTGAGATGGTTAGGACATGTGTAACGTGCGCATGCCTAGCCATCGCCTTCCTCGACAGGCAATGTTAGCTGACACAGGATCGCTCAGGTTGGCAAAAACGTCAGTGATGGTCAAACCAAAACATGGTTTCATCAGTCAATGAAGTCCACAACAATTAGATTAAGCCGGCCAGTGACGTAGAGAGGTATAGCCTTACTGACTGGTTGGGGTTCTCGGGACGGCGAAAAACCAATGAAGGCTGGAGACAATTGGTGATATGGCTAAAAATAGTTCTCAATGGCTGGTGCAGATGTATTCGATCCTTGTGACTTATAATTTCCAATGAAACTGTTTTGTTGAAAACAGGCAGACAGACAGATAAAATATGCCAGTCAGTATAAATCCATGAGCTTATCAACAGATTACCTTTGTTTATATGATGATCAACGCCGAAGTATTAGCTAATTCTGCCGCATACACATACACACACACACAAGAAATGCTTGAAAAGTACTTTATTACTGAATTCTTCTGATTTTGTTTGAATTGTAAACCTCCACAAAAATACTAGGTTTTATAGCTGCATACGAAAAGACTAAGTAGATGCCTCTCAATATACTAACCATCATATAAATCGCGAAATTTCATATAGTGTATATATCATAAAAGATTATGATAAAATTAATACTTTGATGAAATGATAAGTTAGCACCACTGTAATGGAATGTTTATTCGAAAAATTCCTCCTGAACGATCTAATTACAATATGGACACTGATTCAGACATTCCTGTCTGTATGTCTGTATTCGACATAGAACTTTGCACCGATGTGCAGAAGTTCAAGTCGCCACACTCCATGTAGCACACAAAGCAAGAGAAGAAAGTAGAAGAAATGCATATTAGAGACAGTAAACAGAGGTGTGAGACAAAGGAATAGTAATAACGAAGAAGGAAGAACAATATAGTTTCATTGGAAATCATAAGTCACAAGGAGTGGATGCATCTGCACCAGCCAGCTATTGAGAACGATTTTCAACCAGCCATATCACGAATTGTCTCCAACCATTGGTTTTTACCGTCCCGAGGACCCCAACCAGTCAGGAAGTCTACACCTGCCTACGTGACTGGCTTAAACTAACTATTGTAGATTTCATTGACTGGTGCCATGTTTTCGTTTGACCACCGCTAGCTCTTTTCCGGTCTGACCCTATGTCAGCTAACATTGCCCGTCGAGGAAGGCGATGACTAGGCATACGTAGCACATGTCCTAACCATCTCAGTCGATGTAATTTCACAGCCTCGTCGATTGATTTTCCTCCTTGCCTAGCCTAGCACTCGACGCCTAATCTCAATATTGCTCACCTTATTATACCACTTCACACAGGAGATAGAACGCAGACACCTATGATCGAAGACAACTAATCTTTTCATGTCTTCCACTCTCAATGGCCAGGTCTCACTCACAGTCACATGGAGGAGGACGAAGCGGACTGATGAGCAGTATACAAGCCCTTTGGTCGATAGTCGGATATCACGTCTACTCCAGAGACGGCGTAAACTGGCATATGCGAACCTAGCCCTCTGTATTCGTGCTGAGATTTCGTCGGAGATCAACCCCTTGGGGCTGGTGGTACTTCCCAAGTAAGTGAAGCGACTAGGTAGGCAGTTCGTTAGCGCAAGCTACCAAGTGTAATTAACGGTCATATCACCTCATGGGGAATATTCTACTCGATTCTCAGGCACTTTTTTACAGTTGAATTTTGGTTAATTAACTTTGTTCTACCTACAGTGCTTGTTTTGTAATTTAAAGTTCTCTTGGCTGTATAGGGGCTGCTGCTTAACAGCACTCTTCAGGTAATTTTGAGTCTTTCATGTGATTATTGTCGTTGAACAGAACCATGTGGATTTCACGACGAATAACCGTTTGTTTTAGTTGTGTCTTTAGAGCGTTTTGTGACTGTGTGTGTGTCTCAAGAAAGAAGTTTCGATCAGCTATACAAACACAGTAGGATGCAAAGATCGGTTTGCCGAGTTCACAGCACAACAAGTCGCTTTTGGTCATATGCGCATAAACACTGCGTTTATATATTCCATAATAATAATAATAATAATAATAATTCAGCTTTTAATCGGCTTTTTTAAACGAAATTTGTAAGATTTTTGATTTTCTGATAATACAAAAATGATCAAATAATGCAACTTTGCAAGTGTATAGATTTACGCAATAAATAAACATCCCATTAAGATATCGAAATTTTAATGTGAATAGGAAGCATTTTGAACATGTGATCTACAAGTTGACAAGTGAGTGTTTTTTTTAAAATATTTTTTATTCCTTTACGTTCCCAGTGGAACATAGGGCTTCAAGCTGCTTGGGCTTTGAAGTTTCGGTAACAGTGGTGTTTTATTTTTACAGGATGGGGTTGCTAGCCAGCCTCATGCCGAACCTTCCCTCTTTACCAATCTTATTACAATTAGGCAGGTTCATCATCGTATTTCCGAACATCATCCAACATGGTTAAGCACGAGAGAAGCAAGATCTATTCATAGCTCTGTTGTAGCACACCTTGTAGATAGATAGTGAGCATAAGGTTGACGTTAGTACTGCATTTAAAATTATTTATCGCATTCCGACTAATCTTAATTTTGCTCTACGAGTTCATCTTCTACAGACAGCTGAAGCAATAGGTATCCACCTGAAGAAGCCAAACCTGTGTGCTCAGAAGAAATTTGTACAGCCACTTTCCTTACCTTGGCCATCGTTATATGAATGTATAAATCGGACTATTTCGCCTCCCTCCCCCTAAACCTTTAAAATTATAAAAATTATAATTGTCCAAATTATTTTATTACTTTTTCTGACCACTTCATCTTTAATTAAGTGTTATCCTTGTAAAATTAATTCATTCTAACCATTTCTACCTTTTAATTTTATGTATTAATTTTCTTCGTTAATTATCACCCCATTGACATGTTGACACTGTTTAATTATTGTTAACAAACATATCAGTGTCACTGTTGTGTATTGTAATAAAAATGCTATACATGTATATTAGAGTAGAGCCAGAGATGAGGATCTAATTAAACAAAGGAAATATTTCTTCGCTCAATGTTTCTGTTTTCTACATGTCTAAATGGAGATTTTTTTCAATATTGAAATCTTATTACTAGCTTAGCGAGGTAAAGGAGTGCGTCGGTGGCCGGGGATCGAACCCCGGACCACCTGTGTGGTCGGCGAGAATTCTACCAGTGTGCCACCGACGCACAAGTGAGTATACGTATATATATATATATATATATATATATATATGCATGTATATATGCATAAAACTAATTATAATTAGTAAACTGTTAAGTTAAACAAAAGTACATTTTGAATAATAATAATAATAAATATTGACTTACACTATGAAAGCCGAGTGACAGAGATTTAATTAGCACAACAGCCAACATAAGATAATGAATTCGAAAAACTGAATTCCTAAGATATAAAAAAATAAAGTAAATATTTTACGAATTAACACAAACACCTGCATGTTGTATACACACACAAAATGCTTTCTTTTTTAAACAAATAAAAAACAAACAAACCACAGATTGAGCAATGAAATATACTCCTTCTTTTTTTTCAATTGGTTCCTCGTTATCATCAATCATTTGATTATATTAGTCAATAAAAATTATCAGTTCAAGGTATAGGGGTGAGGGGTGAAAATGAGAGTTTTAACGTCATACAAACAATTAAATAGTAGATGTTAGCAACAAGATATCTAAGTTTTGGAGCAGGGAGGGCGCAAATAATTAAAGAATTCAAGATCACTTAATTCGTAGGGGTTTATTATTTATTATTATTATTCTCTTGGATTCCGAGTAGAAGATAGGGCTTCAACAAACAGCACATCACCACTTTTTTTCTATTTTCTCCTGTCCTCTTTACCTGGGTCCACGATTCTGCATAATCTCTCATTTCCTCCTAGCACGATCTCTCCTCCATGTCACCATTGCATTGATGACCCACTCGTCGCTTACCATTGGGATTCCACTCGAGAGATGACCTGCATTGCACGCAATGTCATTCAACGGCCTCCTCCTGTTCGATCCATCTCTATTTTCTCCTACATATTTGTTGAGCAATCGGCTCTCTCCAGTTGGTTTGTTCCGCTACAGAGATTCTAGTTACTAATTCTTTCTGGCTGACTGGCCATCTGATCTTCAGTATGGAGGCAGCCATCGTAGGTGGCAGCTGTTGGTAAAAGTCTTCAGCCTGTTGGAAATCCTTTTTGTGACACGCCAGTCAGGTTTCTGACCCGTATAGAAGAACTCACTGACTTCACATTTGTCCAGAAAATGCGAATCTTCTTGTTCTTTATGTTGACTGAGTGCAGAAGATTTCCAAACTGGTTTCAGGCTGATGAAGGTGTATCTTGCCTTTCCGATTGTCGTTGGCTTTGACATCTTCATCAGTTCCACCGGCCTGCGGTTCAACGGATAATCGAGAAATGAGTAAAATAATGATGACTAAGAAGAATAGAATGACTTAGTAGAATTAAATAAGATACAAACAAGCTAGTTGAATTAACTACAGTTTTAATCATAACCGAATAACAAAGTCGAAGGAAAGTTACAAGGGGAAGGGGAAATCGTTTGTAAAACTCAACACATATTATACAGTTGTCCAAGGCAAAGAAAGAGGCTGCATAAGTTCCTTTTGAAAACGCAAATTTGGCTTGTACAGATGAATTCCGATGGCCTCTGCTATAAAGTGAACGCCGTACTCGTAGAACATGCGATGAATTGGTTGAAAGTTATTTATGGTATTTCATCGTTGTTCTCAACCTCTTATACGTAAAACTGTTAATTCTTATAGACTTAAACAACCACAGGATTGGTATAATTTTGATGCAAACCTGACGATGAGGAACTAATTGAAGAGGAATATATTTCTTCAGTGTATTTGCTGTTTTTCCTAAATATGTAAATGGGAATTTTCAAATTACTTTTTTTACGTAGCAAATAGAATTCCCTTTAAGTATTAGTTTGTAGGAATTCGGTTGATTGGTTACAGGATTTTCATCATGAGCTGACATTGGTTAGAGAACCATTGGAAGACCTGGGATTACTGGACAGCCGTTTCCTCAGCCTAGTTTGAGACTCTTCAGCAGTACGCACTCATCGTGGTTCGAACCCAGGACTTTCTGGATACAAGGCGAGGTCCTGGGTTCGAACCCAAGCGGTGGGTGCGTACTGATTAAGGGGCCCAAAGCACTAGGACAAAACATCTGTCCAGTACTCCCTGCTGGTCTTCCAATGGTTCTCTAACCGATGTCAGCTCATGATGAAATCCTGTAACCAAAGAATTCCCTTCAATTGTGAAAATTAATTACATCAGATAAAGATAGTAGATTGGAAATAACACACTCTCTCTCTCTCTCTCTACCTTCGCTCTTATCTGACTGATGACGACTAACAATGGAATGCAGTACCCAAATTCCGTCCCAATTTGAGACTGGTCAACTGGATGTACACCTGCATTCTTAGTCAGTGATAGTGCTTTCGTTGAGACTAGAACGCCTCACCTATCGTTTAAAACGCCACTGTGTTAACCGCATAAAACTTTACCTAGATGGAACATAGGGCTAGTAGTAATGGTTGGGTGTCGTTTTAACATGGTTGAGTTTGTTAGCTTCACTTGCAACCTTCCGCAGTTCACTATGTGCTATGCGAGATGTAGGTGCTATGCGTCGACTGGGAATCGAACCAAAACCTTCACAGCATGGCTGGCGACCATTGAACTGATCAACTTTACACCACTTAATGCTGTTATTTTTGTTTTTGTAAAACTGAAATTTTATTTCTCTTGTTAGATGTTTGCAAGATAGTTTCCAGTGACTACTTTTCATTGACTTTGTTGAATTCACTAGAGATGTGGGGTGAAACTGCAGTAAACTTGCAAGCTGAACACAAAAGTAGGACTGTGGTGAGAGCTGGCTGCTAGCCAAAGTTGGTAGACAGCAATTGACGTCAATGTTTGTGTCCCCAATATTGGTGGTGAGAAAATGAGAACAAAGGCTTTGCGTAGGCGGGTACAGTTAGCATATAGATGATCTGACATTCAAGAAACAGCCACAAAGAGATGAAAGATTAACTTTCTGTGAGAAACAACCAATCAAAAGACTGCATTTTCTACTAACAATAATCTACAATAATGTACATTAAAATCTATAAATATGTGTTGATTTTCCTTAATAAACGATCTGTTGCCTGGCCCTTGTCTTCTGTTGTTACAGGAAGACAAATTGAGCAGTAAATTTGTTGTTTTTGCATTGCTCAAGTTCATCAAGGTAAAAAATTCTATGGTAGAAGATTTCAAGTGTTATCGTCTCTTTTCTTTTATCCCTCCCTTTGCGCTCCCAGTGGAACATATAGCTTCAACCTGAGGCTATGGAATTTTCAGTACCAGCGGGGTTGGTGTTACTATCCTCACGCCCAAACGTTCCCTCTTTACTGGATTTACTAGAGGTTAAGTGAAGTTGAAAAGTGCGCTGGCCAGGGATCGAACCCTGAACCACGTGTGGCATGGTTGGCGAGCATTCAACCGCTGAACCACCACCACCCAACGCAGCTACATGATAACGTCAGTCAAAATAGTTTCCTTCCAATTCAAAAGATTTACAAGAACACCACAGTGAAGAATTAAATTGATAATTACAAACCATTAATTTTAAACAGTTTGTAATCTATCATCATTTCCAAAGTTTGAGACCTGCCTAAACTTTCGAGTTAGTTAGATCAAAGTAGACAGATTGTGAAATTAATCCATGAAACCCCTTCACTAGTCAGTTACTGAATTTCTCCAAGAGTCAGTTATTCAATTCATTTGAATTACTTGGAAATATGCATTCGCTATTTCACAACGGGGAAGTTACATAGAACAACTTTTCGGGGTCTAAACACATACCTTTCGTTGTTCGCCCTATAAAACACGTTTACAGCTTTTAAGCTACAGTATTTTCATATTTACTTGTTGAATATAAACACAATAAACGAGAATCATTAGATGTAAAACCCATCACTGAGACTAAGTACCCTTTTCAGTATATGCTAAAACATTTATCTCCCAACTTGCAGATACGCCTTGCTGACGAGTGCCAACTAGCACGAAACTTAAGTCCAAGGCTTCCTACAGATTGCCTCCAACCATCTAATATCATCACAAACAATGTACACCGTGATGGCGAGCTACCTAGCATGGTGACCACATTGCAAACCTGACTGACTGATAGAATTCAGTCTGCACCAAAGAAAGGACTAGACACATCACACTAGTTACTAGTGTCCAATCAAAATATCCACTACAGTCCTACAGGAGGTCAATCGCGAGCCTGAATAGCTCAGTGGTAACGTCTCTGACTGCAGACGGCACTGGGTGACGTGGGTTCGAATCTCAAAAGGGACATGAGTTCCTTCAAGGTTGCAGATACACCTTGCTGACGAGTGCCAACTAGTATGAAACCTAGGTCCAAGACTTCCTGCCGATTGCCTCCAACCGTCTAATATCACCAAATCAATGTGCACCGTGATGGTGGCCACATTACAAACCTGACTGATAGAATTCAGTCTGCACAAAAGAAAGGACTAGACACATCACACTAGTTACTACTGTCCAATCAGAATCTCCTGACTTATTCAGTAATCAACCACCAGGATTCTAATTTCTATATGTTAATTATCATGTTCAATTTCATCAACTTTGGAAAGGTCTTCAACAGAGTTGACCGAGAAGTAATTTGGAAACTACTTCAACACTATACAGTGAAATGCTTCAAATCTTCATCAACCTCATTCAACAGTTCCATGACAGTACCATGTATCACGTAATCCACAAAGGAAAACTCAGTGAGGCATTTGAAGTGGATACAGGAGTACGACAAGGCTGCCTATTATCGCCATTATGATATTCCTAATTGCGGTGGACTGGATTATGCGCCAGGTCGTGGGAATATGTTGGCCCATCGATAAGAAGACACTAGAAGATCTGGATTTCGCGCGTGGATGACTCATGTTTAATATTACACACAAACTCTAAGACTTACAGGCGAAAACCAACAAACTGGCTGAAGAAGCTGGCAACGAAGACAGGACTTCCAGTAAACATAGAGAAGACAGAAGTGATGAAGACAACCAACCAACTAACAGCAACAACAACAACAACACATCACCAATCACTATCAGCGGGAGAAATTTGAAAGGGGTGAAGTCCTTCACTTATCTCACCAGGCACTATTGTTTCACCTACAGGCGACAGCGCCGATGACAATAACAAAAAACCAGTCAAAATAGGAAAGGCAAGGCACAACTTCATCACTCTGAAATCAGTTTGGAAATCTACTGCACCCAACTCAAGCAAAGGGAACAAGATTCAGATTTTCAACATCAATTTTAAGTCAGTCAGTCAGTCACTTCTATGCGGGTCAGAAACCCGGTGAACGTGTCACCAAAAGCGTTTCCAACAGTCCAATACAAACTTTCATCAACATCGGCCTTTGCTTAGTATTGAAGATTAAACGGCCAGCTGGTCAGAAAGAATTAGCAACAAGAAACTCTGGCTGGCAACAAACAAACCAATCAAGGACTTAATGTTCAACAAATATTCCGAACAAAATGGAGATGGATCGGACAAACACGTAGGAGATTGTTCTGTCTGTCTGTCTGGGTTCAACATAGAACTTGGCACCGAAGTGCACCAGTTCGAGTTGCCACGTTCCAAATAGCACACAAACGTAGACAAGAAAATGAGTGAAGAGAATCAATAGAGTTTTGACAAGTATAAGAGTGAAACAGAATGAGTAATGGTAGAAAGGAATATGAAACATTATAGAGACTGAATACATCTGCGTAAGCCATTGACAACGATTTTCAGCCACGTCACCTATTGTCTTTCAAGCCATTGATTCTTAGAGTCCCGAGGGCGAGTCCCAACCCGGAAGTCTGCATCTCCCTGCCTGACTCAGTTTAACTGTCAACGATTTCATGGATTGACTGATGCCATGTTTTTGTTTGGTTACCACTAACTCTTTCCCAACCTGCACCTATATCAGCTAGTAATGCCCGTCGGCGAGGGGGAGGCGATGGTTAGACATGCGCAGCATGTGACCTAGCCATCTCAATCTATGTAACTTCGATTGATTTTCCCTCTTTGCCCAACACTCTACGCCTAACGTCAACATTACTTACTTTATTATGCCACCTAACGTGAGAAAGAGATCGTAAACATCTGTGGTCAAAAACAGACAACCTTTTCTTGTCTTCAACTCGTATTGGCCATGTTTCAGAGCCATAGAGAAGGACGGAGCGAACTGCTGAGCAGTACACACGTCCCTTGGTTGATAGCCGGATGTCACGCCTACGCCAGAGATGGTGTAAGTTAGCGAAAGCAGCTCAAGATTTTTGGGTCCGTGCTGAGATTTCGTTGCCAATCAATCCGTTGGTGCTGATACAACTTCCCAAATAGGTGAAGTGGTCAACATGTTCTATCACTTCACTCCCTATCACTAAGCTAGGGGTAGACGTAGTCCAGTAGTCCTGTAGCAGCATCTTACATTTCACAGGGGCGAATCGCATGCCAAACATAAGAGATCGTCGGATGACAACGCGCACCACGTTATCGGAAACAACGAGTCTGACGTGTTTCCGAGAGTGGTATGGAGAAGATTGTGTGTGAGGGAGGGAGGGGGTGAGAACCTATGGAAAATCGTGGAGCCAGTTGAGCAGAACGAAAGAGAATAGGACACAGTGGAGAACTCAAGTGAACAATGTTGTTATTGTGTAAAACGACACTTGAAATCTGACATAAAAGTTTTGCATTTTCTTTTCACTATTGGACAAAGAACAACAACTACTCAACAACAACAAGTTAGAGCAGTAAACATTTCGAGTGTACTTCATATATATATATATATATATATATATACTGCCCACAACTAAGACATTTTAATCAATTTATAATTGCATTTAGTATAATAAATACCTTCTCACACACACACACACAATGAAAACAATCCATAGTATAGAAATGGAATTAAATTAGTTAATTCCGAGAGAGAAGACGGAAACAATAAAATAAAAAACAATATAAGACCATACAAAATCTTACTTGGACACACGAAGATAAACAAACCAAAATATACTCAAGGCTAAGTAAGCCAAACAAGAGATGGCATACAGCATAGGCAAAGGATGTTGACCAGCAGATAGATAACTATCCACATTCTTCTCAACCATTTTTAACTAAGAAAAAAGAGAGCGAGGGATGGAGGGAGAGGCGGAAAAAGGACAGTTAGCTTACATGAAATGATAAAAACAAAACACGTTTTATTTCTTCGTCAACCACTTCTTTACAGTGTCGTGTCACGGATGTGTAAACGTTGGTTCGACTCCACTGAGTTGTAACAGTTTTGACTATTTGGCCAAAATACCTCACAAGTGCTTCATTAGTCTAACTTATTAATTCGTAAAAACTGGATTTAAAACTGCTTTTTCCAATTATTATTATTATAGAAAATCAAAACAAATGATTCAACGAAGAGAATCTTTTCAACGAATTTATCATCAAGCTGTACAATCGTATATATATATGGTTTTCAAGAAGTTATATCCGGTGAGGGAATTGAAACATAGGTGTGAATGCATATAACAATAATAATAATAATATGAAGTGCAATTAAAACTAAAATGTTTGTGATTATAATCGTAGTTAAATGTTCAGTCTAGAAAATGATCAGCTGAAGCCTATAATCCAAAGTTTTCAAATGTATAAAAGGTATGTAGATGACACCTTTATTATTTGTAATAGTGACTGTAACTTAAATAATATATTAGATGTATTTAATGGTTGCCATCCGGCGATAAAATTCACACTCGAAATAGAGAACGAGTCTAGCATGCATTTCCTCGATGTGAACTTATCAAGAAGGACCGATGGAACCCTGAAAAGATCGATTTATCGTAAGCTGTCATGGAATGCTCAACTGACAAATTTCTACAGCTGGGTACCCATTGGTCGAAAACGAAACCTGATCCGGTCGCTTGCCACTCGTATTCGGCGCATATGTAGCCCTGATACTGTGGGAGATGAGTTATACATCTTGAGGAAAATCCTAATAGAAAATGGATTTCCACCACCTTTTATAGATAAGAATATACATTCAAATCCTAAAAAAGTGACTTATCAACCGTACCCAAGAAGATACTTTACATGAGCTTGGAATTCAAAGGGGACTTAGCTTCCGATATCATGAAACGAAGGATATCACAGTCCCTGAAAAGAACATTCCCTGCTGCATCCCTGAGAATAGCCTTTACTAGTCAACCATTATTGTTCAATAACCTGAAGGACAAGATCCTGCTGTTGACCAACTCTATGTGTGTTTATCAATTCACCTGCTCGTGTGGAGCTAGGTATATCGGTCGTTCGACACGAGTTTTGTCCAAGAGGGTGCAAGAACACTATCCTGCATGGTTGTTACTAAGAGGTGGAAGTGGAGCAATAAGAAGCGCGATCATTGAACATCTGGTCGATAATGATCACCCTATCTCTATAGTCTCCGCCTTCAAAGTCATCTACAAGGCAAAGAGTAATTTACCCAAATCCCTACGTACCCGACTCATCTGTATTGCTGAAGCTTTGGCTATCGAAACAGAAAAGCCAGATCTCTGTGTACAGAAAAAGTTCGTTCAACCCCTCCAACTTTCATGGTCTTAATCCCTCTATGCTAAAGTATGGTAATCCCCAATCATATTTTAGCTCTACCAATTTTTCATTTTCTTCATTTTTGTCTATTCAATTTGTATACTCTTCCTTATTAGGTTAATTGTTACTATTACTACTCTCACTTTTAATTGTCCCCGGTATTACTTCATTTGTTCCACTTGTCATTCTAAATCAATTCCTTTATCCAACATTAAATTCTATGCTATTAAATTTCACACAATATTACGTAATGTTTTTATTTTATTCGATTTGTCTACTAATCTTATAATTGCACACCTTTTTTCATGTTCTATCCATCCTATGAATTATTCTATATATGACATTAATTTGCTTTGCTACTTGACATTTAACTATGATTATAATCACAAACATTTTAGTTTTAATTGCACTTCATATTATTATTATTTCATGCATTCACACCTATGTTTCAATTCCCTCACCGGATATAACTTCTTAAAAACCATATATATATATATATATATATATATATATATATATATATATACGATTGTACAGCTTGATGATAAATTCGTTGAAAAGAGTCTCTTCGTTGAATCATTTGTTTTGATTTTCTATATATTATTATTATCACTACATCCCTTAGTTTTCGAGTGGAACATAGAGCTTTAACAAGCAACACATCTCCATTTCACATCATCCTATTCTCCACTCCACGATTATCCCTAAGCTTTTATCTCCTCCGCATACGATTGCCTGCCATTCGCGATCTTCTCGAGGGGCTGACTGGCGCACAATGTCATGCAATGGTCACCTCAGCGTGTGTTCGATCATTCTTCGTTATCTTCAGCATATTCGTTGGATTTTTAGTTGTGTCGTTCCCCGAGTTCCTTGTTTATCCTTTCTGGTCATTTGATCTCCAGTATGAAGCTAGAGAAGGCAAAGGGTTTCCTATGGACTGTTCAACCGCTTTTGTTGACGCGTACATTCGTCAAGTGTCTGTGAACCACATAGAAGAATTGACTTAACATTGGTGTTGAAAGTCCAAATTGTCGTCTTTATTCTGAATGCAGTGGATTTTCATACCGATTTCAGATTAATGAAAGTCTATCCTACCCTTCCAGTCCTGGTTTTGACATTCTCATCATCTGCTGTGTGCGTGTAGTTGAGACGATATTGTATGCAAGAGGCTTATTTATACAAATCCTACCGATTTTTTTAAATTTTTATGATTCCTTAGCTATAGTGCTGAATTTCTTCAGAATCAAATGCAACAACTACTAAATAAAGAGTCATTGTTAACTGTAACATACATCTATTCCTAGTACACAAATAATCACACAAACATAATCAAAACCCGGTGGACGTGTACTACCGAAGAGTCTCAAACTAGGACGAAACGACCTGTGTCCAGTACTTCAGTGCTGGTTTTCAATGGTTCTCTAACTGATATCAACAAATCAAATCTATATAAGTTAACTCTCGAAAACTAATATGATGCTCACTAGTGAGTGATCGGCTACAGAACGCAGATGTGACTGGAGCTCTAGTCATGAGAAGCCATGACCAATGGGATCCATCCACCCGATCGAGAGCAAGGACAAATACTCGCCGATAATACTGGTCGATGATCGCACTAAAATCACGAATTCGCAAAATTTCGAACTCATGGGCTGATCATTGAGTCGGATCCCAGTGGATGAATGGTCTGTGAGCTCACCTTGTAACCGGAAGGTCGTGGGTTCGAATCCCGGTGGGTGTGTGTACTGCAGAAAAGTTACAAACTACGACTAAACAGCTGTTCAGTACTCCTAACTAATTTCCAATGGTTCCCTAACTGATATCAATCCATGCATCGTCAAACTTGAAACAAATCAACCTCTAGAAACTAATTCACTCTTGAAAATAAAACTATGCCATATAATTTCAGTGAAAAGTAATACACTAACCGATGTCATCAATTTGTTAGTGAAGTATATTACTGAAGAAATGTTTTGTTTTCAATTAGGCAGAACTTTTCACAAAGATTAAAACGAGCGAAAAACTGTCAGGTCCCCAAGTCACTGAGTCACTAATTAACAATTCAATGTCCAATATGGCGGTCTACTTAAATCACTGGGCTACTAACTAAATTTCCTATCCATCAAAATGCATCGTTGTATTTACTCCATGGTTTCATATTGTTTTAATCATCTAATTACCCCCTCCATCCCCAAAGAGTCTCAATTTATACTCGCGCACAATTTCAAACAACTTCCTAACTAGGAATTCTCTGGAAGAAATCGAGGAAGAACATACGTGGAGTAGCGTTGAAGCACATACTTCAAGTGGAACAATGTTGCTTGAGATGATATATCATCAACTAGTGTATTATTTGAAGATTCTACACAAGGAGTAAGTCACGTAGCTATGAAACAATCGCTGAAAATTCTGTATTATGTGTGTAAACGCATTTTTCAGTATGGAACTATTATTACTATTGCGGAGAGTGCTACTGATAAGATTTATCAGTAGTATATACAGAGACGAAGGTGATGAAGATTCCTGGGCAACACCACCAACAGCAACAACAACAGCAGACAACAATCAGCCAGCATAAGTGGCAGGAACCTGAAAGAAACAACCTCCTTTACATACCTACCTGGGAAGCATCGTTTCAACTACAGGCGGACGGAACTGATGAGGATATCAAAGCAGCTAGGATCGGAAAAGCAAGGCAAGCTTTCATTACTCTCAAGTCTGTGTGGAGGTCAACAGCATTCAGCATGGAAAATAAGATCCGGATTTTCAACTCCAATGTGAAGTCAGTGCTACTCACTATACGGATCAGATACTTGGCGCATCATAAAGAGCATCTCAAACAAACTACACACCTTCATTAACAGTTGTCTTCGCTCAATACTTCGCTCAAGATCAGATGGCCAGAAAACATCAGCAACAGGGAGGGGTCTCTGGGAGCGAACCAACCAGGAACCGATTGTGCAACAAATAGGCAGGAAGAAATGGAGGTGGATTAGCCATACTCTGGGAAAACAAACCATCAAGTGAAATCACTACACAAGCCCTCGAGTGGGACCCAAAAGGGAAGCGGCGAGTTGGTCGTCAGTGCAAGGGTGACTTGGAGGAGGTCATGTGAAGAGGAGATGAAAGCGTGTGGGCAGACTTGGAGCCCGGTGAAGACTCTAGCAGAGAACCGAACGCAATGGAGACGCACGGCTGAAGCCCTATGTTCCTTTAGGAATTAAAGGAAACAATAATAAAATACAGAGACGTTCATCGACATAAAAGCATCAAATAGCAGGGAGGTATAGCGTTGTGGAGATACATGGGAGACGTGAAAGGAGCACAACACGTTATGAAGGCCAGAAGTAACACAACACGGACGATCTGTGCGAAGGGTGCCTTGCAGATAAGGTATACATAATTTAGCTACATATATTATGCAATTATTTAATTCCTTTTGCGTTCCGAGTGGAACATAGGGCTTCAGGCTCCAGTTTTTAAGTTTCAGTAGCAGTGATGTTTTTACGGGATGGGGTTGCTAGACTCACACGCCCAACCTCCCTTATCTTTGACGGGCTTACAACCGGCTAAGGGAGGTAGAAAGGTGTGTGCCGGCTGGGGACCGAACCCAGGACCACATACATGGTTGGCGAGCATTCTACTGCTGAACCACCGGCGCATAATTTGACTAAATAAACATTCCTTTATCAGGTCTTTGTCTTCTACCGTTTCACTATAACTATTACTATTATTATTATTACTTCTAGAAGCCGCTATTGTTTAACAGTAAAAGTGTGATGAGTGATTTGTATTAATTAATAAAGAATATATTGATTGAGACCTAGTAGTAATTACATAAATAAAGAAGTTATGCAGGAAAAGACAACAACAAAAAAAGACAATTACAAGAAACTGTTATTTCTAAACACACAAAAACTTACTGTTAAATTGACTAGATGTCGTTTACCAGATTCTACATTTAATTCAGCACAATTATGAAAATAAAGACTGTATAAGCCTTCTTCGGATACATTCGGGAAACGTACAGTAAACTGGATTGATGTATATATACATATACATATGCATAAAAGAAAACTCATTCAAAGTTATTTTGAATATATATTTCAAAAAAATATTCAAATTCCAATAATCAGACATTGAACAATATAACTACAAACATTTTTTACATTTCAGGTAATTTAGTGAATAGTGAGTGACTGATTAGCAGTGGAACCTAGCAAGTGCGTTTCGTCCTATTTGGGACTCGTCAGCTAGATGCGCCTCCGTTCTCCAGTGAGTGAGTGAGTGAGTGAGTGAGTGAGTGAGTGAGTGAGTGAGTGAGTGAGTGAGTGAGTGAGTGAGTGAGTGAGTGATGGTGTTCCCTCACTGGTATTTCAACCCAGTGCCATTACCCATCAATTCAAGCGCCAAAACTCTCACGTCTATCGTGACCTGAGTGGTCTCGTGGATAACGCTTTAATGTTTGGAACAATTGGTAGTGGACTCGAGTTTCAGTGAGAACACCATCACTCACTCACTCTCTCTCTCTGGGGAACTCAGGTGCAACCAACTGGCGTGTCCCAAATAGGATGAGATGAGCATCTTGGATTCTACCGCTAGTCAGTCACCATCCACAAAATTACTTCAAATTAATCCTCGGATACCGTCGAGGTATCCGTACTAGGTAGGGGCAGACATATTCACAGAGGTCGAACATTTCAGTCCAATCAGTCAAAAGGAGGAGATTATAATTGAATTAAAAAACGAGTAATTTTCACAATTCACTAACAGATTCTCTGTAAAAAGAGATTTACTCAGATTGTTAAACTTCAAATTTCGAATTCTATGAACTATAATTACTATGAATGCATTTTGAATAGGGTGTTTTGTAAGCGGATGTAACCAATCCAACCTCATACGCTAAATTTTCTCACCGAACGGCCAATAAGGCAATTACAATTTATAGTTGGAAGCTGTAACCTATAACCAAACAAATTCCACAAAACCAACACATGAAAGTTACTCTAATGCTCACTAGCGACTGGCTCTATTTACAGGAAGTTACTTGGAGTTCTAATGAGAGAAGTCGTGAACAGCGGGGTAGACCAAATCAGGTAAGACGACAGTTACTCGCCGATAACACGCACACACACTCTCTCTCTGCATATGTATACATCGTAAATTCGCGGAATTGGGGAATCCATAGGCTATTGGATTTGGTCCCAGTAGCTGAGTCGTCTAAGAGCTCGCCTTGTAACAAGAAGGTCCCGGGTTCGAAACCTGGTGGGTGCGTGCTGTGAAGGGTCCCAAAATGGGACAAAACGGCTGGCCAGTACTCCTTCTTTGTGTAAATGATATCACCTTGTGATCAAAACTGTTACCAATCGAATCAAACCTCTGCAAACAAACACTTCAAGGTTTATTTTCTTCATAATCAAGAGTAATAAAATATACAGATTAATAAAATAAAAATGTAACATGGAAATATGGTGAGAAGTCGTTATCCATGTTCAATTCCCATCTCCCAAGTTCTTGGAATCTCTTGATTTTTGCTATGGGCTAATAAAACCTCATAAAGTGACTTAGATTACTTAGTAGTCAATAAATTTTATGAATTGATGGTGTTATAATTTGCACTGTATTTATGCTATTCTACCTCCATTCACACACACCAACTTTAACGCCATTTGTACTGACAACACTAGTGTACAGCAGCAAAGCCTTCAGAGACTTTTACCGTTCTTATAAGAAAGGTAGGAAAGCTCTATAAAGACTTTTATAAGCAATAAACCATATCTTGGCATATATTAGCGTTTTATACTCTTTGATTTATAAACATGAATATACTATGGAGTGATGCAGATTGATAGGTAACGGGCAAAAATTGAAACCAAAATTTTAAGTCAATGGCTGCTGACTGCATAAGTAGAAGTGTGTACTCCTCAAATTTGGATGTAGTTTACGTTGTAAACATGAAATAACCTCATTGGACAACTTGTTTAACCTTGAGCCAATCACCAACCAATCAGAACAATTTACTATCCTCTGACCTAGCCGAATTTTAATGTGGCTAAGGATGTATAAATATGATGTGTTTTTCTTTAATAAAGGTCCGTTACCAAGTCTCTACTGCCACTATAATATGACTCCACTGATTTGAATGGACACTAACTGGTAACTGGAATCATGCGTGCAGTCCTTATTTTGGTGCAGACAAAATTCTATCAGTCAAGTTTGCAATGATACTAATTAATAGCTAGTGTCTTATAATTAAAGTATCCAACACAGTCCCACAGGAGGTCAGTGGCGAACCCAAATAGCTACTTAGTGGTACCACCTTCTCTGACTGCAGCACTGGGTGACGCGGGTTTGAATCTCAGAAGGGACATGAGTTCCTTCAAGGTTGCAGATACGCCTTACTGACTGGTGAGTGACAACTAGCACGAAACCTAGGTCCAAGGCTTCCTGCCGATTGCCTCCAACCATATAATACCAACAATTCACAGTGCACCGTAATGGCGAGTCACCTAGTATGGTGGCCACATCAAAAACAACGGACCAAACGCATGAAAACTAGTTACCTACTGCCTGGTTTTCAAGCAGCGTATCTACTACAGTCCTACAGGAAGTCAATCGCTCGCCTATCCACTGACTACAGTAAAAAGTGTGTCGAAAAAGGATTAATATAAAGATACTTTTTTTAACCCACACATTTGTGAACGAAAACTATATGCGAAAAATACTGCAGTGAAGAAAACGATATCTGCTAACTTCACTTCGATAGCTCTACAATCGTATTTATCGTATGGGGAAGAAAGATAGAAAACATATGTGTTTATCGTTCGTATGTTACGTATGTTACAATTTTTGACATGTGGAAATGTTGAAGTCTAGTTTAATATCGGTCAACATGATCAATATATGAATTACAAACCGACTAGAAAGAAAAATATAAACCAGTGGAGGTCAAGGTAATCTAAAATAGCAGCATTAAATAAGTAAGCAATATGGCGTTGACTCCACTAAAAGATTAAAGTACATTTATTAGTTAAAACATGTGAGGTTAGGGGTAAGTAAGAAATCAGTTACCAGCAGAGAGGAGGGGGATTTCTTTATTCCCCAGACTGAATGATGAATTATCTCGAATAGATCAGAAATCTGAAAACTACTGGCTAAAATACAAATTGTCGAAGTACTAATGAAAAGTATGAAGGTATAGGATATTTTAACATGTATGACCAATAAACACACACACACACTTGCGTGTTGACCACTTCACTTATTTGGGAAACTGCATCAGCCAACGCCAGCAGGTTGATTACTGACGAAATCTCAGTACGGATACAAGAGGCTCGTTACGCATACGCCAACTTACGCCATCTCTGGCTTAGTAGACGTCACATCCGGCTAGCTATCGACCAAAGGGCGTGTGTACTGCTCAGCAATCCGCTACGTACTCCTTCATGTGACGGTGAGTGAGACACGGCCACTGAAAGTGGAAGACATGAAGACGCCAGCTGGCTGTCTTTGATTATAAGTGTCTGCGTACTATCTCCCGTCTGAAGTGGTATAATAAGGTGAGCAATACTGAAGTTAGGCGTCGAATGCTAGGCTAGGTAAGCAGGGGAAATCAATAGACGAGGCTGTGAAGTTACATCGATTGAGATGGCTAGGACATGTGTAACGCACGCATGCCTAGCCATCGCCTTCCTCGACAGGCAGTGTTAGCTGACTGATATAGGATGAGGTTGGAAGACAGCCAGTGATGGTCAAACCAAAACATGGTTTCATCAGTCAATGAAGTCCACAACAGTTTGTTTAAGTCAGTCACGTAGGGAGGTGTAGACTTCCTGACTGGTTGGGGTCCTCGGGATGGTAAAAACCAATGAAGGCTGGAGACAATTAGCGATATGGCTGGTTCAAAATCGTTCTCAATGACTGGCGCAGATGCATCCACTCCCTGTGGCTTATAAAATCCAATAAAACTATATTGTCCTTCCATAGTACTATTCTTTTTGCCTCACATTTCTGTTTATTATCTCCTTTTACTGTCTTCTCTTGCTTTGCGTGTTAAATGGAGGGAGTGTGGCAAGTTGAACTGCTGCACATCTGTGCAAAGTTCTACAATGAAACCAGTCAGTCAATCAGTCTGAATGGAACTTAGGGTCTTCAAGCTTTGAAGTCTTTGGTAAAAGAATAATTGCTTGGAAAATCCCTACTGAACGATCTAACTGCAATATTAATACTCATAACTTATCTAGTCTGCATAGCTGCCTTATAGTACTGTCTAAATGATCTTGAGTTTTTGATTTTATTATACTTGTTGAATAGAACCATGTGGATTTTACGACGAATAACCGTTTATTTTTGGCTGTCTTTGGAGCGTTTTATGAGCATGTCTCAAGGATGTTTCAGTCAGCTATGTACGGTAGGACGCAAAGATCGGTTGCCTGAGTTCAGACCACAACAAGTTGATTTTGGTCGCTATAGTGCGTCGGTGGCACAGTGGTTAGGACTCTCGCCGACCATGCACATGGTCCGGGGTTCGATCCCCTGCCGACGCACACCCGATATCTATGGTCGGTCTGCGAAATTTGGGCTACCGATATCCATGCTGAAAATTCCATACTTGTACTGAAAAATACGGTGTGGCATCAAGCTGTAATCAAAAATAAAAAAATGAAATAAAATAAATAGTAGTGAGGTTGCTAGCACATCACGCCCAACCTTCTTTCCTTCCCTCCTTTCCAGGCCAACTATCTATCAGTTAAGAAACCAGGCGAGATTTTGGAGTCCACTGGCCAAGAATCGAACGTGGACCTCGGCGCGACTAGGCTATTCAACCGCTGATGCATACCTGTACAATTACGCAAATTAATTCATTACAAAGGCAGTTTTCTTCACTGGAATCTTTGTGTTTATAACGATTCAATAGATTAATTAATTTAACAACGACACAAGACACAAGATAAGAGACCAAAAATTAAAACATGTCACTTACATTTGTACTTAGCACATTATCTTTCATTTCATACGGGATCCGTTGTAATGAACCTTAAAATAAACACACACACACACAGATAAATAAGTGTTTAAATATCCCGTGCAAAAAGATTTCATGTCAATTAGCTGCATAAAAGTCGGTTTGAGGCTCATCGCCTCAAACCTTCCGGTTACAAGTCAAACACTCGTACAATATTCATTCACAGCCCCCGGGACCTGATGCAATGACCAGTACACGAATTCCAACTTCTACCATTTCGTGATTGATTTTAGCACGACTGACATCAGCCAATGTCATCAGAGGCGAGTATTTGTCCCAACTGCCGACCAAGTGGATCTCACCGATGGATTCGAATGCTAGTGGGTGGATGATGCCGATGAGTCCCATGCAAAATAGGACAAAAAACAGCTGTGTTCAGTACTTCTTCCGAACTGGTCCTCAAACGGTCCTCTCTAACTGATATATCAGCCTGTGGTCAAACTTGAAACAAATTAAATACCTACAAATTAACTCTATTACAGACTATTTATTCACTCGTGTAAATAGTAGTAATGATAGTACAGTGTTAAATATGAGATTTTCGTTTATTTTTCTTACCTAAGCTTAGCTCTTCTTTAAGCATATACCATTTCAACTGTTACTGTTGTTCAAGTTATATAGTGCGCACAATTTGGCAGGTTCGTCTACGGGTTCGAGAACATTTACCAGCTTGGTTCATGAGGGGGGGGAAATTAAGTACATAAAAAGCTCGATCCTGTCACACTTGGTCGATATTGGACATTGCATCGATCTCAACACAGCTTTCAGGGTTATATACCGAATTCCGAAGTCGTTATCACGTACAGTTCGCTTGCGTCTACTACACGTAGCTGAAGCTGTAGCAATAAGATCGACTAAACAAGAACTTTGTATCCAAAAAGAACACATCCAGACGCTGTTCCTAACGTGGCCAAACTTGGATTGATGATTCTTCTTATCACCAAGAGTGTTCCTTCCCCTTAACCCTCTTGGCTTTTTTTGTATTTTTCCTTTGCTTTTTAGTACTATTATTATTATTCGTCATAATTTATGCCTTTCATGCAAACATTCTCTCAATAATATAGAATTTTTCACTTATACTATCCGGACATATTATTACTAATATTATCTATTTTCTCAGTATATGCCTTCACCTGTTTCATTTCACATATTCGTTATTTCATTATGAACCTCTCATTGCAGTCTTACCGTCTCCTGTTTAACGCAGACCACTTTTGTACAAGCCACTCACCTGACACTCTTTACAACCTTGAACTGACTTGTCAATTTTCCTACCCCACAGTCTACAAATCTATTATGATTAATCACCACCATTGTCTCCCATTTCACCGAAATATTTTGTAATCGATTTCAGCCTAGCACTTTTGTCACACAAATACGACTATTTATTTTGACACCCAATAACTAATCTGTTATTCCACGTTAAAAATATATCTGCCGCATAACTGGCCTTTATTGTAACGACAACAAATATTATATTTTATAATTGTAAGAACCTGAAGAGAAATTATTGAAAGGATATTCTTCGTTCAGATTGACTTTTAATTCATGATATGGGAATATTTCACACTATTAAATCTTATATCCAACTATTGCAGAAAATACTTGCTAGTTCTTTATTCACTCTGAGGAGATATAGTCTATCACATACTCGTTTTAGACTGTAGACTAGTGTACGTTACTAGAGAATTTTACTATTTTACTCGACATCACGGTTAACAGAAAGAGGTGAATCATGAGGCATGCCCCAAAGGGATATAGTACACTTTACAAGAGATTTCAAGCACGGAACACATGCTGTTAGCAATCAGCTACGAAGAAGAGATTTTTCTTGTTCCAGGATTTGTCACACACAATGCCTAATTCCATATTAGTTTGTTTATTAGATATATCACACACGATGTGAAACCGTATTATTTACTGGATGATGAGGTTTCGAACAAAATGCATTGTTCAAAAACATTTCATCAATTATAATCACACGACTTCGAAACTTGAGTTTTATAGTTTTCTTTGTTCTCTCCTATTTGTCGTCGTTGGGGTAGTAGAATTTTCCAGATATCCGGGTGGACAGGTGTTGAATCATTCCTGTTACACGTGTTTGCAGTTGATTCGATAAATAAAGCCTTAGTCAGTTATCAATCTCTCCCTCCACCCAGCTGATACATTAGATTTTAAAACTGTCATCTTATCTCGTCCATCCTATTGTATGATTGTGTGTAACTGCATGTAGTGAGTGGTATAGCTCAACTATTCTCTAGATTTCTTATCTTATTCGGGTCAACCAATCTAGATTTTGCTGCTAGGTTTTTATGCTCGGATAGTCTGACTGACCCCCTTCCAACTACTTTGACCTATGTATTTGACCTGACAATCATTGCAGGCAGGGTATTAGATAAACTCGATTGTTTTGTTTTAAAGGCTCTACAGGATTGATCCTTTAACCGACAAAGCTTGTTTCTAGTTGAGTTTGTGGGTTTGAATGCCATTTTTATTCCTGCCTTGTTAAGAATTCTGCTTAAGGTTTCCTAGGTTTCTTCTTTGTATGGAATGTTAGATGCGCAAGATAATGACAGCACCAACAATAGGGAATCAAAATCATCAGTAGTAATTCCATACAAAGAAGAAACCTAGGAAACCTTAAGCAGAATTCTTAACAAGGCAGGAATAAAAATGGCATTCAAACCCACAAACTCAACTAGAAACAAGCTTTGTCGGTTAAAGGATCAATCCTGTAGAGCCTTTAAAACAAAACAATCGAGTTTATCTAATACCCTGCCTGCAATGATTGTCAGGTCAAATACATAGGTCAAAGTAGTTGGAAGGGGGTCAGTCAGACTATCCGAGCATAAAAACCTAGCAGCAAAATCTAGATTGGTTGACCCGAATAAGATAAGAAATCTAGAGAATAGTTGAGCTATACCACTCACTACATGCAGTTACACACAATCATACAATAGGATGGACGAGATAAGATGACAGTTTTAAAATCTAATGTATCAGCTGGGTGGAGGGAGAGATTGATAACTGACTAAGGCTTTATTTATCGAATCAACTGCAAACACGTGTAACAGGAATGATTCAACACCTGTCCACCCGGATATCTGGAAAATTCTACTACCCCAACGACGACAAATAGGAGAGAACAAAGAAAACTATAAAACTCAAGTTTCGAAGTCGTGTGATTATAATTGATGAAATGTTTTTGAACAATGCATTTTGTTCGAAACCTCATCATCCAGTAAATAATACTATTTCACGCTAAAATAGGTGGGGTGGGATTCGGACTCGAGAACGTTTGACCAAAAATTGAAGGCCGAAATACACGAACTTTACCTTTTAAATTGTTGTCATTAGTTGGTTGAGGACAATCGGCGGGAAGCCTTGGATCACCTAGTTTTTGTGCTCAAAACCTAGTGTCGAATGACTTCAGTTGACAAAAATCGACATAAAGACGACTGTTGTTTTAAATGGACACTGGCTAGTAACTGGTGTGTTATGTGTCGTCTAGTCCTTAGTTTGGTGCAGACTGAATCCTATCGTTCGTCAAGTTTACAATGTGGCCACCATTCTAGGTGGCTCACCATCACGGTGGACTTTGAATTATTGATACAGGAGGTCAATCGCAAGCCCCGACAAATCAGTGGTAATGTCTCCGACGGCATGTAATGGGTGGCATGCAGGTTCAAAACTCAGAAGGGAGATAAGTTCCTTCAAGACTGCAGATAAGACGCCTTGCTAACTGGTGAGTGACAACCAGCATGAAACCTAGGTGTCAATTAAGACTTCCTGTGGCCTACTGCCTCCAACCCCAATCTAATATCAATCAAAAAAAACACTGTACTCACTAGGAAGAGTAAAAAAAGGCGTCTAAAAAGTACAATGACTAATCATCTTACCACTTGGTGTTATTTGAGATAAGATAATTCGAAAAATATTTTGCAATTCTTTCATATCACCAGGTTCAATGTGATTTCCAGGTTGCAGCCCTTGAAAGAATTGTTCTTCACTGTCAATATTTAATTTGTAATCAGCAACTTGGCGCAAAAGACGATAGACAAGATACTGTTGTTCAAATAAATCACTAGGCACCATACTTTTAACACTGTTCAGAAATCGTGGCTCAGATAATATGATCTGAAATAAATGTTACATATGGAACAGATAAATTTTTTCTTCAAAATGAAAGTGTAATACATTTAATTGAAATTATGTATGATTATAAATCGTTTGCAACAACAGATTGGGACTCTGAATCATACACTTCCTTGTTGTTCAAACGTGAATATATGAAACACGTTTGAATCCATAAATTTTTATCAGTAAAAGAATTGCTGAGTCACGTATTAACGTCAAAGCTGGTTGACGTTTACACAGTTCAGCAAGAAGTCCACCTAACTGTTAGGTAATGTTGCAGATTTCAAGTGCCTCCTACTATAGACCACTAACTAGAGCAATGACTGAGTGACTGACTGACTGACTAACTAGTTTCAAAACAGAACTTTGCACAAAGATGCACCAGTTCGAGTTGCCATACTCCATGTAGCACGCAACAGAAGAGATAAAAGAGAGGAAATAAGACATTCGAAGGAGCGATAATAAATAGAAATACCAGGGGGAGAGAATAGGAACATGGAGAAAGATTACAGCCTAATAGATTTGTGAAATCATAGAGAGTGAATGCATCTGCGCCACTAACAACGATTTCGAACCATATCACTGATTGTCTCCAACCAATAGTTCTTACCATCCCGATGATCCCAACCACGTAATTAAGTAAGTAAGTAAGTAAAGTGGTGACAACACGCTTCACAAACCACTTCACTCCCTATCTTTACACCAACTAAGAGTCAATGTAGTCCAGTCCTGTAGCATCATCTTACATCTGACAAGAGCAAATCGCATGCCAAACATTCAAAGACTGCTGCTCCTCAAGGTGTTCAAAAGATTCTGCATTTTTTTCAGCGTCTTCACCTAGGAGGACTATATCAACAAGTCAATCCCCAAGTCTCTGAATACAATTAGGGTCAATTCCACGAGTACATCTATGGTGAAATGAAATAGCAATGGGGAAAGTGGGCATCCCCCTTATAGACACCACTGGTTGTCATCCCTTCAGAGTATTTTGCATGCACAGTCTTCTGATTGATTATTTTCACACACACATCGAAGTGTGATTCACTGAAAAAGGAAAAAGACTTTCGTACAAAGTTGTAAGTTCGGATTTCATCCTGTAAACCGTGTCGCTCATAGCCTAAGAAATAAACAAGGCAGTATCAGACAAGAAATGAATACTGAGATACAATGTTTACCTAATCAAAATATACAGAGGATTTAGTCATGTTAGCTAAAGAAAATGACAGGACGCAGTCTTTTTAATTTGTTACGATGTGCTTTGCACTAGTGCCTGTAGCTCAACGATAAAGATGAAGTGGTGGTGTGTTTTGCAGACTACTCTACTACACTTATTTAGCATCATCATCTTTATGATGGAATGGTTGGTGACGCAAGCTTACCACGAAAATAAGAAATCTGTTCATGTTTTGAAAACTTAAGACTTTTTCACTTTCATTTAGTAAGACAATCTGCTTTCTATAAAACCTCAGTAGTACTAAGCAGTTCATTCTGCCCTATTTTATAGTACAGAGAACATTTTTGAAGGTAAGGGATTAGACAGTATCAAAGGTGTTGAGTGTATTCATACTACTGCTTCGGTAGCACAGCAGTGGAATGCTCACCGGCCGTGCATGTGGTCCGAGGTTCGATCCCCGATCACCAACGCACTCCTCTACCTCTTTAAGCCAGCAATAAGACTGGTAAAGAGGGAAGGTTGGGCATGAGGCTGTAAAAATAATCACCACTGCTACCGAAAATTTAAGCCTCTAGCTTCAAGCCCTATGTTCCACTGGGAATGTAAAGGAACAAGAAAAAATGCTACTGTTTGGTTGCAGAGAAACCGGAGACAGAAAGACATTGAGGTTAGATGTAGCATTGTTTAGACAATGTGAATCAGTTCACGAAGTCTAGGACAATTTTTAACGTTTTTAAGTCACAGCGTTGATTAGTCAGCAATGCCTACTGATGCAAACTATACATTTCTGACTAGTGAAGGACAATCAAATTTCCCTTACATAATAAAAACTCCAACTGAACAAGGATATTTCGAAAAGAACACACTATAAAAATGAAATTAAATACACTTTTGAGCAAACAATGAACAATCGACCTCTATTATCAGTTGTGCAAGCCAAATGTTTATACAGTAGCAAAATAGAAGAGGAGAAAAGTTGCAAAACACATAATTACTTCAATATGAAACTTACTGCATTTATCGCTTTTGCCACTGTGAGGCTGTCATCACTAACCAGACGTAAACACCTTAAAGCATACTGGATGTTGTCAAGTAAACCTGTGGGCCTGATGACAGTTTCACCATCCTCTTCCATTTCCAAAGCAGTCGCTTCAAAAATCACACCCTTGTAATGACTATCATTACTGTGTACCACAAGTGATCTAATGAAGTACACAGATTAAGATATTGTAATTGTAAACTACAAACTTGGAGGATGTATCGAACGAGAGATAGAGAAATTTGAAAGATTTATCCCAAAAACACGTATTTGATTTGGACTCCTATAGAATATGAATAAGTATATGATAATAGTCTAACTTACAATAAGGGATGCCACTCCTGAATCACCAGCCTTGTCCAAAGTGAAAGTTATCTGGAAAATTAATTAGACATCATTAAGTATCTAAAGTCATTCCACAAGAATACTTCTGGCAAGGTGTAAATGAGGAAATTGTCATAAATAAGAACACAACAATAAGTGTTAATGATTAATAAAGTGTTTTTTGGTGGTCAAAAGTAATTTAGGCTATAAGCTGAAAAGCTAAACAAAATTTACGATTGGGCAAACCCCATTGATCACACCATTCAAGTGAGTTAGAGACTGACTCAAAGTTGCAACTTACTTAAACACTAGCAGAAGAAGCAACTCTTTAATGACGCCTCAAAATCTCATATTTTAAAAATGAAGTAAAACAAGTGTCTACTTTTCTTTCATTGCCCAACGATTCCTCAAATCAAAAACCATTTGTGATTAAACTGTCTTTAAATAATGAAGTAGAAATTCTAGAAGAGAAGGGACCTGTTAGTCGCAGTTAAAATCTAAGCTTCATCCTGTACTAGTATTCTTACAATTCACGATCTAATTGAATTACTATACATAAAAGCATATGACTACCCAAAGATTATGGTGGGCCACTAAAGTACTACAGAAAAACGGTCATTGACTTTATATTATTCAGGTCGTTTTTAGTCTGACTACGCTTAATTATCTTTCAAAATAATTCGACTTTAACCAACACTTGTCAAGGAAGGCAGTGTCACAGAGAGCATAACTTATGTTCCCGCTACCTTAATTGGTGAAACTTCTCAAACCTACCTACCTTGCACAGCACTATCCCTAAGCTCAACATTACCTACTTACCATGCTGCTTTATGAAGTCTATGACTGCCGATTAGAGACACGTGGTAGGATGCTAAGCTCTCCATTAAAAATTCAGCCACTTAGTTAACTTTTCTAATACGAAACAAGACAATTCTGATGAAAAAAGTCCTGTGATTTCTCTCATATTCACTTGGCAGAGGTGAAGAATGGAGAGGACTACTGCATAGTTCACACGCTCTTCTAAGGTATGGCCAAACATCCAAGGGTTAAGAGTCAGCTTTTCTGCTACTACCAGCTGAATCAAAAAAGCCGTATAGTAAGTGAACTGGTTTAGGAGGCTGTTACAGAAAATGTAAATTAACTTGATAAAGTTTGCAGCAGTATAAGACGGATTTATACCTCAAGTAAGTGAGTCAAGTCAGTTAAAATACATATTATGAGGATGCGGTGGACGGTGATCGCTTTTCTGAATTCTATTGTCATCTGTTTCTTGCTAGTCTTACCTTAAAACACAGAGATATTGCCTTACTGAGTGATCAAGCGATTCAGTATTGAAAGATAATTTGCACATTACCGAATTAAGGTTACTCAGGGTAAAAATTCACACAATGGGACTTACATGCTGCAGGTCACCCTCAAGTTTCTGAATAGAAACCGACAGGAATGAACCCTTCGCAAATCCAAAGTGACTGCACAACACTGCTTTTCTGCCATCGTTCTAAACTTTGAGTAAACACTGATAAAACAAAAACCTTAAGGTTTAATGTGTGCTTCCGGCAGATAATATGTTCACAGAGAACCACGAAAACCCAAAATAAACAAGGAAAAATGTTCATCACGAAGGAACCGCAAACAGACAAAGAAAGCGCATTTGCATTCTGTGTCCAATCACTATGCACACAGATTTTCACATTCAGATTTATTGGTTGAGGATAGAAGGTTTGAAGCCAATGTTAATCCTTTTCTAGTAAACTTCTGTGGTTGTCCAAACTCTTCTTGAACGAATCAGTTGAGGTTGAAGACACCACTTCTTCTGGGAGTCGGTTCCATGAGTTTATGACTCGGTGTGAGAACCAGTACTCAACAGCAATATAATTTCTTCTTGGCTTTTCAACTCTCCTGCTACGTCCGCTAAGGTTTTCCGACCTGGTGGGAAGGAAAAGAGAGAAAAGATCAGGTCCGTAGTCAGTATTTAAAATTTTAAACACTGTGATTAAATCTCCTCTCTGCCTACGGTATGACAGGGAGAAGAGATTTAGACTGTCTAGTCTTTCCTCATATGATAAGTTAGTCATGCCGTGAACCATACGTGTTGCCTTCCTTTGAACCCTGTCTAGAATGTGTGATTCCTCTTTAAGACAAGGACTGGCTCCTTGAATACAGTTTTCCAGTCTTGACCTCACCAGAAATGTATATAAGGAGGTGAACATATCTCTGGTGGTTCTAGTAAAGGCTCTGCTAATTGCCCATAAGGACCTGAAACTACATGCAGCCACCGCGCGACAGTGTGCTTTAGTTTTTAAGTCGTGAGTCTGAACTGATGGAAATGTTATTCCCTCTAGTTCGTAGGAACTCGTGCTTGCTTGTCCAATGCGCACATTTTGCCACATTTATCGGGAGCATCCATTCTGTGGACCACTCTGACAATTTGTTGATGTCCTCTTGCAACGTGGACGTGTCACTGTTGCCCTTCAGCTCTCTCCAAATTTTTAAGTCATCTGCGTATAGGACCATAGGGGAGTCGGTGAGCAGAGAAAACTCATTGATATACTGCCTCTATTTATATGATGCTTATTCGAAAACTGACCTCTCTGGAAACTTCGAATTATATGGCAAATGCATTGTTTGTAGTGGTGCCTCCTGCTTTACCCTATCGGCATTTGAGAGGCTTAGTTGATTCGAGCCTGGGCTGGTTCGCGTTTTCCTGCCTAGGCAAATGAAGTTTACATGATTTTGGGGCATACTTGGCTCTTGTTGGGTGAACTTATATGAAAGTTGTTGTTTGATTTTGTTCGTAAGCATGGATTTATTGTTTGCGCGGTGGGACGCTTAAATACACGGTTCATTCAATGATTATGTGGAATACTGTGTATGCTTCGTGTATGTTTCAGTGACTGGCTTTTGAAAAATTTCTTTGCAACTTGATAGTAACCTGTATTCGGTTGTGAGTTTTCCGATCAGATGCTGTGCAGCACTTCTGGTGCAGGAGCCTAATAATGATATCGAATTTGTGCTTCTGCACTTTTATGTGTTTTGCCTCCCGAAAGTCAATGGAATCCATAGGTACAAGCAAAAATTGGTTTTCATACACTAGCAGAAATTGCATTATGTTCCACGAGCACTTGCAACATTCTCTGTTTTCTGCCAAATTTTTAACTAAGTTAAATACATAACGGCATATTCTAGTGCTTTTCTGGATGTGAATAACATGAACATCGTCGGGATCAGGTAGGCCAGGACATCTGAGGTGCTCTTCGTTTTGTCCGATTATTGTGTTCGCTTTCATAAGCTTCCCGCTACTTGTTATTATCTTGAAGGTAAATTATGTGCGTTTGTACAACGACAATTCACAGGATTATCTCGAAGCCATGTAGACGTAGTGTCCAACATGTTTTAAAGCAGTGAATGTAAGGTTTAGAAGCAGTTGATATATACCTTTTCTGCCAAAATTGTTGACTGGCGTAATCGCACTCTAAACTAAGCTTCTAGTAATAAGTACCATGTGAACTCATTAATTATTATATTAATAGTGACATTCATGTATACATCCTACGAACTCTTGTTTTCTTTTTTTAGCTACTCGATAATTTCGGAGACCTCATGGGGTTCGTTGCTGAAGAAAGGGGCTTGCAGTATCGTTAAATTACCAGTTAAAGTACACCCTATTCCTCAAATGGATATTCTGCTTGTTATCAGTGAATGTTTACTTTATCGAATGTTGTGAGCTGCAGAGTTTTGGATATTAGGGTCATGTGTTGTATCGAGTAGTGCATTTAGAAGAGACGTTTGCCTTGGATTGTCTTTAATATGCAGTACATTCTTGTTGTCGTAATAAATTTGTTAGCAGTAATTATGATCAGTATCTACATGTGGGGAGGATGGTGTATAACGAGGAATACTAGTGCAGCAGTCAAAGGTCAGAACTATCTGTTAAAGTTGAAACAGGTGCTTGCTTAAGGGAACATTGGTACTTTGAAAATTGAAACATCAAACAAATGATAAAGTTGTTAACATCGTTTACATGCGAGCAATTAAAGTTACGTATTTAGAAGCAGTAGGGAATTGTTGAATGCTTTAAGGATGTTTTGATTGATAGGAACAAAGGCGGGACATGATAACCGAATGCATGGATAGACAAAATCAACTGACCAGTATACCCATATTTTCATGTTAAACACAATCGGGCAAGGAATTTGAAAGAAAACGGTAGAGCAGTCTGCTGAAACTACTAATTTAGTGAGCAAATTAAGTTCCCTTTGAATCAAGACTGAGAGTAAACTGCCTGTTGATAGGTTAAGTGATTATTATTATTATTCAATTATGTTACAGTGAGTGTGTCCAAATGCTAGTTCACTAATAATACTGCCTTTTGAGTAACTTAGAAACATGGCGTTTATTTTTAGTTTTGAATTACTAAGTAAAGGTGGACATGCCTGAGGGTCTTTGATGAAAAGATTAAATTGTCGCCAAAGTAAGTAAATATGTTCACGTCTAGAAAATATTTGAATTTAGACTTGTTCTTCCTACTACCACAACACCGGATGACTCACCATATATAGTCACAAAGTAAAACTAGGTCTACCAGAGACAGTGTGCTCCTGACTTGTAGGTGTGCCAAGTCATTCAAAAGTCCACACTAAGAACTGGCGTAGCAATACCATCACGCGAAGTGGTACAAGCGGTCATATTCAGAGCTCGGCTCCCAACCACTCTGGGCCTTCAAAGTATGACACATAAACAAACTTTGACAGAATATATGGCACAAGTCTGTGGGGAATCAAAACACAGTGCAGCAACGCGTAAAATGAAATCGATGTAAGGACACTTAGAATGTCTCCAAACATCAGAGGGATTAATAAGTCATGGGCACCGCAAGGTACCAGTGATTTTTTATCCGCCACATCCTTGCCAGCGCTGACCAAACAACTGGTGGGGACGCCAACTCTTATGAACCCGTACTACTAATGTCGGCTCCCTATCGGAAAGAAAACAGACACAGACTAGTGCACACGCAATTATTAATGACGTCCGGTGCCTGTAAAACATAGGCGAAATAAAAACTTATACCCGAGTCTCCAACTTACCCAAGCCTAGAACTACCTTATCCTGTAGTGAATCCAATAATAAAACTCCTTTTTCACTAAAAGATGTGGATAGTAACTCGATAGACATAGGTAACACGGTACCAAAACTAGTTGCAACTCAGGGTTGTTGTGCCACACGGAACCAGTGGATGCCGATCTACACTTGAGCCTGATTAACGGGCTTAAATACTTCAAACACTACTTCAACTCTCAACTTTACCTAATCCTTATTAATGCCAGATCTGTCCTAAACAAACCACCGGTGCTCAGGGCACACACACTGGTATATAAACTCCCGGTAAACATTAGTGCTGAATCCTGGTGTCACTATATTATTCCATACGAGGGGATAAATACACACTTTTGGTGTGACATGAACAGTGGTAAGGGGGGAGGTTGCATAATATACTTCCTGAACACACTTGCTGTATAACAGCCAGAAAATAGAGAACTCAGCGACATGCACGACAACCTCTGGGTCAACGTACTCCTCAAAAGTGCTACACTATTAATAGAGTGTATCTAGAGGAGCACCTGACACTTTTAGTAATTACGAGGCTCAACTAGTTAATGTAGTGGAGCAAGTGTCCACCCTTCCATACTAGCATTGGATCATGTGCGGAGACTTCAACCTACCCGAAATCAACTGGGACTTATTAACAGGTCCAACTAAATATGACAAGATCTTAGGTACACTGGACATCTTCGGCTGGAAACAAACAAGTTTTCAGGTAGTGACCAAAAACGGAGTTGTGTGCACTGCCACTTCCACTAAGTAGCAATGCAGCTATTACACTCACTTTACAACGAATGGTATATAGGAACTCTAGTAAGGCAAACTGGGCTTCCGTAGAATCAATGCTAATAATGGAGTGAATACTTCACTACTGATGACCTCTTGAGAGCTCTGAGCATCTTATACCAGAACTCAAACACATGCTTAGTTGCCGCCATTCTACTCCAAACACTAACAGTTTCCCCAAATAGAAAGTCATTTATGAAACCAAAGGATCGTACGAAACTGAAGAGACTCTGGACAAGTTCCCTCAGACACCACGACTTTGGCACACTAAGTTTAATACTTAACATCCTCAGCTCCATCTCACAAGCTCGAGATTTGCACCGCACCATTCAGCCCTGCTGGGTTGTATGCTCCCACAGAAATCGTAGAGAAGAGAATGAATCGCAAAAATCACAGCATTTCTCTCCCCATTTGCAGCTAACCACCTTAAGTTTACAGTCCCATTAATCGGTGTGCACCCTACTAATATGGCGCAAGTTCCATCTTTACCCTCACCAAAACAAATTAATTCCGTTTAGTTCACTTATGCCAACACTAATCAAACCATTAGAACTCTCAAAAGCTCTAAATGTTTTGGTACTGACGGTATACCATTGTATTTCTATAAATGTGGTGGCTCTGACATCCCCTTATTACTGCTTAAAATCTTCACAGTGGCCTTAGAAATCGAAACTTACCCGGATATATGGAAAACGATATTTATTACACTCAAACACAAATGCGGCTCGAAAACAGAAGTCAAAAATGACAGGCTGATCAATATCACAACTAGAGCATCTAGAATTATG